TGCAAGTGTACACCAACCACTCTGTGAGGTCAGTAATATTACCTACATTGTATGTATGTATGTATTTATTTATGAATGAAATGCAGGTAATAATACTGACCTCACAGAGTGGTTGGTGTACACTTGCACATAATATTCAAAAAATGTCATCCAGTCTTTTTATATTCCTTACCAGAATTACATTGTATTGAATATACTATTTGTAAGTGGACTTTTACTCTTAGTAGTATACTAAGAAAATATTTTATTGTCATAAACATATTTACATAATTTTAATGGCTATGTAATATTTCAACATGCTGTTTGTCATCCATGGCTGTTTGATTATTGTAGTGCACAAAGGGTTGTATCCAATCTTTTTGCTTATTGCCACATTTTATAATAATACTCTTGAATACGAATTTTGTGTAGTGCTCCTGTTTCAAGCACCAGTAACTAAAACACATATAAAAATTGTGTTCTATACAGGTTACATCTTCTTTTCACATTTAAGAGTTGAGGTAGAGATTGTTTCTTGGAGCAGAAATATCTACATTGTTGTCATGTGCCAGTGATCCAGAAGGGTGCATAGTAGTAGACATTTTTAAAGCACTAGGCCATCTTGTTGGAATTTGTATAGGAACGTTATCCTGAACTTCAGTTTTACTTTACAATGATAATATAAGTTCAAAGAAAACCAAGAGAAATCTACCCTGTTTAAGAATAGCCTACACAACTCTTGAGTTTCAGGAACAGTATTATAAAATCTGTTTTTGTGGGGCAAAGGAAGACGGGATGTCTGAGTGTTTTTTTCTTTTCCTTTCTCTCAAGCAGTCTCATTCCAATGAGCAGTGTAATTGGAATGCAACTCCAATCTGGAGGAGGAAGGGGAATTTTTGGCAAAAGGACACTGAGCAGTTGGGAGTTTTATTCAGATGAAGCATAGACAGCCATTCATTATGAGTACAACTCAGTAATAGCAATAGCATTCTATTTCTACAGCTGGGATTTATACTTTGATATTATTACATAGTGTTTTGCATGTAGTAACTCCTTTCCATCCAGAAAAGAACTTTGACTTAAGCAAAATGGTAGTATTTATTACATCTGCACTTCTGCAAATGGTTTCCTCTAGTCATTGCCTCATATAAAAGTTACTGAAAGAGGATTTTTGTGACATCTGAAAACATTTCTTGAGATGTTTTCATCTCAAACAAAAAAAGGGGCATTTATGGCATAATTGAATTACATTTGACCTGCAGGCTCTGAGGGCAAAGGACTGTGTCTAAATTATCTTTTGTATCTGCAGAATCTATAATAGCACTTGGTACAGAGTGGTTGCTCAGGAAATGTTGAATGAAAGAATGAGTGATGTAGGAAGTGCTCCCTTCTCAGTAAGCATCTCAAGATATCACATCTGCATCTATGTGAAATAGGGGTTACCAGTATACCAGCAAGGCCAACCTTAGCTTATTTTGATTATCTCCTGTACCTATATCAAACCATCTATCTGCAGAAAGGGTGAGTAGAATAGCTAGAAGAGGCTAGATTTGGGAGTGTAAACTTAAGAATGAGAAGTGTTTTGAAGGAATTTTAGAAAGGTACATGATCAAAGTAGTCTAGTAAGATTAATCTAGTGCAGATCTACAGCCCATGTGAGACATGGTCCCGAAGTCTAGAGTAATGGCACTGTGCTGTTGCAATGCCACATTTGTAGTTAGTGTTAATCAAATTGACACACAACTGCTAAATACATATCTAGAGTCCAGTTTGATGTTTTGTTAGTACAAAAATTAATGAAAGTTTATTGAATTATATACTTAAGATTTTGTACATTTCTGTATATGTTACAGTAGAATGCTTACTAAACATTAAAGTTATTGAAGTGTTGATTGCTGTTTAGGATAAAGTCTACACTCCTAGCCTTTGTTTGGTCCTATCCACCTTACAAGTTTTCTCTCCTGCTAGTCCCTTCCAGTAGCTTTGACGTTTCTCAATATTACTTCTACTTCTCTTCTGTAACAGTCATTTAGAAAACTAAACTGAAAGTTTCTCCACACTGCTCTCCCTCCCTAGCTCCATGATTTCCAATCTTGGTTCAACTTTCTATTACAAAAAATGATAGATTTACAAATATAAATGCATACAAATATAAAATTACATTACAAATATAAAATTATAATATGGTACGCACACTCCCCAGGAAATTCTGATATATAACTCCTTGGTTGAGAATTTGTTATGGTGACAAATAGGAGTTTGTCCTGTTGAAATTCATTAACTCATTGCGCATTTTCCGAGCTCTTATAATTGGTACTGAGCATGAAGAGAGCAATGGACAGTAGTTCTAGTGCCCAGAGTATGTTACTGAGAAAAAGAACAGTGCAGTAAGTAAAGTCTCCAAGGTGTGAAAGTTATTTATTTATGCAAATAAATTAACAAGTCTCACATTATGTTTGAGGATCATTCTTTTAAAATTTACAAATGAGTTTCCTTTTACGGTATAAAATAATTTAAGCAAAAACTGGCAGAAGCCCTTGAGCTAGTGTTAAGCCTAGCAATTTGACCAGTCCTGTTATTTCTTTGTTTTAAATTAACCTTCACATGAACTTCTTGGAGGACCCTAATATTTTCTTTTGTAGTCTTTAGATTACTAAAATTCAGTTTCTCCTCATGAACTTTAAACCTGATTTTAAAATTCTTTGTTCTTTTGATTTTTAATTGCTTTTTGAAACTCTGTATATTAGCAACATCTTGTAATTTTTAAAAGAAAATTTGTCAGACATTACCTGATGAGTATATTTTAATAAAGGGAAATGATAGCAATAAGACTTCATAAGTCAAAATCATTATTATTTGAGTATTATTATTTGGTAATGTAGCTATCACATAGTATAAAATGTCTTGAATATTTCAAGAGGGAAGAAGCTTGTTAATCTATTAAATTATGAACTTTTTCCCAGAAAAAAATGTGAGTTTTTACACATATGTATAACAGTTTACAAATTAATTTCAAGGTTAACAGGGATGAGTATCTGAGTTCCTCAGGCTGTAGAGTAAAAGAAGAGGACCAAGGGCAAAACTGTGAAGAACCTCAACTTTCATGGGTGGAACTTAGGAGAAAAGATCCAGCGGAGAGATTTAGAATGAGTTTTATTTTACGCCAGGTGTAAAACCAAGTGGTTGGGGTGTTACAGAAACCAGAAGAAGAGTTTCCAGAAGAGGGAATAGGCAGCAGAGGCAGGTGTCTCTCAGGGGTCAGATGTGATAAGGAATGAAAAGTGTCCTTTGAATGGATTGAGTGGTTAGGTCCCCAGGGCATTGGAGAAGCAGTGTTGAGGCACTGGTGAGAGGAAGCAGTACCTCAGTCGGGGAGGTAAAGAAGTGGAGTCACAAAGTGTAGATAGTTCTTTTAAGTAGTTTCATTAAGAAGGAGAAGAGGCTGGATGTGGCTGGAGGTAGGAGGCGTGGGTGAGACTTGAGTATGTTTAAATGCTGATGGGGCTGTTAATTAGAGAAGAGGAGAGATCAGATCCCTGAGAAAGTGGTGGGTTGGGTATGAGATCCAGAGCGCAGGTGGGAGGGAGTGTTAGGCTGGAGAGTGGACAGTATTAAGTGGAAGGATGAAAAAAAAGATTTGAGTATCAAAACAGTAAGTTTGTAGGTTTAGCGACAAGTTGGCAGAATTTGCATTATATTTTCTGTTTCTCTGAAGTAAGATATAAAATTATTTCATTTCTTGAATTATGATCATCTCATTAATACTGAAGACTATAATTTGTATTTATGTGTTTATCATATATGTAATGATTCTGACTATTCAGTTTATATGGTGATAAAAATTTAGGGAGTTCTTTTAAATCAAATTTGTGATTCGGTACTCTTAGTTATGGACTTAGTTTTCATGATTGAGTTTTTATGACTTAAAAAACAAAACTGTTTCTAAGGCAGGGCCTAAGAGAGTCTGATTAGTAAATCAGTATCTTGCACTTACTTAATAATTTTATTTATTTACTGATAGCCTCTGTCTTCAAAATGACTTTTATTTGAACTTTAAAAATGATTGGTTATATTTAGACTTATTCTGAAGGCTTATAATGTTAATGAATTTTAATGCACTAAACTTCCAATAATTGTAACTAATTAAATCATTTAAACTGTGAGGAGTAGAAATTAATTAAGCATTACTTTCATAGCTATTTTATAAATTAAACTATAACTACATGGAAGTTGGTGTTTTCACTTGTATTGTTTGAATTGAAGGGAAGTGTATGACTGTATCAGCAGTAATATTTTAATTGAAATATAGTTCGCATGCTATAAAATTCACCCTTTTCAACTGTAGTTCAGTGGTTTTAATATATTCACAAGGTTATGCATCCATCACCATATAAATATTAATTTAATGTAAGGTAATCCAGAGAGTGTGGGTTTGGGATCTCTAGCTTAATATATTAACTTTTATTTTTTGGAAGATATAGTAGATCTCTCTTTTTGTTGAGCTGATGATTTAGAAGGTAATTTCTCTCTCCCGTAAAGTTTCTGTGGAGTTTAGATGCAGAGTAAATAGCAGCACACTATTTAAAAAACTCATCTATATCAAGAAAGCTTTGTCTTATTTATGATCCTCTTCAGTATAAAATTATTTTATCCTTAAAACATGTCTCTATCAACCCTAATTTACATATTTACTTCTTAGAACTATTTCCCTATCGTTATCAGGCTACAGTGAGACTAGATCTTGGTGGAAAATAGGAATTGGGACCTTATTAGAATATTAGATTTATAAACTTTCTTGTCCTCAGCTGTTACTGGTGATGATTGCTGAACTTGCAACCACTAGTTCAGCTGTCTTTTGCTACTCTTTAATGCTTAAAGTCTGTGATCGTATTTCATACCTTGCTGTAGTGTTTAATTATTATTTAGTGGTATTTTTAGTGTTTAAAAAAATGACACTTTTGACAGTGCGGTCATACCATTTTATTTTAATTCTTCCCATGTATTTTTTGTTTCCTTTACAGTACTCTGTGCAAAAAACTTGGTGAAAAAGGATTTTTTCCGTAAGTAAATTAACTTTAAATCTTGTATGTTGTGTGTGAATATTTTGGTTAGCATTTTCAGAATTGTCTGGTTTAGAGATTTCTCTATTCAGAATTATACTTAATGTCATTTTATGAATGCATTGGTTCAGAGCCTTTTGGCATCAATTTTTTTTAGAGGATTTTGTGCTTTTAGCCTTAACCCCTTTCCCTATACTCCTCCCACATATTTATGTAAAATGTGTGTCTGTGCTGGTGTGTATATGCTGACGTGTGTAATGTATATTGAAGGTGTGCATGCTACTAGATTTGTAGATAAAAATTGAGATTATTTTGTAAACACTTTTTTCCCCCTAAGATTTTATAGGAAATTTTACCCATGCATTCAGGATTCCTTGGAAAGTAGAGAAGTCATTCAGCTTGTTTGGAATTTCCAGACTGTAGGAAAGAAATCTCTGCCACTTTTGATTGTAGGTGTTCTTGTGTCTCCAAAGTAGACATTTGGTTCCCATATTTTCAGTCACTTTGCTGATCTGTTGTGAAATTTTTTGTAGCTTTATTTAGGATTAGGTTTTGTGAAGAAGTGGAAAGTACCCCTTATGTGGGGTAGCTTTAACTTGTTGAGTAAAATAAAATAAAATAAAATTTTCAGTAAAAAATTCTAAGTCAACAAAATTTTCTATGTAAAACATTTGAAGTGCGAATAAAGATTCATTAGATTTTTAAATTCAAGTCCTACCAGTCAGCAAAAACTGTTAAGTCCTAATTTAATAAGACATTAGATAGTTCTCAAGAGTTTGGTTAAAAGAAATTATAAGCTCTTAGTATATTTTTAAACCATACTTAATTCATTTTACTTGAAATTATATTACTTCCAGTCTTTCTAGAGTAGAACCTGATTAAAGTTTATAAAATAACTTCTTATAAAACTATGTAATTAAAATTTTTTATGGTACCTGCGCTTTAGAACATAGTTAAGAGTAATATAAGCAGTTGATGTACTATGTACCTTATTTACTATCTACCGCAATTTTTGTAGCCAGTGGTCTTTCTTTGGGCTGCCACCAGTTAATATTATGTTCACAGACTGGTGTTGAACAACCCCTCTCACCCCTGTTGCTATTAACCGAATAACCAGTGTGTATTCTTTGTACCGTTCTTCAGGCTGATTTGAGGTAGGAAATATCCTAATAGGACTGGAAAGTGGCAAGTAGGATCAGATAAGTTGGTGACAAGGAGAGAAGGATGGGAAGAGAGGACTGCCCACTCGCACAGCTGCTTGTATACCCTCCAGGACATCTGCTCTGGTTTTAAAGATAAAATCTTCAATTTTGTTTCCCAGCCTTCCTCCCCAAATTCTTTTCCTTCTTCCAGAGCCCTAAGACACAGTCTCTAATAAAATATCCAGATAGCCTTGTCTCAGTTTTCCTAGGAAATCTATAGAGGGATCTTACTTTAATTTATTGTAAACCTGTATGAGGTGATTATCACTTTCTGATCTTTATCTGTCCTTAAGTTGCATGTTAGAAAAAAAAGAAAGAAAACTTTCCTGTTTTTATTGGTGTAAACAGTAAGAATTGATAAAAATTCTTGAGTTGTGAGCTTGCTTCAGGGATAAAAAAGAAAGAAAACATTAAGGGAAACTGTGTAAATATCTTTAAAACCCAGAGTGGGAGAACCACTTGCCCTGGAAAGGGAAACAGGAAAGCCATTCCCGAGGCCTTCAGATGGGACTCAGCCAGGATGGAATATCCCTCGGTTCACACTGGTGAAGGTCTTCCCGCTGTGGTAGATTTACATTTTTTTCATCTGTGTGTAAGTTGAAGATTGCTCACATTAATTTCAGAGAAAGAATTAATAATAATAGTTCCTAAATCTCTTAATTAAATTTGAGTGAGAATGTGTATTTATTGATGCAGAATGTAATTACCATTGATACTGAAATATAGTTATATTTTTACTTGTAAATCAGTTTAAATCATGTTGAATGAAAAAAGTAGAATTTAATATGAAGCCAGACTATAAGCTGATGAAATACAGGATTTTTTTTTAACTATAGGAAAAAAATGTACTGCCATGTGTGGTCTTCTGTTGAGTAATTTGGGTAATTTGAGATAATACTTTTTATTTCAGGGTATCTACCCTTTCTGAGAAAAGTTTTGCTCAGACATTTTAAAATAATTGTGTACAAGCTTATTGGCTTTTAAAAATAGATACTTCCTTCTTCTCCCAAAATTTTAGCAGTAAAAGTTTCAAACATATAAGAACATGTAAGGAATTTTACAGTTAATACCTGCCACCTAGATTTTACCATTAACTTTATATGTTCATTTATCCATTATGTATGTTTTTAATTAATTATTTGTATTAATCCTCACCTGAGGATATATTTACTGATTTGAGAGAGAGAGACAGAGACAGAGACAGAGAGAGAGAGACATCAATTGGTTTATGCACACTGACCGGGGATCAAACCCACAGCCTAGGTTGTATGTCCTGACTGGGGATTTAACCAGCAACCCTTTTGATGTACTGTACAATGCTCCAACCAACCGAGCCACCTGGCCAGGGCCATTAGGTGTGTTTTTACATACTTAGTAATTTTAGAGAGAGGAGAGGGGAAGGGAAGGAGAGAGGGAGAGAAACTGTTGCCTTTCCTATATGCCCCAACTGAGGACCAAACCCTCAACCTAGGCATGTGCTCTGACCGTGAATTGAACCCGGGACCCTTTGGTTTACGGTGATGCTCCAACCAACTGAGCCACACCAGCCAGGACCAATTATGTATGTTTTTAAAAGAATGTTGTCATTAGAATCAAATTATTTTCTTTCTTTTATAAGAGAAACATTTAAATAAAAGATGTTTGTGTAAAATAACACACTGTGCTAAGGTGTTGTGTAGGGGCCACATTGAAATCATTCAGAACCAAGATTTGTGGGCTGAATTTCTTTTTTCCTTCCCCCAATCAAAAACAAAGCTTTTTTTTCCCCCTAGTAAATAACTTCTTTTAAGTTAGAATTCTATTTCATTATTATTTTCAGCTCATTAAGTGCATTTGTGTAGTGAGAAAATTCTTAAACTTTAGCTATTTTTATATGACTTAGAAGTGATGGGAAAAATTGAGAAATTTTTTAAAAATACAGAAAATACTTAAGCCACTTTACATTTACCACTAGAGGTCTCACTAACTTCAGAAAATTTGATAGCTTTTGACCACATTAGAATAACTTGGCTATCAAGTTAAATTTTTGTAGATTAATGTAATCAGGTAAGTTGAAACAGGTATTTTTTGGTTATGGTATAGAGCTTGTGTTTTGTGTAATTGAACAGAAGAGAGACATAGGAGGATGGGACTCAGACATTCATACTTAAGGATTTGGAAACCATACCTACTGTTTTTGTGTGGAAAAACTTGTTTTTCTTAGTCCTTAATCCTTTAGTTAAACAACATCCACAGGGAAATCTAGCAGTGTGATTTTTTGGTTCACTTGTTTTTGCTTACAATCATACATTTCTGTGTTTATTTGCTTATATTGTAGAATCAGAAGAACAAGGTAGAGTAGATTTCTCCCAGGGGAAAATACTTAATGTTATTAAAGGTAGAGGGAAAAGTATTCTTCCATTAAGCATGTTTACAAATTGTTAGGTTTTATGGAAACGAAATGGACAGCGTTAAACTTCAAGAACAGTAAGTTAAATAGATTGATATCCTAACTTACCAAGTTTCTTCTTAAATACTTAACACTCTTAATTTTGCTCTTCTTTTATTTTTTTGAAGTTGCAAATCACAGAATCATAGAATTGGAACTGGCTAGGTGATTTCTGGCTGGCCTTGAATCTTGGCATATTAGTATCTTAACTTTAAAAAATTAGCATATATATCAAGGTGCAAAGCTTCTCCAGTTAGTAACACCAACATTTTGTTGTAGTGTTTTCAGCTGTCCATAGGAGATCTATACTAACCCAGTATGTTTCACATCAAAATTGTCATTTTTGTCCTCTTAATGTTTGATTTAATTCTTCCTCCTCTTCTCTACTTCCTCTTTCTTCTTCTACTTCCTCTTTCTTCTCCTTCTTCTCCTTCTCCTTCTTCTCCTTCTTCTCCTCCTTCTTCTTCCTCCTCCTCCTCCTCCTCCTCTTTCTCCTCCTCCTCCCCCTCCTCTTCCTTCTCCTCCTCTTCCTCCTCCTCCTCCCTCCCCCCCCTTTTCTTCTTCTTCTTCACCACTATTTTAATTGCTGTTTGGTTTGAAAACTGTAGTGTCATTTTGACATGTTTCTTATAAATTTATATTAGATTTTTTAGAGTAGCTTTCTTTGTTGTCATTTTCTTTTCCTTTCCATATGACTTACCTAGTTTAGGGTCTACTCATCCTGCTGTTCTTCATGCTGCATGAAACTTAGAACAGTTTCCTAGATGGACTCTGTACCTCTAATCTTTCCTTCTCTGCTTCCATTCTGAATACCACTAATAGAAAACTATGGAAATGTATTTACAGCCGTGCTCAAGAATCTAAAATGGCTCCCTGTTCTCTACAATGCCTCCATCACTCCAAGCCTGTATTTTCTGACACTTAAGCTTCTCTTGGATCAGTCTTATCTCTCTGACTGTATTTACTTTCACACCATAGCACAAACCCTTTGGTTAGACTCCTCTAAGCCCTTCAAATGTTGTCATACTCTCCTTGGTGTTCTTCCTACTTATTTTTTAAAGCCCAAATGAGTCCATTCCCTCAAAAAGAAAAAAAAAAAAAAAAGACTTTCTTTACTGTTTAAAGTTGGAACTGTTTTTCTCCCTTTCAGAGCTCTTGTACAAGCTGTTGAATTGCATAGTAGTTAAAAGCATGAAATCATGAACCAGACTCTGTGCTTGGGTTTAGAATCTAAACTTTAGGACATCCAACCCGCAGCCTGGGATGGCTATGAATGTGGCCTAACACAAAATCGTAAATTTCCTTCAAGCCTTTTTTTTTTTTCCCCTCACCAGTTTTCATTAGTGTTTGTATATTTAATATGCAGCCCAAGACAACTCCTCTTCCAGTGTGGCCCAGAGACGCCAAAACGTTGGACACCCTTGCCTGGCTCCGCCACTTACTATTGTGACCTTGGACCCTTTGTGTCTCAGTTTCCTTATAAATAAAATAGAGATAATAGTATTATTTACCCTACAGTGTTATTATGAGGATTAAGAGATGTACTAAATGCTTCTGAAAAGCACCCATAATAGTACAAATCAGTAAAAGCAATTGTTTGTTCTCAGTCTTTTGTTTGTTTGTTTTGTATTTGTGTATGGTGTTCTTGTTTCCCAAATTACGTGTTAAGCTCTTTTTAAGGCAGGGTATTAGATTTTTGTTTCAATTTCTCACGTGCATGGTAGTTCTTCAGTAAAATTTTTGGCTAATTTAATTTCTACGTTCTTGTGTTAAAACCTTCAGTAAGTTCTTTCTTTAAATAATTTAAGCTACTAATAGAGACCTTGGGAAAGCTCTGAGAGAGCCAGGAATACTTTAAGCATTTTCCTTTCTGGGATCAAAGGTGAAGATCTATAAAAAACTTCCACATATGAGGTAACCTCTAGATCTTGATAGTTTAAAGCTGAGAATGTTTTGATATTGGAATAATAAAAAGTGTATTTTTTGGTTTTTAATGTAGAATTAACTTTAATCTTAATTTTTAAGTGGACCACTTTTATAGCTACATGCTAAACTTTAAAAAAGAATGAAATGGCCTTTTCCTATGTGGCTCAGTTGGTTGGGCGCCGTCCTGCTAACCGAAAGGTCGTGGGTTGCCGGGAACTGACTGATGTTTCTCTCTCACATTGATGTTTCTCTCCCTTCCTTTCTCCTTCCTTTCCCCTCTCTAGAATCAATAAAATAATTTAAAAAAAGAATGAAATAATCTTGTTAGCAAATAGTAATCTTTATATAATTATTCCTCTAGCTTCCATGTCAAATATTTTTTAATTAAAAAAAAAAATCTTCCCCTTTTTCACAGGACTTCCGGACCCATTTGCTAAGGTGGTGGTTGATGGATCTGGGCAATGCCATTCTACAGATACTGTGAAGAATACACTTGATCCAAAGTGGAATCAGCATTATGACTTGTAGGTTTAAATGATTTATCTGAAATGAAACGTAAAATCAGTGTTATTTGTTATAGTCTTTGAAAAGAATCACTGAAAAAGATCTGAATTTGATCCATGGTATAATTTTGTTTTCACAAAGAGATATAAAACCTACTGGGAAAATACTTTGGCTAATTTATAGCTGGTTTTGGAAGATGAGCTGTCCTTTATAATGACCCTATGAAGAACAAAATGTGTACACGGTATAGAGCAGTTTCCTCCCCCTAGTATTATTAATTAAATAAAGCTTTAATTCACATTTGGTGAATTACAAGTATAAAACCAGAAATCACAGTTGGCGTTCACTCACAGGCATTCTTTTTGCTTTTATATGGATGGTTTCTTTCCTTTTAATTTTATTTTAATCATAGTAGTATATGTACCTTTTAAAAAAGGCAAACGATACTCTAAGGCTTTTAATGGGAAAATGCAGTTCTCGGCTCCATCCTTATTCCTGATTCCCATTCTCAAGGTAACTGCTTTCAATAACTTTGGTTATTTTATTTCAATGTGTCCTATCCCTCCCTCTCTCCCTCCTCCTCTGCCCCCCAACAACGATTTTTTTGTTCCACTTCTTTATGTATTCCTTAAGCTGCTACTTGGATGTGCTCCAAGCAGAGATTGTATTGCAGCCTTGGTGAATGAGACACGCTCTAACCAACTGAGCTACCTGGCCAGGGCCTGGTATTTTCTTCTGTTTCTAGATATCATGCTTATTTTATAGCATCTTGATATATAAATATACACTTTTTTAATTTTAGGTATTATTTTAAAATTCCTACCATAGAAAATGGCTTAGCTTTCACAGCTGATATCTCTTATCCTCACTCCCACCCACGTGCCCCTTCCTTTATCCCAGCCCTCCTATAGTCACTTGAACCTTTTTGGTTAACTCACTGTTTTATGTTTATATCATTACCATGTAGATACTCAATACCGAGTCACATGGTGTGCTGTGATTATATTTCCTTTCTTGACAACTTCTGTTTTTCTGAAGTTAATAGCTATTTACCATTTGTTTAGTTTTCTGTCTCTGTCATTGATTAATTCACAACCTCTCCTATAGGACTCTCTTTTGCATATTTTCAACAAGTCTATTGGCTCTGTTTCCTTCTTGGAGATAGCCCTCCTGGAGCCTCTATTCTTTTGCTCTGGTCTGGTCTGGTGGTTCTCTAAGACCTGCTGCACATTTGTCCTGGAACTTGCCTTTATCATTATGTTGGGAATTTCCTTTGTCTTTTCTAGACTTCCAATGACTTCCTTTTTTTTGTTTTTTGTTTTGTTTTTTTTGGATTACTTCCTTGTTTGGTGAAGTCTGTCTTTGATTGTTATCTTAAGAGTTCAAAGATAAAGATATGGAAAATTACTTTGAGATCTTGTCTGAAAATATATTTTGTCTTTTTACTTGATTGATAATTTGAGTATAGATTTCTAGGTAAGATATCACTTTTCCTCCAAATTTTGAATACATTGTTCCATTGTCTGCTAGGACAGTGCTGAATAGAAATATAATGTGAGCCACAAATAGTGATTCATCTGTAATTTTAAGTTTCCTACTAACCACATTAAAAAGAATAAAAAGAAACAGATGAAATTACGCTGTATATTTTATTTAATTCAATATATCTAAAACATTTTTATTTCAACATGTAATTAGTAATAAAATAATTACTGAGTTCTGTTACTTATGGAGTGCCTCAATTTGGACTTGCCACATTACAAGTACTCCATAGCCCCATGTGGATGGTGGCTATCATTTTAAAGTATTGTTGATGCCATCTTGAATTTGCTCCTTCATGATTATTGTTTTCCACCAGAAGATTTCAGAGTATTCTCTTTATGCCTGATGTTAAATTATTTGATGATGGATTTGGTGTGATGGATCTGATACATAGTGCTAGATAATGGGACTTTTTAGTTGTTATTCCACTTATTTTATGTTTTCATTGGTTGCTGCTTGTATGTGCCCTGACTGGAGATCATACCAACAACCTTGTTGTATTGGACGACACTCTAACCAGCTGAGCTAGCTGGCCAGGGCAGATATAATGGGACATTTTAATCTGGGTAGTCTCTATGGGAAATGTTTTCTCTTATTGGTAGATGATTTCCTCTTCATTTTCCTTCTCTTGTTTTCCTTTTCTGGAACTCCTGTTATTTGGATATTATCCCTTGTAAATTGATCATAGTTTAGTGGTCCTATCTTTTTTCTCCCATATTTTATCTTAGTTTTAAAAAATGTTTGTTTTAGTAAAAAATTAAGAACTATAATAAAATATCTGCACTGTTTGCCCAACTTTGTTTTTCAGCGTTCCTAATATAATTTCTTCTTTCACATTTTTAACTTCAGAGGTTCATTTTGCTTTCTGACTATCCCTTTTTCATAGCCGCTTCTTATTTCTTGGATGCAATATTGTCTCTGATGAGAAAAATGAATATTGTAGTTTTTTTCTGTTACTTGTATTGACTCTCTTTTCTCAGAATTCCTTTTTACCCCCTATTAGTTTGGTTTGGGGGAAATGTTGATTGGAAACCCTGCCCATGGGTAGAGGTGGTAAACTCTCTAGGGTAAGCAGGTGTAATTAGGACATTTTTATTGCACATTATTCTCCCACCTCCTGCCTGGGGCTGTAACCTTGGATGCCAGTGTTCTTGGAGATAAACAGTATTTAGATTGCTAGGAGGACTCTTCATTTACTTTCTTAACCTCTTCTTAATACCCCTGTTTTGATTATGGAATTTTGCCTCTTCCATCATCTGTGCATAGCGTCCCGGAGTAGAGAACTTTTCAGAGGATAAACCTTTGGTCTGCCAGGGTTGAGGATGAACTGGTTGAAGGAAGGGATTTGGTAGGTTTTCCTGTTCCTTTTAAACACTTTGGCCAATCCTTTTGTTTCAGCTCCACCATCACCATCACCATCACCATCATAGTATCTTGGGCTTACAGTTTGGCAATATTTCAGAGGTTTGGTGGCAGCAATAGTCTTTTTTTTGTCTGTCCCTTCCTACAGGCATAGGTTTCAGTTTTCTCCAGGTTGCTAATTCAGTTATCACGTGTTAATTGTCCTGATATCTTGACTTTCCAAGTCATTAGCCTTTTAAGCTTAACAGTCATTGTGTTTCATTCTTTGTCAACCTCAGCTTTTCTTCAAAATGTTCCACTTGACCTTACCTACAAAAACTAGTCTTTTTCGAAGATATTCCATCAAGGCCCTGGCCAGGTAACTGCTGGTTGAGTGTCATCTGGATATGCAAAGGTTATAGGTTCAGTCCCTGATTAGGGCGCATACAAGAATCTTCTCTCTCTCCCTCTTCACCCCCCTTTCTTCTCTCTCTAAAAAGTCAAGAAAATAAAAAATTAAAAAAACAAACAACCCGTCTAGGCCTGACATCTCACCTACTTATTTTTAGACTATTAGTTCTAAAACTACCGTACCCAGCTTAGCTTTGTCTCTGATCAGTTATTTATATTTGACCTTCTAAACCACATGGAAACAAATCCCCTGCAACTTTAAGATAGCTAGAGACAACTAAGAATTATGCTTTTCTGTATGCTCTTCAGTGCTATGGCTCAGCAACTCCAACTCAACTTAATAAGCAAATAAATAGCAACTAAAAGGTAGGCAGTAGAGAGAAGTGAGACTACTTAGCTTCCCAATTCTACCACTTATTGTGTGGTTATCAGCTTATTATCTAACTCCTTATGCATCAATTTCTATTAATAATAATGACAATAATGCCTTTAGAGGACTGATATAAATATTAAATGAGATAATGCATGTAAAGTACTCAGACTAGTCCCTGGCATGTAATTCTCAAAGGCCAGACGGTTTTAATAAGTACATTATTTTAGATCACAAAGTTTTTATTGGTTTGACCTTTAGGGGTTTTGAAAATACAGCTGTAATAAGTTACTATCTATTTAGCTTGACCAAGCTTTAGAGTTCTTAATCAGATGGTTTTAAGCCATTTCTTTTTAGCTTCAATCAGATTTAAATTCAGCCAGAGACCCAGTTGCAACAGTGAACAAGACATAGTCTTCCAAACTTACAGCCAAGTATCGCAGAAAGACAAGTAAATAGGGAACTACAAACAGTGTGATAACAATTTGAGGAAGTATAGGGTGCTGTGGAAATATATAGAACTTCCTCACAGGGATTTAGGAGTTGGGTGGAGCTTCCTAGAAAAGTGGCATTTAGACTTAGACCTTAAGTAAGAGTTCACTTGAAAAAAGAAAAGGTCAGGAGGCCCTAAGCGAAAGCATTCTGTGTAAAGACCCAAAGGAGAAAGGGAGTGTGACTCTGGAAACAGTTTAGCGAGGCAGCATTGTTGAGTTCACATAAGGTAAGGGGAATGTGGTAAAAGAAAAGCAAAGAGAGGCAAGCAGTAGCCAGCTCATGAAGGTCTTTGAAAGCTTGTTAATAACTTTGAATACTCTCCTAAAAGCAATGGGAGCAGGGAAAGTGTTTTAGGTAGGGAAATGCTATAATCAGGGTTATATCCAAGAATGAACACTTTGACTATAATGTGAAGACGTTAGAGGGAGGCAAAAATGGCAAAAGATACTGTGTTCAACACTATGGAGGAATCTGGCAAATAGGAAATGATGACTTTATGTTAAAAAGAGTGGGAATGGAGTGATGTAGATATTCTAAATATTATTTATTTATTTTTTTATTTAAAAGATACTATTTATTTTTTAGAGAGATAGGAAGGGATGGGAGGAAGATAGGGAAACATTGATGGGCTTCCTTTCACACCCCCTCAACTGGAGACCTAGCCCACAACCCAGGTATGTGCCCTGACAGGGAATCAAACTGGCGACCTTTTGGCTCATTGGCTGGCTGCTGCTCAGTCCACTGAACCACACCAGCTAGGGCCTAAATATTTTTCAATATGACCTTAAAACCTAAAATTTTTTTTAATCAACAAAAAGAAAATCATTGTATCTTGGCTTATAGGCTGTGGTTTGCTGATTCCTCCCTTAGGCTCCTTGCTTTTCTGATCTTCATGCTACAGTCTTTCTCAGCAAAGCAGCTAGAGTGATCTGGTTAAAACATATTTCAAATCTTCTTACTCCTCTGCTCTAAATCCCCATTGGCTTCCTATGTTACTTGGGGTAAGAGCCAGAGTTCATACCACTGCTGACAAAGAGGCCCTTTATGATTGGCCCCCTGTATTGGTTAGAGCAGGCTAACTGATAAAATAGACAGCACCAAATTTTCATTGGCTTAATACAGTAGAAGTGTATTTTATATATAAAGTCCATTTGGCAGGGAGGTGAGACACAGTCAGTCAGTCAGGTAGGGATACAGGCTGACAGAAGCTTTTGTTTGTGGTGTATAGTCTCAAGATCTCTATGCGCCTTGACATACAGCCTCCCAACAGGATACTTAAGCCATGGTGGGCTGCTCTAAGAGCTGAGAGAACCAGTGTTTTAGCATACCAGTAAGTCAAGCTTCCCAGTTGGGAAACTGATTCAATGTGGTTTAAAAAAAATGCTTGGCTTGGAGTAGTTAGCTATTTAATACATGATTCTGGTTCTAGAATTTTGACAAGTCATGCACTAGATACTTGCCATGTTAGTTCTATTTGAAAATTGGTAAATGCATACCGAATGATATTTTAGTTCATATTTTTCATTAGCAAGCAACAGGAATGAAATTTAAATTGGCATAATTTAATAAAAGGTAATGTAGTAGCTTGTATAACTAAAAGTCTGTGGGGGTGGGCTGGGGATGCTTTAAACATAGCTGGATCCAGGGGCACAAGTGTGGCTTCCATGTTCCTCATGTAAAGATTTTAGGCTTTTTAATATATTAGGTGAATTTTTCTGAATTTACTGCTTTATTGAATGACACCTTAAGGTCAAGGTTGCTGGACCAAAAATTTGACCTCTTAGAGTTACTGAAATATAGATAGGGTTCTACTGATAGAACTATGTTATATTTTTGCATGGGATAACACCATGTTAACAATTGGCTGTGGTAGAGATTTTACATACTTGCAGGTATATGCACAGACAAGTATAGTAACGCTTTCCCCTGCTCTGCTTGTCTGCAGGCAGTGAAGTGAAATCTGCAAGAGTCCTGCTCGCTCAAGGCCTGCATACAGGAAAGAAGCAGGGGAAAAGCGTTACAGTCAGCTTTTGTTCTACAACATTTTAAAACATAACAGGTATGTCAGATTTTTGGTCTGTCAGCCTTGACAATGCCCCTTGAAAATGAACTGAATACTCTCTGAGGTAGTAGGTTATATGATTGAAATGTATTTAAAATATGGCTGTGATAAAAGTCCTTGTAAGATTTTTGTTCTTGGAAAGAAATAATTATAAACTCCCATAGTGTTATTTGACTCCAGCTACTAAAATAGTTTTTTCACTAACAAAACTTGTTACTCAGCCTGAGAGTGGCAGATGCGATAAAGGATATATTACAAATTCCTTTTAAGGAATTTAAGATTGTTTTAAAAATTTAAATTCATTCCTATGGATTGATTGAACTCAAAACATGTTTTGCATTAGCTAGCCATACTCTGAAACATTTGTGAGTCAACTACAAAAACAAAAGTTGTACACTAACTAATTGTAATTGTCAAGTTACTCATGAAGTCATTTTGGGTTTTTTAGGTATATTGGAAAGTCTGATTCAGTTACGATCAGTGTATGGAATCACAAGAAGATTCATAAAAAACAAGGTGCTGGATTTCTTGGTTGTGTTCGTCTTCTTTCTAATGCCATCAACCGCCTTAAAGACACTGGTTGTGAGTAGATACTAGTACTTTTTAAATTTTACATATATACATGTTTGGAGGAGGAGGCAGTGGTCCAAAAACCTAACTTCTGTGTATGTTTGAAACACTGGTTAAAAGTTCCTAGTCTAAATTTATGTTATGGACTTAAAAAAAATGAAACATTTTAAATATGTGAATCTTAGGACTGAATCAGAGCTGATGCTTAGTTTCTAGTGAATATGTAAGGGTTAAGAAATGATTAATATCCAGAAGAATAAAAAGAAAGGTGTCAAAGTATATATGCCTTTAAAATTTTTTTTTTTTAATTTCTTAGTATCCTTCTCTGGTTTTGGTGGATTTGTGAGCTAATATGAGTATTATTTTGGTGATTGGAGTGTTTAAGGTGGCAGTTAATGGGGAATTACTAATGGATAAAAATATATAAAACTGGAAAAATTAAAAGTTGCAGAAAAGGTAAACATTATTTTGAGTATAAGACAGATGTATTAACTTATTTAACTATAGCTTAGATTTCACCAAGCTGGGCATTTAGAAAATTAGACCAAGATCAGGACATTAGAAGTGATTTCCATAGTGGACTGAAAGTTGACTTAGCATACGTATAATTCATGTAACCAAGTGACAAAGCATCTTTTTGGAAGTGTTTCCATTGGGACTTAGATGGTCATATGTTTTTGAACAGAATTTTTCTGTTTCTACAGAATTCTTTTTCAACATAAAGTAAAAAAATTGTTAGCTATTGCTATGGGATTTTAGCCCTGATGCCTATACTAAGGAAAAATTCACATATAATCTGGCTAAGGAAATTAATAAATAAAAAAGAGTAAATTTAGCTTTGAGTGTTAGATATATTGAGATGATCTCTCTTAATGCAGTATCGTACCACAGCCCAGATATATAATACTGACCTGTTAAAAAGAAAAAGGGAGAAAACTTGGCTAGAATTTCCTAGGGGAATTTGGAGGCAACTAAGAATTTCTTATGTTTCTGGATTGACAGGGCGACCAACAGGAGATAGAAAACATGGGGATTGGAAAAGGCCTAGCCTATGAAAACAAACTTTTATTACCCAGCCCAGGAGGCAGATTAAAAATTTATAGGTCACACGTGTAACCTTCTCTCTGGCTTAATTTAGCCAACATGTACTGAACCTTTAAATATTGTTCAAAATCCTGGTGATGCAAAGGTGAAAAAGGCATGGATTTTGTCCTCTTAGACGCAAGGGCAAAGGCCTCCTGGCACAGGGAGCAGGACATGTTGGAAGGACAGAGCAGAGAGGAGTTGCTTGCACAAGTCCATCGTCTAGCTGACTTAGCGGTGTTCATTTATTTTGCAGAGGGAAACGTGTCTGTATTTTTGACCAGGTGCTATAGTTTGGGGTCATGGATTTTTTTTTTCCTGCTGCTATGAATGTTTTATTGCATTATTTTATATGAACTTTTTGATGGCAGTAACGTTTAATTTATCAAACATTTATTGAGCACCTGATATACTTGGGGTGGAGAATACAAAGACTATAATATACCTTCTTTTATCAATTCATGATTTATTTAAGTAGATTAGGCAGATAGCTGTAAAAGAATTCAGGTGTAAGTACTGTAATCAAAGTAAAACCAGTATGCTAAGGTTGACATTGTTCTGTACTGTAACTGGCCAGGCCAGTGTTATACCTGTTTTATAGGTGAGGCATGAGAGAATGAGTTGCCCTCAATTGAGTTAGTAGCAGAAGTGATGCAAATGCTTATCTTACAGTGTATTCTTGGCTGCTTATTAATACTTTGTGTGTGTGTGTGTGTGTGCGCGCGCGTGCGTGCATGAGGGAGTCATTTGAAAATGGTTAGAGGAAAAAAACAATGACAACAACTATTTATTGAACACATGTGCCAGGTCCTTTGCTAAGAGCTTTATACAATTATCTCATTTTATCCTTAGGAAATATGAAGTAGGTACTATTATGCATGAGACTGTCAGACACAAGGGTAGCCCTGGTTGGTGTGGCTCAGCCCGCCAAATATTTTGATTCCCAGTCAGGGCACATGCCTGGGTTGCTGGCCAGGCCCTCAGATGCAGGCATGTGACAGGCAACCAGTTGATGTTTCTGTCACATACCAGTGTTTCTCTCCCTCTTTCTTCCTTCCTTCCCCTCTCTAAAAAATAAATTAAATCTTAAAAAAAAGATACAAGGATAAATTGCTGAAGAACAACTGTTAAGTGGCAAGCCAAAGTACAGACTGAAGTGGTCTGAAATCTTTGGAGAGAAAGTAACTGCATGTTGGCAATATTCCACCAATGTTTTGTGGTTTTTGAAATCTGAATTCATCACAACTCTTTGGAGACATTTATAGTATACGTACAGTTAGAAATTAAAAATGTTTATTTCATCATTAACGTGATTAATTCTTTAAATGATAGGTTTGATTTCCAGTAGGTTGTGGAAATTTACTATCACTCAATAGCTGTTTGAACCTCTGATACCAGTTTCTTTTTTAATTGCTTTTTGTTGTTGTTGTTGATTTGAAATAGATCAGAGGTTGGATCTCTGCAAACTTGGGCCAAATGACAATGATACAGTTAGAGGACAGATAGTAGGTAAGTGTGGAACTTGAAGTTACATGAATTTTGGTTTCAATCAAGCTGAACTAAACTCTAAATACCTTTTAAATCAAAGTACAATTGTCGTTTCATTGTATTGGCATGAATTAAATGAGTCGTAAAATGTTTTAAGCAGTGGATGTAGGATGTAGACTAACTTAATTTTTTAAAAAACCCAACAAACTTAAAAATGAAAGCCTCTAATGTTGTGAATAACTATTGATCCTTTAGGAAGCAATTCTTTTAAAGTGCCATATTTTGCCCTGTATAATGTGCACCCATGGTTTGTGTGCTTTATACATGGGATTATTATAGTCATGGTATGTAATCATTATACCCATGTATAATGCACATCCTTATTTTTCCTCAAAAATTTGGGCAAAAAAGTGCGCATTACACACAGCAAAATATGGTATACAAATAAAGTGGAGCACTGAGACTTTATAGATGGTATTAAAGTTTTCTGAAAATCTCATACTGGTTTTTGAGTAAATATTGAACACTTTGCTTAATGCTTTACAGTTTTAAAATAATCTGTGCTAATTGAAAAGGAAACAGGATGAAGAATGGTTTAAAAAAAAGAATGAGCACTGACTGGAAAAAGGGAGAAATTGTTTACCTTGGTCAAGGAACTTAGTGGGCTAATGGACTATCTAGAATTGTCCCAGAGGAAGGACTTTCTGTAAAATTTCCTGAGACTTATCTTAAGAATTGATGGATGTTGATCAAGATTCATAGCATGGTAGGACACTGGGGTGGGCTTCTTTAGGGCTTTCTAAAAAAGAAAAAACAACTGAAATCATACCACTTCATTATAGAGCAGGATTTAGAATAAGATGATTGTATTATGAACCTGCCAAAGAGGTATTATTACCACATGTGCTTGAAGGACTTCATTTTACAAGGCAATGAATTGGGTTCATAGTTAGGGAATTGCCAGAGTAGAAACATAACAAAAGCCCTTATTGCAGTTATCACAGGGAAGTATTTATACTGCAGCATGTTGATAATTCCTGGCATTCTTACGATGAGAAGGGAGTAAGAAACTTAAAAATAAACCATGGCTTACAAGACTTTTCCTACTTTATTTGATTTGGTATGTTATATAATATTTATCAACTAACATAACAAAATAGTTTTAGTAGGTGTAAATTTGCATTTATAAAAATAGCAGACTTTGTTACTGGTTAGACATATACCTATTGGAGTATACTATATAAAAAAAGAATGTTTTACTTTAAAATGTGTGTGTGTCTTGTGTATTTTTTAATTTAAAGCTCTTGTGTGAATTTGTGTTCATAATAAAGGTAGGCTGGACCCAAACATTATGCTTTATGATCCTACAGTTCTGTCATTTAAGAACAAAATAAATTCTTGTTCTTTAACAGCTCTTTGGGAAATGGAGAAATGTTCACTAGAACACTAACTATAAAAATATATATCCCCTTCTAATATTTTTACATACTTGTATATGTATATATACTTTTTATGGTTTTAATTACAATGAATTTAAAATTTTTATTTTGCTTTCTTTCACTTACTGTAACCATTATTCATGTTTATAATAGATTTTTAAAGGGTGAATTATATAAATAGATCAGAACTTGATCATTGGACTGTCATTTTTTGCTATTATAACATTAGGACTTGCAAACCATGTTTGTACATTTAGCTTTATCACTTTTTTCTTATTGTTACCTTAGAAAAAGTCTCCCGGGTGACATGTGGAATTGTGTCCCTGGAACCTGGGTCATTTAGTTAACCAGGGTCATCCAAGTAAATTCAACAAAAAAAGAAAAAAAAAAAAAATCTCAAATTGAGATGATTGATTCAAGGGTTACAAACACTTTTCCTTGCATTTAAAATTGTTAGTCTTTTCCAACTCTTGTAAGGTTTTTTTAAAAAAATTCTGTTTTTATAAACTAAAATAAAAATATAGACAGAGGACCTAAGGCGCACCCATAATGTGCTGTCGTTATTATTTTCATGTGCATCTTTCTCTTGGTTTTAAAAATGAGAACATACCATGCAGACTTGTAAATAACCAGTTTCAACCTGTTAAACATTTTTTTTTTTTTTTTTTTTTTTTGGTCCATGGATACATTTCTATAGCATTTTTAATTTAGTTTGGTACTCTGTCACCGGCAAATAATTAATTTAACCAGTTTCTTATTGTTGGACATTTAGGTTGTTTCTGGTGTTTTATATTATGAGTAGTGCTCTAATAATAGGTTTTCTATGACTGATTTTATATATTGCTAGAATTAGGCTATTTAAAAACAGAATCCCATCTAAAAATTTCTTAGGTATTTTGTAATAACAGCATTCTGGAGATGTATACTGAAGCTTATGGACTCCCTTAGCTTTGATCCTTAATATTATTCTAAACAAAGCTAGTAAGAAAATACATTGTTTCTACTGTGATTGTATCATGGTAAGCATTTCAGTTAGCCTTTCTGATAAAAACTAATTAATATAATTTTCAGTACAATTTTAATGCTAATGTTTTATTTATGTTCAAGGAGAAGGTGTGTTACATTGTTGTCTCCTATAAAAGGAGCTATATGTTAAACTTTCTAATTTTTCAAAATTTTTACAGAGCTGGAAAATTTCTGAAGTTTGAGACACGTCCTAGAATGGAGGGTTTTAAGAAATCATGCCTTTCTGTAGTAGTCTTTAAGTAGTTGGGCTGTAGTCAATTTTTTTGTACCTCTTTTTATCTTTTGGGAGAGTTGCCAAAAATAGAATACAAGAATAATAGAGCAGCAAGGACTTCAGGCATCTTATTTAACTGAACTTCCTCATTATTCAGATTGGGATTATCTCAGCCTCAAGGAAGTTAAGTGTTGTGTTCAAAGTCACAGTGCTAAACTAGTTGGTATAGGCTGATTTAGAGTTCACATCTCTTGCTGCCAAGCTTATTAATAGTAGTTTCATACTACACTAGATGATGATGTACTGTTTTAACTCATAGCATTCAGGTCTTACCCTATTGCCAGAATCTAGTGTATTTTTTTTTTTAAAGATGGGTTAAGAATCAAACTGAGATTAATGTGATCTTTTCAGTGTTCTCATGTACGTGAGTATACCTTTTATGTGTTATGTCTCTTAAGCGCAGTAGTAGCCTTGCATTGCCCAGTATGATGGAAAAAAGTAATTAGACTCTTTTCCATGAACATGATAAAATGTAGGAAACCTTAAAATTCTGATATTACTCCTAAAGGGAAAAAAAAATTCATGAAAAAAATTACAGAATTTAGTAGAAACTTAAAGAGTTTATTCTAAAGTATTAAAATAGCTAAGCCAGATGACTTTTAAAGATACATATATATTAAGTTATAATAATTCTTTCTTCTTCTATGACTCCTAGTAATGTTTTTGTTGTTTAATAGTAAGTCTTCAGTCCAGAGACCGGATAGGCACAGGAGGACAAGTTGTGGACTGCAGTCGTTTGTTTGACAATGATTTACCAGATGGGTAAGCTAAAATCATTAGAGAAAAATGTAGATAATATCCTTGTAATAATGAGAAATAAGTTGGTATTTTTGTATACTTAACTTTAAAAATTTGCTGATTAATTCCACAATCTGGGTTTTCCTTGTACTTGGAAAATTAATAAGGGATTTTGTCATAAATTTATAAAATAAGCCATGAATTAGAAATTAAATTTGGTTCTTAAGAGTATTGACTAGGAGACAAATCAAATTTCTTAATAAAACTCTCCTGTAAATATTATACATCCAAAAGGAAAACCTTTTGTTTGATTAAATTATTCAAAGCCGCACATGTAAGTGCAGAATCTGAGATATTACTCTATTAGAGGGATAGGATAGAGAATCTGTGTAATATTAGTTATAATAACATAGTAACATTTATTGAGCATACATGTGTCAGATATTGTTATAAGTACTTTATAGAATACATTTATGTCATTTAATTCTCATTGCATGTGATTCTGGAATTAGATCATCTGGTATCCAGTCCTTAGTCTTCTGCTAAGGACTTCTGCTTACTAGTCTTCTGCTTACTAGCTTCATGAATATGATCAATTTATTTAACTTCTGTAAGCTAAGAAGATGTGATAATAGTACATATGTCATAATTGTTGTAAGAATTAAATGAAATTATTTGTGTGAAGTATTTAACACAATATCTTCCATGTAGTACGTGCTTAATAAATGATTAGCTATTATTATTACTACTGCTCATTCATTTCACAGATTAAAAAAACTAGAACTCAAGAAGTTAAGTAACTTGCCAAAGGCTGCATAATGAATGACAGAGCTGAAATATAAATTTAAGCTCTAATTCCAAAGCTCTTTGTCACTTAATCTTTGTTAATACTAGTTCTGACACTTCTCTGATTTTATTTTTTAATTTCAAAGTATTTTTTATTAAGTTCAATGAGGCATAGTTTATATATACTATAAATTATATCCATCTAAAGTATATAATTAGTTGAGTTTTGACTTATTTTTGACATGAAATTTTATATCCAATTTATGGTATTTGCTCTTTGTATTTGAACTGTTAAAAATCACTATAATTTAAGTTTGTTTGTAGATCACTGTAGGTTCTTGATGTATCTGTTAACTTTTATGGATATGAGGTAGATCATGGTACTTTTGAAGGGGAAATTTAAGATGAAATAATATTGAGAGATTACAACAATGTAAGTCTTAAGCATTCTAAGCTTGCTTTATATTATTGAACTATAATTGTAATCACAGGGGGAAAGAACCTCTTATATTTTTAAAGCCCCCAAACATCTAATGTTTTAGTGGGAATATTAACATTATCACATTTCTATAGTTATTAGACTTTTTTTGTTACGTGAATTAATAAGAAATTGAGGAAGAAGTGGCATTGTTGCTTTTTAAAAAAATTTGAGTAGGCTAAACACTTTAAAAAGCTTTTCTATACTTTCCTAGTTAAATTTAATTTTTTAAAAATTGTGTGATTTTTATTTTTAGTATGGCCTCCCCCTGCCCCCACTAAATTCTGGGGAAATTAGTGTAATTTAACTGAACATTATTGACATAATTGGAAAATTCTCAAAGTTTGACTGATGGAAAATACTAGTCCCATCTCAGTGTAAATGCTTTAGAAGCTTTAGAATTCCATAAGTTATATTGTACATTTAAAAAAGGTAAGTTGAAAAAATTCCTACATTCTGTGTATTGATCTTTCAGTTTGTCATTTTTGATTCATACTCACAAATCTCTTCTTGGTTTGGTTATTACACTAAAACAGTTCGTATCCAACTTCCTAGTCATTAGTATCTTATCTCTTAACATTTTTATTTAAGCTGGGAAGAAAGGAGAACTGCCTCTGGAAGAATCCAGTATCTAAACCACATAACAAGAACTACACAGTGGGAACGCCCTACACGGTGAGAACATACAAATATCTTCCCCTGTTCTGTGCTATTCACCCTCCTGAAGTCATCCCTTTCTGTTTAACTATCAGCTTTACCGGATTTCCTGTCGTGGTTTACACTGCTCTAGATAAGTAGATTTATAGCAAGTGTCATTATTTTTAAAAAGTAATTTTCAGTAAGGATTGTTTAGTAGTCTATCCTGTTATTGTAGCTGCAGGGCCTGTGATGGTACTCAGTAAATATTTATTAAATGAATTAAATGAATAAATTAAGAAGTCATCTTACTAAAAAAAAATTTGTTTTGAGTCCATTACTGATTGGTTGTAACAAAATGTATATACAGGATCCACTTTTGTTCAGCCATGTAGGGGGATGATTGTATTTATTGCGTCAAGTAAGGTCTGTAATCAAGATAAGAACCAAATACTGTGAGACCATATGGAGGGGCACCTGACTTAAGAGTAGGGAGACAAGGGGATAGTGGAACTTGGAGAAGAAAATTCTGAAGGAGCGGAACTTCTGCATTACAGCCCGAGAAACTTTAGGATTTAGCTAGGTAAAGAGAACATGATGAAAAGTGTTCAGGGTAGCACTGTACTCAGCTTTTGGGTGGTACCATTGAACAAGGTGGAAAGACCTTCATGGATCTTAATTTCTAAAGACATAGGAATGCAAGATATTTTTGGAAATTCCAAGGAAGGGCTTCATAAGTGACTGAAAATGAATAGGATAAGTGGCTGAATTTTTTTTCCTTTTTTCCTTTTTTTTTTTTTTTTTTTAAAGCAAGAACAAAGTTTGCCCTGGCCAGTGTGACTCATTTGGTTGGAGTGTCATCCTGTAACCGAAATGTTGAGGGTTTGATACCCAGTCAGGGCACATGCTTAGGTTGTGTGATCCCCAGTCTGGGCGCATCTGAGAGGCGATCAAGCAATGATTTTGTCCCACATCGATGTTTTTGTCTCTCCCTTCCTCTCTCCCTTCCCCTTTTTCTAAAAGCAATGAAAAAATGTCCTCAGGTGAGGATTAAAAAAAAAAGAGTTCAATGAAAAGAAAAAAAAGTAAGAACAAAGTTTATTTGCCACCTGTGCTCAGTGCTTTGTCCCCACTGCCCCGCCCTTTTTTTTTCCCCCTTAAGAAGGTCTGGCTGGCACCAGACATGGAACATCAAATGCTTCTTATTAGCTATACATACTTTTATTTACTAAGGAGTAACTGCTCAACTTATTGAATCTTGAAGTTTTCTCTGCTGTGATTCTTGGGTGAAAGCTTAGCTCATATTGCCATTTTTAAAAATGCTTATTTGAGAGTTGTATTTCTAGTATTAAACTGCCAAGTTTTTTATTGAAGTCAGATAGCCCATTTTTATTATATCTGAGTGTAAATGAATGTGTGCTTGTCAGTGTTTTAGTGAAATCCATTTCCTTCTAATTTATTTAACTGATAAAATTGACTTTAATTTCCACATTTATAAAGCTGATTGTGTTGTAAATGTTAGTTTAAAAGTTAACTTTTGATTATCCTCTTATTTTGAATGACCTACGATAGCCTGGGAGCTCTTTGAAGAGACAGACTATCTTCTTTCCTTTATTCATTCAATAAATATTTATTGAGCTATTCTTATATATATGTGCCAACCACTATTCTGGGTGTGGGGAATATGTGTGGCAGGAAACAAGTTAGGCACTCTCATCTCTCAGCAAGTATTCTAGTGTCGGAAGACAGGCAAAGACAAGGATGCAAATAAGAAAAATATCAGAAATAACTGCTATGCTGGGGAATTAGGGTGATATATTATCAAATGCTTGTGTGACTATTTTAGATTCAAATGTCAGGAAGGATCTCTTAGAGGCCACATTTAAATTAAAGCTGTGATTTGAATGACACAAAAAAAGAAAAGAAAAGAAAAGGAGGTTGGCCTAGGAAGAATGGGAGAAAAAAGCATTTTGGGTGGAAGGAAGAGCTACCGTCCAACATTAAAGCAGATGACTTTGCAGGTTCAAGAACAGGGAGAAGCAGCATGGGAGAACGGTGCGAATCAGGTATGAGAGGGAGGTTGTAGCTAAGTCAGGTAGTGCTTTGTGAACTAGTACTCACATCTACAAATATATGTGGATTTCATATAAAATGTAATTAAAATCAACATGAACTGATTGAAAGATATAATTGACATTCTGCTTATCACTTGCATTTCATTGGTGTGTAGAGGCTTCGGGCTTTTATTCAGAGTTTTTGAAATCATGTTTTTATGAATCATTCCATTTTCCTATAAGTGATTGTTACTGCTGTACGTGTGTTGTGGAGCAGTACATTCAGAGAGCTCCACTGAATTGAGTAACTTTTTTTCCCTGTTACTTTCCACAGACCGGCATCTGAATATTCTAGTCCTGGCAGACCTCTTAGCTGCTTTGTTGATGAGAACACTCCAATTAGTGGAACGAATGGTGCAACATGTGGACAGTCATCAGATCCCAGACTGGCAGAGAGGAGAGTCAGGTCACAACGACATAGAAATTACATGAGCAGGACACATTTACATACTCCTCCAGACCTACCAGAAGGCTATGGTATGACAACTAGCAGAGAAAAAATAAAGTATGGTTTACTGATTTCAGCTTGCTAAGAAAGCCGGAAAATCAACTTTTAAAGAAGTTATTAATCTGGGTTTAGGAATTCTGCATGAAAATAAAAGTAAATGTAAAACCTCCCAACTTTGAAAAGTCTTTCAAGTGGTAGAAGACTACCTGAACAACAGTTTGACCTTGGGCTAGTCATTTAACCTCAGCCTTTTTGCTTTTTTATAATGAAATAAGATGAATGATACCTCTCTTTATCACAAAAGTATTATGAGGAGCATATGAAACAATATGAGACTTCTTTGTAAATAGGCCCTGTATAAAGGTAAGATGGTATTGTTATTGATAATGGTAATCTGAAGTCAGACCTGAAATGTAATTTCTTAGGCGTACATATTTAGAAATAACTTGAAAAGCGTATTTCTGATGGCATTTATATATTTGTATTATCTATAATTTTGGGTTATCTGAGTAATTGGGTTATTGTTGTAAATGACTTAGTCATTTCTGTTTGTATAAAATGATATGATTTCCTAAATTGTACAATTTCATGTGGAAGATGATATGAATCTTCCAGTTGAATACAGAACTTGATAAATTAATCACAACTTGTGAACTCTAGTAGATAGTATGAACTCCTTCTCCTCTTCTTTCTTAGTAAATGTTAACCAGTTACATCCTGTCTCAACAGCTCGCCTGTAAACTATCCTGGGCTGCTGGTGACACCTAATGACCAACATTGGGAATCTCCTGACCTAACTTATTTTTACTGTAGAATATTTTTAAAACTGTTCTGCAAATGCATGATTTTAACTGCATTTTTAAATGTATTTTAACTCTTAATTTAAAAAACCCAATTTGCCCATGGATTGTTCTGTGCTGCATGGGTGAACTTAGAGCATAGCTTGGGCTTGGGAAACGGGCAGATCTGGGTTTACACCCTGGCTTTGCCATGTGAGTTGTGTGATAGCGGGCACATTATTTAACCTCTCTGTAAATTATCCTCTATAAAAAGGAGAAAATAATAGTGCCAACCATGCAGGTTTGTTGCAAGAAAGAAATGGTAATTTCATGTGAAATGTCTGACACAGTGTCTGGCATAGAAGGCAACTTAGTAAATTTTAGCTGCTATCATTAATATTCATACCTCAGAATAAAGTGTTTCCTGCCATTTCTATTTAATTGAGATTATAAGGCAAGCTGTTTGGAGTGGGGTGGTTATACTTTTATAATATTTGTATGATATGGATTGAAAATTTTTTTAATCCAACCAAAACATAGGAGTAAAGTGGGTACCGAGGCTGAAATTATTGCAGCTCTTAGCTATAATCAATTTTAAACATTTTATTTTTATAATTTTAAAAAGTTTAAATTCATTGACTTAATTATAGGCTTATAAACAAATTTATACTAATAAATATTAGCAATAGTATTATCATTTTACATGTTGGAATTTTTCATTAGATTTTGTTTACAGGAAAATAGTCTGTTGCTCAAAAACATGAGTAAATAAAGAAGAAAAACCACCAGTGAAGGGACCCTTTCACAGATTCCCTCCCCTCTGCCCCGGCTGCCTCACGCTCTTCCCTAGGGCTTTGACTTTCTCCCCCTTGTGCATACTGTGCTTTGTCCTTCTCTTTCTAAGTTGGTCATTTTTCTGTCTTTGCCTGTTTTTGACTATAGAGTGTCTCTCTGCATTCCATCATTTTTGCTTCTGTTTAAGTGAAAATGCAGTCTTGAGAGTACACCTCTCTCAAGAAACTGCTCCCCATCCCCAACAAGTTTTGGTATAAAATTAGTCATAATAAAAAAAAAATTACTGTCTAGCAAGCGCTTTGAAAGTCTGCAAGTACCTCAGAATCTTCCCAGCTGGCTGGCCTCTTTCTCTGAGCCTTCTTTTGTTTCCCTTAGGGGTCCACATTTAAGACAAAAGATCATTTCTTCACATTTGTTTTGTTGAATTATTGGCACTGTCACAAACTTGTTTTCTATTTTGCATTGCAATGTATTTAGTAATTGAGCCACATTATAAGTAGAGTTGGCTTTAAATTAGCTGGCCTGTGACCCCTCATCATTATTGATAAGATTGTTTCCAGGAGAAAATGTATTCTGAGTTCAGAACACATGATTTGTAAAGCAGAATTTTTGTAATAATTCAGACTGGTAATTTGGGTAATTTACTAATTAACGTTCTCATGTCTATAGCTGTCTTTGGTTTGGACACTTTGAATATGTTTTTATTATTAGTGTTTCTTAATTTTACAGAACAGAGGACAACACAACAAGGTCAGGTGTATTTCTTACACACTCAGACTGGTGTGAGCACATGGCATGACCCCAGAGTGCCTAGGTAAGAACATGTTCTAAATACTCTTCATGCTGTTGAATATCCATCCATTTTACCTAGGATTTCTTTGATTATTTAATTTTCAGGTCCTTAAAATAGTTTATTTAAATATTTGGTTCTTTCTGATACTCACGTCAGTGTGATGTTTAGGGTAAACCCCTAACCTGCCTCTCTGCCGCCCTCCCACAGGGCCCTCCCGCAACCGGTTCTCAGCCCCTTTCCACTCTCTCCTTTACAAAAACCTGGGCAAAAGCATGGGTCTTGGGAGTCTGAAAATAGACCTGGGGAATAAAACATACAAAATCTTACAAAAAACATACATAACTTTTTTTAAAAGGACAGAAAGTTGATATTTTTATTTCTGGTTAGACTTTTAAAAAATGGTTTATTTTAACCTTACATAAATGTACTCAGTGTTCTTTTATGTGTTCCTTAGTAAAATTTCATTTTAATGTAGAAAGGAAATAACGTAATTAAGTTAAATTAAATTTCTATTAAATGCCAAATTTTGTGTGTTTGAACTACAGGCATTGTTGAGTGCATTTACCTGAGATTTTTTTTTTTTTTGGCCTAAAGCTTATACTCAAAGTTCTACTTGTCAAGATTCATGTATTTGCATCAAAACCAGATGTGACTAGCTGATCTTGGATTGTTTTGATACCTTCTCTTTATTTATAAATGAAACTATAATAATGAAACTATTTTACTTTGTCATAGAGCTTAATTAGATTCTTTTAAGGGCAGCAACCAAAGAAATGTGCTGTCACTAATTATTGTATCAAGGTTGTCATTTCTGTGTCTTGGTAATATAAGCTGTTAGTTTAAAAATGGTAGTGGGGGGGAAATTTTTGTTAATAAGCTCACTGAAAAAAATCCATGAGCTTAACTTTTAGCAACATGACTTATGTAAATTATGAAGAAAAGTGTTATGGATTGTGTTTATCCAACTGGAGGTCAATGATAAGATTTTGATAAAATAATTTAAAATCATTAGAAGGAAATATATAGAACCAAGTGATTTTTAAACAATTAAATGTTTTATAATAGCTAAAGTAGAGCTTGAGTTGTCTGTTGAAAGAATAGTATGTAAGCCAGCATCAGAAGATGAAATAGAGAGATTTTGGCAACACTGTTGGTAGTATGTTCTTATTCCTAAGGAAACGTCAGTTTTTCATTAGTGAGTATGTGGTTTCTGTAAAGGTTTAAGAATATTTCATGTTAAGTATTGAATAATTACTTTATGAAATTATGCTATGGACATTTTTTCTTTAGTCTCTATGCTCCAAGTTATCTTAAAAATCATATCTTTATATCATCATATCTTTTGTTTTTGGAAGATCCTTTAGTAAACATGCCATTTGTATGGAGGCTCTTTTATCAAAGCAGGCTATAAGTATTTAGATTCTGTTAAAATATCATCACTATTCAAAGGCATTTATAAAATGGTGTAACTCAGATACTTTATTTAAAGATTCCAGTAAACTTAGATTTATCTGAAAAGTCCCATTTCATCAAGTTTTACATATCTCTTTAAAACAGTGATTAATGCCATTGCATACTTACAGTGTAGTCTTGAAATACAGATCTGTATTACTTTTTATGGTTGTGTAACATTCCATTTTTCTTCAGTCATTTTCCAAGTGGAAATAAAGATTATTTCCAGTTTTCTGCTCTTTTAATCAGTTCTTCAGAGCTTTCCCATGTATGACTAGATTTATAAAGTTCTAAATAAAATGATACAAAATTAAATTCTGCCTTATATCAAACGAATTATTCATTCTTTAATTTTGATATTTGCTTTTCATTTCTAAAAGTTCCACTTTAAAAATCTGTGTTCATGCTTAATCTCTCACTGATTGTGTGCTTTTGTAATTGTTCTTTTTGTTTTTTTAACGTTGTATGTCATTGCTGTTCTCTCTGATCTCTGACAGTACTTGGGAATCGAATTCTGTGGTTTATTGTTTCCACTGACTCTCAGTTATTGGGACTTTCCTTTCTGAAGTGTTGGTGATCTTTGTGAGTTTGTTTGATCTTAATTGGTTTGAGTTCTGTGGACCTGAATTAGGAATTTAGGAAGTTTTCCTGGAATCATTTCATCCTTCCTTTTAGTTCTCAGCTTAGGGGGAAAGTTTCAGATTTCCTTTTCCAACCTTACTGCTGGCCTGAGACTGTTTCCCATTTAACAGCTACCTACCAGCAGTCCTACCCATCTGCCTGTTTGCCACTTAGGAGTAGGGAAGGATTTTTAGAACTTTTCCCGTGACTGTTTTGAGACTAACAGTGTCTCAAATAGTGTGTTCTTTTCAAGCTTTAGTCGTTCCCCAGCAGAAGGGTCTCTTGGAGCACCTATAAGCAGAAGCCAGATTACTGTTTCAGAAAATCTATGGATAACTATCTGTGCCCATCACTATGTTTCATTATGACCAAGAAGAGATGATTTCAGGCAATTTTTTTTTCTGGTTTAACTTTTAAAACATGATTTTAATAAGATTTGTCATTATAATTATCTGTTTAAGTTTACATTAGACATGCTGCTTTTATTTCATTCTTTAAGGTCTTGTAAATCTTTGTCTGTATATAATGGTATTTTAAAAATGTGTGATACAGCCCTGGCTGGTGTGGCTCAGTGGACTGAGCGCCACCCTGCAAACCTAAGGGTCACTAGTTCGGTTCCCTGTCAGGACACATACCTGCGTTGTGGGCCAGGACCCCGGTCAGGGTGTGTGTGAGGGGCCACCGATGGATGTTTCTCTCCCTCTCTTTCTCTCTCCCTTCTCCTCTCTCTAAAAATAAGTAAACAAAATGTAAAAAAAAGAGAATGTGTGATACAGTAACAATGGTCTTTGGTCCATTAAAAGTCTTTTAGCTTTTTTTATCGTAACAGTAAGACTTAGAGTATTCTTTCTTACATGTCTTTAACAGGTTCTTCATTCACTAGCTTTATAGTTTTCAAAATTCAAAATGGAGAAGTTATGCTTTAAAATGTATATTGTGATTATTTTTAAGACTGTAATTTTAATATTTCTAGTTTTGCTTTGTTGGAGAGTTTAAAATTAATAGGAAAATGAACATTTATTTACACAAGTTTTACGGTGTAGTAATGATAGAAAGAATTGAAGGGAAATTTTAGAAAATGTTTGATTCCTTACACCACTGACATTTGTAAAACAATATTTTGTCAGATAAGTATTGAAGTACAGTTTATACTGGCAAGTGCTGTGATTGCTTTTATATTAATTTGAAATCTGTGTCACATTAAAGCCCAGGAACAAACTTTCTAAGCCATTTATGGATTGGGTTTTGAATATGCAAGTTTGTTAAACCATTGGGAATTAAAGATTCCAGCTGAACATCTCAAGTTTCTGAAACAATACATTTTCTCAGACTTCATGGGATTGTTCTGTGTCATTTACACTTGCTTGGCTCAGCAGGCCCAGCAATGAGGTATTTTTTATTTTATATTTGTTTTTGCAGGGATCTTAGCAACATCAATTGTGAAGAGCTTGGTCCTTTGCCTCCTGGATGGGAGATCCGTAATACGGCAACAGGCAGAGTTTATTTTGTTGACCATAACAACAGAACAACACAATTTACAGATCCTCGGCTCTCTGCTAACTTGCATTTAGTTTTAAAGTGAGTTTTTGAAACAATACATGTGAAAATGCAAGTCTGAACAAGGGAAGACTGATGCTGCTGCTTGTAATAAATGTGATAGACTGTCTGCAAATATAAATTACTTCTGTTGAACAAAATTTTATATTAGTATGACAACTTTTACCTTGATGTATCAGTATGAGTATTTTAATCCCACTATGCTTAAGTAGCAAGCTGTCCTGAAATGTTAGGAGAAGGGTGTGTGTCAGAGATGCACTCTGGCACACCTGAGGGGACAGGCTGCTTTGTGGGGTGGGTGGTTATTTATCTCTGTGGAGTGCATCAGAAATAGCTCCACGATAGCTGAGTTGGTTTTTGTTATTAGTTTTGTTTTTTAGCTTTGTCTTCTTTCCCATTTGCAGGACATAGTCTTTCATGCAAGTCTTTGTGAATGCGCTCGATGCACCCTGATTTTTTTAATCAGCTTTATTGAAATACGATTGACATACAATAAACTGTGCATATTTAAAATGTACAATTTAAGTTTTGACATATTACACACCCACAAAACCATCACCACAGTGAAGACAGTGAACATACCCATCATCCCAAAAGTTACCTCGTGCTGCTCTGTGATTCCCCCTCCCATCCCTTCCGGTGGGGCTTCCACCTGGATTCGCTTCCTGGGGCAGCCGTAAAATGCCACAGTAGAAATTCATTCTCTCACAACTCTGGAGGCCAGAAGTTCAGACTCAAGTTGTCAGCAAGGCTTGGTTCCTTTGGGAAGCTCGGAAGGCGAAGCTCTTCCTTGCCTCCCACCTAGCTTTTGGTAGTTTCTGGAAATTTTGTTGTTCCTTAACTTGTAGACATATCATCCCAGTCTTTGTTTTCACATGGCCTTCTGTGATCTGTTTTTACCCAAGGAACTTATGATACCACATGTGTCATACCTGTCAGTTCTCCAAGTCTCCAGACACCAACAGGATGCACAACAATTGAATTCAGTTATGACAATATCTGCAGTTAGTTGTCAGACCCCACATGTTAAGGGCTCAGTTCCTCAAAACTGCTTCTACTTCAGATGCCAGCTCTAAGTCCCAGTTCTTACCAGTTGGTGATAAGTTGGGGAGTTCCCATGACCCCCTCCTTGGGTTCAATAATTTGCTAGCATGGCTCTCTGAGCCAGGGAAATCCTTTATTATTATCAGTTTATTACAAAGGACAGAACTGCCAGCAGTCTATGAGCATTGTAGTTGCTGCATTCCCTTGCTAACACTTAATATCTTATTGAGACATTCTAATAAGTGTATAGTACTTTCTCTCATTATAGTTTAAATTCACATTTCTCTTACATCTGATGATGTTGAACACATTTTTCTGTGCTTTTTGCCATCTGTTTATTTTTGGCGAAATTTTTTGCCTCCTTTTAGAAAAAGTTGATTTTTTAAAAAACTTTGGAGTTTTGAGAGCTTTCCTTACATATTTGCAGTGCAATCCTCTATCAGGTATATGCTTTAGAAAGATTTTCTCTTAGTCTGTGACTTGCCTTTTTATTTTCTTAACAGTGTCTTTTGAAGAGCTGTCTTTCAAAGAAAAGTTTTCATTCAGTTATCCATTTCTTTCATTGGATTATTATTTTGGTGTCATAGCTACGAAACCTTTGCCTGACGTGAGTCATAGCAGTTTACTTCTGTGTTTCAGGAGTTGTGGCTTTAGGTTTCACATAGAGGTCTCTGATTCATTTTGACTTAAATTTTTGTATCTGGTGTAAGATATGCTCAGGCTCATTTTTTTATTTAGCATAGGATGAATACAGTTGTTTAGGGAGTATTTTTTAAATATATTCTATTTTGATTTTGTGTGTATGTGTATAAAAAGCACCTTTATTATAATGTCTGTGAGAATACTAAATAGTGATTTGTAATTTTCATCAAAGATGCATTTTCTTTTGATAGTTATGTTTTAGGTATAGAATTGGGTCTAGTACATAAGAACCACTCTATGTAAAATAAGTTTGGTTGATTTGTCAGAGATCTGAAAGCCATTTTTGTTTATTTTATCATAGCTATCATTGCCCTTTACTTTTAGGTTAGAAGATTGTGTTCTTGTCCATTGTGTGCAAAATTAAACTCCAACTAAATCACTCAGTGTCTCTATAGACATCAACAGCAAATTGTCTGACTTGTAATTCCTTGACAACCTACTGAAATTAACTAGTTCATAATAGCATAAGGTTCTTAAAAAAATTCTTAGATGCAATTTATAATATTTTTGCTAAGAGAATCAAAATATCTCTGGGTAACTTGTTTTTTTAAAAATTATTGTATTTCTACCCTAGCTGGTGTGGCTCAGTGGATTGAGTACCAGCTTGCAAACCAAAGGGTCACCGGTTCGATTCCCAGTGTAGGGAAAATGCCTAGGTTGCAGACCAGGTCTCTAGTAGGGGGCTCACAAGATGCAACCACAGATTGATGTTTCTCTCTCTCCCTTCCTGTCTCTAAAAATAAAAAATAAAAAAATAAAAAAAAATAAAAATTACTATATTTCTGCTATATCTGGGAGATTATATTTATGTATTTGAGGTCAATCATATGTGCAATTAGAAGCCACTTTAGCACAACAATGTGAAAGTATTTCCACTGACTGTATACTTAAAAATGGTAAAATGGTAAATTTTATGTTATATATATTTTACCACAATTGAAGAAAAGTAGTCTCTCTACTAAGCATAATTTAGACTTGTTTATAAAGTGCTCATTCTTGGTGCCAGTCATGTCATGTGACATCCCACATTCCTGTGGTCTAGATTAGCGTGTATAGGAGAAGGTCCCCTGCCAGACTGCCAGTTCAAACTGTTTGTCTCTTCCAGAGGGACAGACTCGAGATAACAGGCACAGAGCTTGGCATAGGCCAGAATTTTAAAATGGGCGGCAGTAAGCTATGCAGAAGAAAGATGCAAATGGTATCTAAGAAATTTGTTCTCATAGCTATATAAAGCTTTGTGGATGAAACTCCATTGTCCAATTCCGTAAATTCATATGGCTTCTGAGAAATAAACTTTGGAGTCAGTTTACCATTGTCAAAAAGGACAAGTCAAGAATGCAATAAGGCATGGAAATGATATCGCTAGACTTGTTTTATAGTATAATGCTATTTTAAATGTATAATGGTAATCTTTTCCATTTAAATATTTTAAAAGTATTTTTGTTTACTTCTAGTCGGCAGAACCAGTTGAAAGACCAGCAGCAACAGCAAGTGGTATCCTTATGCCCTGATGACACAGAGTGCCTGACAGTCCCACGGTACAAGCGAGACCTGGTTCAGAAGCTGAAAATTTTGCGGCAAGAGCTTTCCCAGCAGCAGCCTCAGGCTGGCCATTGCCGCATTGAGGTTTCCAGGGAAGAGATTTTTGAGGTAAGTTTACAAGTCTTATTTCAAAATAGAGAAAAATTAAATTTCAGTGTGTTGCTCTCTGTTTTCCAAGAATACTTTTTGGGACTCTTTAGAATGGGAGAGTTTTCATTAATTTCTTTTTTAGTTGTGGGGACTATTGGAGAGATTTAATATATAAGATAAACATTTAAATGAGATGGAGAGTGTTTGGTGGTCCAGTTGGTTCAGGTTGGTCTCTGCATTGCAGATATTTAATGTTAATGAGTTTTAAAAGACCACAAGTATTATCCACCCCTTACTTTCCAATTCTTCCAAAAGGTAAAGGACACTTAAGTCAGAAAATCATTTTGTTTAATTATTATTGGATTACTTCCTTATTTTATTGAAAATCTTCCTTTCTAGTATATTCTTTTATCTTTGGATTCTATAGCCCTAATATCAACTTCAGAGTTCCTACATGTTTGGTGGCGGAGTTCCAAGTCAGAGGTTTCTCACTCACTGATGGATTCCTGGGCAGGATAGGATGTGTGGGGACTTGATTAGTATTTTCCCAAAGGATGAACTTTTTTCTCTCAGAAAAGTTCTGGCCTTGTTTGTAGTCAGCCATTTGTATTTTAAAATAATATAACATTGTCAATTTAATAAAGAGAACACTAATGATTACTTATGCTCTTTTGGAAATTTTTTTCTTACATTTATTTTCTACTGATGCTGATGACCTAGAATTAGGTCAGCCATCTTTAAAAATTTTGGTACTTCTATTAAATTCATAGAAGCTCTGGTTCATAGAACTTAAACATGGAGTTTTGCTGCCCTGGCTCAGTTGCCTATAGTACTGTTCTGAGGCGTCAAGGTTGTGGGTTCAGTCTACGGTTGGGGCACATGTAAGAAGCAACCAATGAGTGCATAAATAAGTGGAACAACAAATTGATGTCTTTCTCTCTCTTTCTCTCTCCTTTCCCCACCTCTTTTTCTCCTCCCTCCCTCCTTTTCTCCTTCTCTCTCAAAGAAAAAATTCAAATATGGAAATTTGCACTTCGGTTTTTAACATGTTATTTATCAAGTGAATTGGTTTCAGTAGTATTAAGCGATATTCATTTTGTTTTTAGACGCTCCAAGAGATTTTAAAGACTTGGAGTATGTTCATTGATTTGATTGTTGAAGTTCACCTTATTTAAATAAACATGTTCTGTAGGTGGAATGGGAGGGAGAGTTTAAATAATAGGTTAAAAGCACCTAGTAATTACAGTATATTAACCTTTTTTTTTCAGGAGTCATATCGACAGGTCATGAAAATGAGACCAAAAGATCTCTGGAAGCGATTAATGATAAAGTTTCGTGGAGAAGAAGGTCTTGACTACGGAGGGGTTGCCAGGTAAAGACCTGTTCATCAGGAAATAACATATGGCTTCTTATGTTTACAAATTTAGGATATTCCCTGTGGTGGAACCTTCTCATTGATATTTTTTTCTAGTATAATATTTTGGAATATTTGCAATAGGAGGATATTCTAATCGATATATTTGTAACAAGGTTAGGATACTATGCTACCGGAAGAACATTGGAGAACTCCCTAATGGATTTTGCAGCCCAATGAGACTTTCTCTGAAAACTAGCTGCAGTCCTGCATGGACTCTTGGTAGACCTGCAGACCTGATATTTCCTTCATCACTCTTCTTCACTACACGTTATTCTCTCTGCAATATATTGTCAGGCACAGTCTTGAGACTTCAATGATGTAGTCTAAACTGAATGCTGTTCCCCTTTGCTTCCATTGCCATGCTTTTTAACCTTGTTAAAGGAATTTGTGTGTGGGTATCATCAACGGTTCTTATGTTCTATTCATAAACTACTTCTTTTCCAGGTGTGAAAATTCACTTTATGTAACTGTAGCAGAAACATTATAGCTCTGTATTGAAACATTCTAAGGACCATCATGATAATCCACTTCTGCAATCTAAATCCAGCCTTAATTAAATTTTATTTCCACTGAGTGCCATAATTGTTACTTAACATTACTTGTTTTCATCTATAGACTTATTTTCATTCTGCAACCTTTTTACCTGCAGATGGATAGTTTTCTTTAGTTTGGATTTTTAGAATTGATTGCTTATACGTCATACTTAGTACTTTCTATGGAATTCTTATTATATATTTATAACTCGATTTTGAATGCTTATTAAGAAAACTTGTTAATTATCTGCTCATGGAATCTAAATGCTTCTATGGATAAGCCAAATAAGTAGTTCTTTTGTTATTTCTTTTTTATAAAAAAAGATTTTATTTATTTTTAGAGAACGAGGAAGGGAGGGAGAAAAGAAAGGGAGAGAAACATCGATGTGAAATAGAAGCATTGATCGGTTGCCTCTCTTGTACACCCCCCAACCAGGGTCAGACCCGCAGCCCAGGCATGTGCCCTGACTGGTATTGAACATGCAACCTTTCGCTTTGCGGGATGATGCCTGACCAGCTGAGCCACATTGGTCAGGGCAGTCGATTATTTCTTAACCTCACTGCTGTCAGGGTTTGGGCAGACAGATTAACAGGGAGTGGCAGTGAACTGTTTTTTCTGGTCCTGTCTCTGTAGTAGAACTCAAAAGCAGTTTGATCCTTCTTTCATGTGTGTTCTAAATGGTGAAACAAAACAAAAATTTGGATTTTCTTTTAAAAAAAGAACATATCCATGTATAAAAAGCATGTAAGACATGTCAGATGAGTGTTATATGTATTGGGAAAATTACTTATGTGGAGACTTGTTTTTAATCTCTAGAATTATTTCAAGTATAAAATGGTAGTGATTTTTGAGCTAGAATTCATCACATTATAGAATTTAAAAACATATTTCTTTAACTTCTTATTAAAAGTATGTCATTATATTTCCTAAAAATATATTGTTTGATATATTTAATCTATAATAACAACATATCATTTAAATACCTTTCCTAGCTGAGGAATGACAAGAATTGAAACTAGAACTACATCTCTTTAAGTCCTAAGCTAGTGATTGTATGAGGGGGACCAAAAAAAAACAAAAACAAAAAACAACTGGTATTATCTTATACAGCTGGGGGGCGAGTCCCTTGCAGTACAGGCTTCCCCTGCTGGGTGAGTGTTAGGAACCCATCTGTATCAGTGGACCAGCTGGCAATGTTGTGAGAGACTGTGTTTGGCCTCAGTGAATGTTTTTGAAGACTCTTTCAGTGCGTTTGCTTATTTCAGGATGGGTGATTTATGAGCGCACCTGCCCACACCATGCTGGGTGTTCAGCAGTTTTTGACCAAAAACGGCATGACCTCTGTGCCTCACCCTCCCTATTTACCCGATCTCACCCTGAGAGAACTTTTTTTTGTTTGTTTCCCCGGATGAAAAAAGTCTTCAAAGGCCAATGTGAAAGAGGTGAAACAAAAAAATGGCAGAAGCACTAACATCAAAATTGACAAGTTCAAAAACTGCTTTGAGCAGTGGAAAAAGGTCACAATAGGGGTATTGCATCAAATGGAGAGTACCTTGAAGGTGATTGAAGTTTAAACATGTAAGAATAAATATCCAATATTTTTAATAAATAAATTCTGTTTTTTGGGGTCCCCCCTCATATTTTAGTTATGAATAAGTTATCTTTCATACTTCAAAAAATATGAAGGATTTAATAAATTTAAGGTGATAATCCTGTTTATTACAAGGTTTCATAAATATTGATCTACACGTAAAACTGAGAAGTGGTACAGAATACACCAAAAAATATAGGCTAGGGCAAGCATGTATTTTTTGGTATGTTCTGTATCACTTCTCGGTTTCAAGTGACCACTTATACTTTTATCATGGTATGTTTTACGGTTTACACAAAAAAGATGATAAAATGGATAATGACATTTTCTTACTAAGACAACACCAACAACAAAACACACCGTCCAAAAGTGAGACTAATGCTGCATGATGTGTATCTGTGTTAACTAGCACAAATCTTCCATGATAGGAGCAGACTAGAATAATGTAGATCACTTGGATATTTTGAATGATATCCTTCCCTTTATTTTATATTTACTGTGGATTACAAATTTATATAGCAATTAAAAGGAGAAGACCACTGGGATGCATCATGTAATGAGTAGTTGTTACTTCTGGGTAATACCTTTATACTCTCTGCTGCCGATGTGCTATAAAATTGCCCCAGATGAGTGAGAATTGACTGCATAATAACAGAACAAGAGTTTTCATTTGCTTTTTGAGCATGGTAGATTTTTCCAGTGTTATCCTATGTAACTAATTATTGTTTTATTTAAAATTTTTTTGCTAAAATGATTAATAGCATTTTAATAAAAACATAATCATTACAAAAATCCCTTTGTCATATCTTGTTTTCTAGGGAGTGGTTATATCTCTTGTCACATGAAATGCTGAATCCATACTATGGCCTTTTCCAGTATTCAAGAGATGATATCTATACATTGCAGATCAATCCTGATTCTGCAGTTAACCCGGTATGATTGCTGATCCTGATTACACAAATTAGCTTATGACCTACAATACTTTGCATATTTAAATATCAATGTAGTTTATGAAGTGGGATTACTCTCCTTGTCCTAGTCACAGACTTGAACCTAGCAGTTCCTCTTTTAGAAAATACTCTCAAGTAAATAACTGTGGATATATTCAACCATGTGGACACAGGAATGTTTACTGCATTATTGTGTATAGTAGCCCCAGTTGGAAACAGCATCATTGCCCATAAGCAGGGGACTGATTAAATTATGACAAGCAGAATGACAATGATTACAGATAGATTCTGAAATTAGGCATGACATCATATACTGTTCCCATTTCTTAATAGCTTTGTGACTTTGGGCAAATTCATTGGCTTGAGCCTCAATTTTATTGTTGATAATAATAAATATAGTTTGTACCTTAGAGAAGGGTTGTGACAATTCAGTGGGCCCTTGCACATTAAGTATTTAGCATAGTGCTATACATTAACAACCCTATTATATATTATAAGGCACTCACCAAAAATTAGTGCTGCTACTAATTTGTTGTTTTTATGTTATTTCTACTGTCTTTCTATAGAAGGGCATATTATATAGCCACTAAAATGACATTGTGGGATAATAGTTAATGACATGTCAGGATGGTATTTGTGATGTATTATGTGAAAAGAAGGTTATAAAAATAATATGATACAGTTTTGGTAAATATGTATGTGTGTAAACATTGAAAGGCTCCATCTACACTATAATACTGACGTTAGTTATCTCTGGGTATTAGATTATGGGTGGTTTTTTTTTTTTTTTGCTCTTTATTTTCTAAATATTTGTAGTAAACATGTATTACTTTTTACAAAGAAACAAAAGCTGTGTTTAAGGTAAGAGGGAGGTTTATAGATTACTTATTAAATAGAGAAGTAAAAGAAGTTTAAAATACAAATGCCTAACTAATAAAACAATTTATCAGGAAAGATCAGATGTATCCAGACATGGTAGGAATGTTAGAGTCATTGCAGGGAGTCATTCATCAGGGAAAATTTTTAGGCAAAGATCTGCTTGAGGAGCCCATTCCTGCCTCTGCGGTCGTGACAGTTCACATTTGTTGAGCTTTCACCTGATGCCAGGTCCAGTGCCATGGGCTTCATCATCTCATTTTACTCCTCACAGAGATCCTTTTTTAGATACCATCGTTACCCGTATTTTTCCAGATGTGGAAAATGAGTCCTATAGGGGTTAAGTGAGTTGCCCAAGTGTGCATAGCTATTAACTGGCAGAATCGGGACTCTAGTCCAAGTTAGACATGAAATCTGTGCCCTTAACTCTGAGGTGTTTTGCACTTCAGTTTCTGATTAGGTCAGGGAAATAGGGAGACTCAGGACTGACAGCCCTTTTTCCATGACAGAGCCAGGCTTGCGAAGGGCTCAGCAGGATGTGAGAGGAAGAGAACAGGATCTGTGAAGGGTGTAACGAAGCTGCAGTGGGACTGTTGTCTGGACCTCGTTTCTGGAGATGAATTTTACGAAGTGACTGTGCTCTTTGAGAGGGGCTTTGACCCTGGTGGAACATTTTATAACAGAGTAGAGCATTTTGAGCATGCCCAGTAGAAGCTCTCCCTAATGATTATTGAGCTTTGGTACGATAGTCTATTCTATCTAAATAGTTGTAAATTAGGATATAAGTTAATACTTCTTATAAAAAGATTAATGTTGCTTAAATATTTGTTATTAAAAATCTGGATAGTGTCTAACTTGAGTGTTTATATAAACTCTCTTCAATTTCAGGAACACTTATCATATTTCCACTTTGTTGGACGAATAATGGGAATGGCTGTGTTTCATGGACATTACATCGATGGCGGTTTCACGTTGCCTTTTTACAAACAGTTGCTTGGGAAGTCAATTACTTTGGATGACATGGAATTAGTTGATCCAGATCTTCATAACAGTTTAGTGTGGATACTGTATGTATTGAGTCTTGTATCTGTTTCCTGTAATTAGAATCTGAGCTATTAGAAAAGATGCTGTTTCAATGGATGTACTTCTTTAAAATTTAAAAAACACATAAAATATTTCAATATTAAGAGCTATTATTTGAGTGATAGGACCACACATTAGATTTTTTCCTTTCTGCTGCTTTCCTGTGTATTTCAAATTCCTAAAAGTGAATGATAGTACTTTTAAAAAGGAAAACAATATATTCTATTTTAAAGAATACTATATATAAATGATTTTCTTGATGTGGTGCAAGTTTGATTTCAGTCCGGCGTGTGTTAAAATAGCAAATTCCTGGGGATGTGGTGATTGTTGAAACCACACTTTAAAAAGAGTACCTGCAAGAACCAGTTCTGTTTGTGGGAGGGCATTACTTCATGAAGATGTATTGGCTGTACTTATTTTGTCAGCACATGAGTAGCTTTCTCACTGGGCATTTTGAGGCATATATGGTTGCTTGGGGTACCCAGATTTGAGCAGGGCCTCTTACCTGAAAGCCACACATAATGGAAGTTTCCCCACGGCAAGCCTCACTTTGGCCAGGGCTCTTTCTCTTACTCAAAAAGTGAAATGTTTCCTGTGTTTACGAAGGTTAAAGTTCTTTACTTTTCTGCCCAAGAACTGGGAGGTATGGTAGCATAAGAATAGTCAGAGGAATCTGATCTTCTATTTGTCATGCCATAAAACTCTTTTAGTTTTATTGTCTCACCAATTAATATATCTGTAGGGTCTGTATTTTAGATTTTTTTAGTTAAGTATCTTTCCATCTCTTTCCTTTCCAGTGAGAATGATATTACAGGTGTTTTGGATCATACCTTCTGTGTTGAACATAATGCATATGGGGAAATTATCCAGCATGAACTTAAACCAAATGGGAAGAGTATTCCTGTTACTGAAGAAAATAAAAAGGAATATGTCAGGTAAACATTCTGTGTTCTCAAATCTGAGAATTGTTTGACTGTTCTAGAATAGGAGTACAAAAAAAAATTTAGTGTTACTTATTGCTACAAAATAGGCTTCTGCAGAATTAGTAGCTTAAAAACAACTATCATTTTTATTATTTCTCACAATACTGTGGGTCAGGAGTTTGGATAAACGACGGGGTGAACGCAGCTCCCCTCTGGGTGGCAGTTGCCAAGATGGCCTCGGCACTCACATACCTGACCACTCAGCTAGAATGGCTCTGAGGGTGGGGGGCTGGCTGGGACCTAGTCCTGTCTGTTGGCTGGGTTCCTTGGTCCTCCCCACGTGGCGCCAGAGGCCTGTCATCTTCCCCAGGGCCTCTCCCTCCCCAGCAAGGTAGAGGGAATGGGGTGGCTGGTTTCCCAGGGCACAAGAGCACAGAAGTCAGATATTTTTAAGGCCTAAGCCTAGAACTGGCCCACATCACCTGTGTGCTGTATTCTTTTGGTTAAAGCAAGTCACATGCCAACCCATGTTTGCAGTGGAGGAGGGTCTGTGCAAAGGCACAGACACCAGGAAAATGGTGCATGGGTGTGCGCCGCGTGGCTCCCACGGCTGGCTGTGCAGAAGCCCTTCTGTGCTGAATTACTAGCACATTGTGACTTTAAGGGATAGATAATAAGAAAATGTTCTCCAGGTTTTATAAAATCACCTGTTGATTGAGGAACTTAAAAGTAGTGGGGTAGATCATTTGGCTTATGGTAACTGCTAAACATAAAACTATGGTAATCAAATTTAGGAGTTTGAACTTCACCGTATGTACACAAAAACATGCATGCTATACTATTTTTGTATACATTATTTCCCCAAGTCTTACTGCAGTTTTCCCACTTGCCACATGAGGCCCATCAGTCTCACAGACTGTCGACGGGAGTGAGCATTGATCTAGCTTTTTTGGAAAGTAGTTTGATAATAACCACTAGAATGAAAATGTATATGCCTTTTAACTAGCAGCTCCATCTTTAGGAATCTATGCCGTGGAAACACATGTAATTAAATAATTATGAATAAGGGTGTTCAATTCAACATTACTTGTAAAAAAATGTTTTTTAAAACTGCTAAGTGTTTTTAGAGGAGAATGATTAAATGCATATACTCAGCAGAATACAATGTGGATTTTTAAAAGAAGGAGAGACTCTGCATAAGCTGTCGGATTTAAAAAGCAAGTCTTAGAAGAATTATGTAGGGACAAAGTCTGTGCTGGTTTATGACAGTATGGGTGGTGTCTGGAAAGGCTGGGTACCAAATAAAGTGTCTGTCTAGGATGCGGGAGCGGAGGAAGCAGGCCTAGGGACAGAGAGGGAAAAGAGGGTAGAAGAATCTACTTTCAGGTTTTACCCTGTCTCCACATTTGGGTTTCATTTTTCTTTATCTAACAAGCATCTGTTATATTTCTAATTAAAAAAATAAAAGAATGGACCCAATGTGGGCTGCTCAGTCCCTGGCTCCCGCTCTCCAGGTTTAGTTGTGTTTGTAGGGCATAGTGATGACCCCTTACCAAGTACAGTTTTGTGATTAAAAAAGAAAAATGACAAACCTTTTTATAGATGTGCAGTTTTGGTGTCCCTTACCCAAACACAAAAGTGAGGTCCCCAAAGGAATATAATGTTAAGTAACTTATTTCTTAAAGTAGAGAACTATTTCTCCAAGTTTGGAAAAGGGTGTGTTGACAGGCTTGGAAGATGAATAGTTCTGAGATGTGTGAGATGAAGATGTTTTCCTGCGTAGAGTTTTAAAAAGGCAGTTCACCTTGAAGTAACAAGTCAGAAGCCTGAGTAAAGCTACTCATTAGATGCAGTGTACTTTTTGTTGGTATATTACGTTTTCAGGGTTTTTAAAGCCTCCAGGAAACAGTATTTAATCAAAAATTGTTACTATCCATTTTTACTATTTCTTCTCACTTTGGATAGGAAGGTTATCTTTACCTTCTCTTCCTCTGTATACCACCCCCAAAATATAAACAAAACACCCAACTTATTCAAACTGTATTTTCAAGTGGAACCAGAAAAAATAGTCATTTTTGGTTGAGTGGGTTCTTTTTCTGTGGTCATCGGCACGCATGCTAGAAGGTTAGAAAGACGTCTCATCTAGATTTTGACCTCAGTCCCATCTATACTCCATCCAGCTTCCACTTCACTAGGAGTTTCTCTGATCTGAAGAGTTGCTTTATTGATGCAGCATTTGTTAGTGGAAGGTTACCGCCTTTTAACATTGCTGACGTAGTCATAGTAATTACCAAATCTGCATACATTTAATCATATGAAACCCCTGCCCAATATTTATAGGCTGTATGTGAACTGGAGGTTTTTACGAGGCATTGAGGCGCAATTCCTGGCTCTGCAGAAAGGATTTAATGAAGTAATTCCACAGCATCTGCTGAAGACATTTGATGAGAAGGAGTTAGAGGTCAGTATATTAATGCCATGACGTCATCTAGTGTAACAAGGAAAGGTTAGAAATTTTCTGTTAGTTTTAGAGGAAAGTTGTATTTCTGGAGCTTTTGAAGTTTGGTGGTGCAATACTCTGAGAAATCTTATTCGTAGGAAGTCTTTCCTGCTTTGGCATTTCTACAAGTGAACAGTCTCTCTTGGATTGTGAACATTTTATTTTTCCATATTCTTTCTTGTTTTCCACAGATTTCATGTCTTATTGTGTAACTTCTTCGAATGTTGTTTTCTACTGAAATTTATTTGGAATAAAAGCCTCGGCTCAGTCAACTTACACTAAGCTTTGCAAGAAAGCATTTGGTAAACAAGGTCATAGAGCAAATAATTAAAACACTTATGATAAACTGTATCTAAACATCCTCAGTCTCTTTGGAAACATTCGTTATTAACAGTAGCTGTAATAAACATTTAACTTTCGTTTTCTTTTAATGCCGGTCCTTAAAGCACCTTCATCTGATTTTAAATTAAGACCTTTAACAGATACGTCTGAATTTCCACTGAACTACTTGTGAAAAGAATCAATGAGTTTTATTCTGCCGCAGGTCCCAAATTCAACTACTGGCTAGAGAGAGCATAAATATTCAAAGTGTACATGATTTTATTAACTTCAGTGTTCTTTCTAACTAAATCTGTTAACAGAGCTGTTAGGAAACAAGCCTAAAAGATTGGTTTGACAGTACCATCCCCATTCCTTTTTGTGATTAGAACTATACTCAATAGTGAAATGATCAAAAGAAGGTAGTTAGGACAAGGAAGAAAACAGGAATGGCAATAAAGTTGATAAACAATGCATTTTTATTCGTTCATACAATGAATGAGGAATTCGGTCTTAAAATTACCATTCCTCTGAAGAAAATTGAGGAGTTACCTTTTGTGTCGTGCATACTTCTGTAAGCTTATCTGGATAAATCACTTCCCTCTTCCCTGTGGCTGTGGTTCAGCAGTCTTTCCAGAACACTATGGAAGCTTTGTTGGATTTTATTCAATAGGGTTATCGTTTTGTTACATAGTTGCTGCTGCTAAGGAAATTAAACTTTTTATAAAAATATATATAACTCATGTTGGTGTTATAATGGGTGAATAGAATTATAAAATGTAGGAGAAGTTACATTGTGTTTTACTACACATACTACACACTACCCTAATTGACTGTTAAAAACACACTAGTTAGATGAACTAGTTTTGGACCCTAAGCATTGTTATGGGAGAAACTCCCAGAAACTCGGTTCTTCTCGCAATACAGTAAAGAATTACACATCAGTGAGTCTGTTGTTATGCAGGCAGGGTTCTCAGGGAAGAGTACTGGCTTGGCTGAGGTGGGGGGGGAAAGGCAACAAGAGAGACAGGGCTTTATATAGTCAGTGGGATGGGGGAGGGTGAAGAAGTTACAAACTGACAGGGAAAGGGGGGCGCTAGCTGTCTGGGATGGGGTCATGAATACCCAGTGGTGTTAATGGGCTGCTTCCTTTAGGCATGTGGGCCCCTCTGCCTTTCAGGCCTTGGGATGAAAGGAAGCACAGTTTGAAAGGCTTTCTTTCCCAGATGATGGAAAAGATGCATCAACTTTCAAGGACTGCTGAGTCAGTGGGTGGAGCGTGTGTGTCTCTCTCCTCCTTTCTGCCTTGGTTTGCTGTCTATCCTTCCTAACGGTGTCAAGGTGATTTTGATCTGTACTGACCCTGCATCAGGATGCCAAGCAGAGCTGTATGTCAGTACATATATTTTGTACTTTGATACAATTTTAAGATTGTCAAACAGGTTGCATCACTTACTCAACATATTTCTTGAGTTCCTGTATGGTACGGGTTGCTTTCACAGGATGTAGTGAAATAGATGTTACTCACCTGTTAGCACTGAGGAAAGAAACTGCTGGCCAAGGGAGGTGAACCGAATGGCTCCGAACCCCAAAGTTAGTGAGTGTTGAAACTAGAATAATATGATGCAGGTCCTAAGGGAGACACATATAAATTGTATTTACTCTTGGAGTCTAGTTTCTGTTCATTAAAACAAATTTAGAGCTCTCATCTTGTCATGTTCCACACAGTGGCGGTTCTCAGACTCTGGGTAGGGCGCCCGAGAGTGAGTAAGCGAGCACCCGTGGAGCTTTTTAAAATACAGCTTCTTAGTGTCACCCCAGATGTACAGAATTAAAATCTCTGAGCATGGGACCTGGTGTGTATATTTGAAAAACTTCCAAGATGATTCTGATGTGTACCCTTTATTAAGAACCACCACATAAAAGCCAACACTGCAAATCTGAAGTTCTATTTTGAGGAATTTTTGGCTTAACTTGGGTTTCTGTTGGCTCACGATTTGTGCAATATTTTAACAGCTCATTATTTGTGGACTTGGAAAGATAGATGTTAACGACTGGAAGGTAAACACCCGGTTAAAACACTGTACACCAGACAGCAATGTTGTCAAGTGGTTCTGGAAAGCTGTGGAGTTTTTCGATGAAGAGCGACGAGCACGGTTACTTCAGTTCGTGACAGGATCGTCAAGAGTGCCTTTGCAAGGCTTCAAAGCCTTACAAGGTATCAGTGCCAGAGGGACAGACTGTGTGTCCTCAGACAGTTGGGGGGAGGGGTCAGTACTTGGTGCATATATATAGTTTATGACCGTGTGCTTATAGACAGATTCTCTTTTCGCTCTGTTTCTTATCTGTAACTCTCACACCTTGATCCCTTCTTCTCCTTCCTTCCTTTTGTTCCCCTCCCAAGAGCCTTTTCTGCTGGGGCTCTCTGTGATTGTAGTGAGTGCCGCATTGCATGCCAGAGACTGTATGTGGTGATGCTTCCTCCCCTTTTCTGCTCACCTTGCTTTTAACTTCTGCTGCGCATTCGTATAGAGGAGGTCTGTCCATTTCCATCTTCACATCTCAACCTGGCAAAACATTTGCCCACTTGGGATGCCGCTCCCTCTATTTTTCTATTTTTTTAACAGAAAGTGGCAGCACGCGTCGTGGAAGCCATTTGTGTGGTCAGAGCTCGCTAGTTCTTGCATGACATCTGACTGCTTATTTAGAGTCATGTTTCATGTTAATGGATTGTTTTCTGGGGAATAGCTGTTTAAGTTTTGGATGAGTTGGTAACACTGCTAATGATTGTGACGCTTCGCTGGGCGGTAGTTGCTTCAATGACCTCTGAAGCTCTTTGTTTTCAAAGTTGCTGCTGCTGATGACTGAGGATATACAAAGCAAGGCTGGTACATAACCCAACAGTATTGCCCACACTACAGTGTCCAAAGCCTGTGGGAAAAGCATACTTGGAGGCAGGCTGATAGTCCCTATTTGGAGAACTCATCATAATCAGACTTACCCGTAAAATGAAGTTGTATTTCTATGTATGTGTGTCGGGGCTGTCTTACATTAACTGCAGTTTATTCTGTAGACTGCTAATCTTTTGCTCTTGGCCAAGTTTGAGTCATGAAATATAAATTTGCATTTAGGCTATCACCTTTTTGAATGTGTGTCTATTTAATCTTGGATTTGCCTATTTTCTTCTCATGCTTTTGGGATATCAATTTCCTATAGAAGAAGGATGTTGGCAAATGATTTGAACCCTTAACTTCTTCTCAAATTTGAAATGCTAGCATATTAAGACATCCAGCCATATCCAAGGTCAAGTCCAGCTTTCAAAGCAAGATCCTCTTCCTGGGAAAAGAAATTTTTTTTGTTTTTTTTGGCAGCTTGTGTAGCGTCACCAGTATTCCTCTACCCCTAGACCCTGTGGTTTATGTACCAGGTTTACGTGGAGGTTTTAGAGACTAATACCTGCACCTGCGGTGACCTGACCCACATTTACTTCCTCGGCAGGTGCTGCAGGCCCACGACTCTTCACCATCCACCAGATTGATGCCTGCACGAATAATCTGCCCAAAGCCCACACGTGGTAAGTCATTTTTGTAGCTCCTCCCTTATTCCATGTGCGTAGGTATTAGTTTCAAACAGGTGACTTTTCATTTATTGTTCTTACTACTAAATGGACCTTAAAAGGAATGATAAGCAAGTCTTTAAGTGATTTAAGATCATTCTGAAATTGGTGGGAACACCTGAAAGTAGCAGTCTCTACTGCAGAGAGAGAGAACCTTAGTCCTGTAATTTTCTGTGTGACACGAAGAGTGATGTGGCTGTGGGAGCGCACACGTGTAGGATGGACTGCGCATTTTAAAAGACCTGGATAAAATCTGATTTGCTTATTTACAGCTTCAATCGAATAGACATTCCGCCCTATGAAAGCTATGAAAAGTTATATGAAAAGCTGCTAACAGCCATCGAAGAAACATGTGGATTTGCTGTGGAATGACAAGCTTCAAGGATTTACCCAGGACTCTATTTATACCCCTGACAGCCTCCTTTCAGCAGAGTTTCAAGGAATGCTGAAATACAGGAAAATGCCCCTCCCCTTTTAAATTTTAGGACACTGTGAGGGGAAAGGACAATTTTGAAATTCCTTTTCAAGGGAAAAAAAAAAGAGGTCTTTATGCTTTGCCATGAGGCCGCATTCAGCTGCTATTTAAAATTAATATCTTGAACCTAAAGAATGCTGACTTTTCCTACATTTCCAGAGTTAGGCAGTATTCTACACTTAAAGACTACTATTATTTTTATAAAAGGTAACCTATTCAAATCGCTTCACAGATTTCAAGTCTCTGAAACATCAAGACAACTTCAGCAGTCGGTACAAGTCACATTTCATTTTGATTGAATACATGATTTTGAATAGCTCCTGTACTTGCTCTTTGTAAAAAAAAAAAAAAAAAAAAAAAGAAATAAAATTATTTTGAATTATCCTACCTTTGTAAACAATTGGCTAAAATAATCATTATCTTTAAAAAATCAAGCCATTTACACATTTAATTACATTTTTCTATAGCAAAGCATTATATTTTAAAAGCATTATATGTTTCAACCTAGCCTAAGTGAATCTTTTTTATATTTTTCAAGCACAAATTACCTGGAATACAGATTTGTAATTTTGGTTGTCAAATTCCTCATGCAACCATTTAGTCTAAACTTAGTAGCTTATTAGCTACAATAAGATGCTTTCAGGGGCTCCCTGTTTTTAAGAGACTTTTAAAACCCCTAATTTTTTATCTTGAATCAATATGACCAGGTGTTTTGGACTTACTTTTCATCTTAGATGGATATCTTGCATTTTTATAACTTCTCAGATCATGTGGATGGGATGGGATTTTAACTCTCTTGCTGGGTCAGCTTATCTTTAATATATATACTATTTCTGTAAACCAAAGTCTCCTCTGACAAGTACACCTAATTTATATTTTACTTACGGTGTAAGTTTCTACCAAGTAAACCATCCTAAGTCTTTGTTTAGCTGCTCACAATATTTTAATCAGCTAAAATTATGAAAAAAGAAAACATTCGCTCTAAAGATTATTTAGCAAACCTAGAAAACCCTGCTTTTATCTAACAAATGAAGTGGGGGTGGTGGGGCAGGGATGCGAGCACTAAAGAAACGGTGATTCTAACTATATAGTATAAATCACTTTAAAACTGAAGAATGAATTTTGGAAATCAGGGAATCCCAGTTCCCTTTGTTTTGAAGATTGGCATCTGATTTTGAAATACCCAGATTTAGTTTTCAAGGCGTGTGGCATGTTGTGTGATCCAGAAGGCAACCAAAAATCTGGAGTGAGGGATTGGAAGAATCTGAAATCATGGGTAGATTTTTAAATTCAGCCAAGAGAAATCACTTTTTTTGGGGGGGGGGGGGTTACATTGATGTGAAATCAAGAATAGCAAATTTTGATGAAATAGCTTTGTTTATGTTTTGTGGCTTAATTATTAGGTGAATAGTAGGCCTGTGTGTTCTTTATTTTAATGGATTGGTTTTCAGTCTGTGTTCTTGGAGCCAGGGGGTTCCTCGGAGCTGCCTCGGAATCAGTGGTTTACGAGAGGAGGGCAGATGAGGAAAAGGACTAGTTGGTATTCAGCAGGGGCCTCTGACTCCACACCCCCGCACCCACCCTGTTTACCCAGAGCAGCTCCAATTTTTGTCTTTTATATATTGGAATTCTAAGTAAGCGTTCACAGGGGTGGGAGGGGGAGGATAAAAGAAGGAAACATTTGCCACTTTAAAAAAGTGGAGAACTACTTACTTGGTTTCTAAGAATTTACATTTATTTCAGCCAGCGAAATTGGACTGCTCCACGCGAACTAGTTATCGTCCTAACTGTGCAGTAATAATGTGCTTTTGCTGACCTTTTTCTTCCCACTTTGTGTTTTCCTGCTGTACTCTTAGTAGTACTGAAGAACATCTTAAAATATACAGAAACGGTGTGCATACTGTTTGATAGTTAGTAGTTTTCAGCTTTCACAGTAGTACCTTACTGGTCACAGATCTTCTCTCTCTTATATTACAGGACTAGTGCAGTGCAATTGTGCCTGTCTTAGAAGCTTTCAGTGAAAAGTCAGTCCACACACCCTTGAGAGAAATTGTTAATTGATGGAGGCAGTACTGATGAAATGCTACTATGATAATGTACAATATCAAGCAGGCAAATACCATCACTTTCTGAGTGCCTTTTAAAACTTTATAAAAATGACATAATAAAGCTTTAAGAGAAATGAATTACCTACTAGTCTGTGGTATCACCTCCATAGTTTATAAAAACATGATGTTTAGATTTCATTTTCTAAATATGTTACCTGATTACTTCCAAACAGGTGCTAAGCAAACAAAACCCCCTAATGCATCATTGAACCTTGGACTTGCACCTCATGTTTAATGTGAATATTTATTTCCACATGTCCCTCTTAACTGGGTTTTTTTCCTAATCCTTTCACTAGTTGTTATTTCAGATATGTGATGTCGCATACCCATACATTGCCTTTCCGTCATAAATACTTAATTATGCACAGTGGTTACTTTGTAGAGATCATTACAGTACAGAGGTGAGTTTTATTTCAGAGGGTCTTATTTCTTGGTGTAAAGAGTTTTTAAGTAGTGCCGTGTATAGTGTACATTTTGTTTTGCACATAGTTTGTTGCCCTGAATGGGTTTTCTTTTTACCAAGTCATTTTTTTTTTCTTGTATTTACAGTCCAGAGCACAAGTTTCCTTTCTTTTAAAAACAATGTAATTTGCTTTATTTTACAACACTAAGTCTGCTTTGAACTTCTGGTGCATTGAACTGATTGCTTTGATGGGAGCTAGAGGTTGCTCCAGCCATCTTTTCAGTTGGTTAGAGCAGCGCCCTCTGCTTCTGTTTGTCAGCTGCAGCACCCAGTCAGCGGGGGCCATTTGTGGTATTTAATCTTCTCATGTTAGGATGATGATTGTACCAAATGCTGAGTTGTTTTGTTTGTAGATGTAATTAGTTCACTTAATGTAATATTCTCCTCTCAAACTGACTTTAAAAACAAAGTTTTATCATTTTCATTGTTATTTGTATTTATTACAGAGTGTTTTAGCTTTGATATTCTTTGTATTTTCACTCAGTTGTTACATGAGCTTTATCAATAACATCTGTATAAATGGTTTTTAAAAATTAACTATGTATGTGCCCATGCCGAAGTTGAGCAATAAAATGAATGCTGTTTGCACTGTCACAGCATCAACATTTTTAAAGAATATTGAGTTTACAATGAATTGCTTTGAAAAAATCTGATTGGTTCTATGAAGGGTGACAGCAAGTGAGCCATAAAATGAGAAGTTTAAGAAGATTCCCCTGTCTGCCTTAGCTGGTGCCTCTGTCACTCTGGAGAGCTAGTGCATCAGAGAGCTCAGGATCTCCTTTCTGTCTCCAGGTAAAGCAGGGAAGTTACCATATGGCACTTCTCCTGCCATAGCAAGACTGGTTGGCAGTGACTGTAGAGGGGGCCATGTAGATGGATTTCTGAGGCTGACGCAGGCTTATTGGAGACGAGTGTCCCAGTCCTGCAACAGTGTCACGTGTTGGGACTCTGGAGGGTAGAGCTACAGTAGGGACCTCCTTTGCTACCCTGATGTCGAGTAGAAAAATCTTCAAAATGAAAAGGAGCCAGGACTTGATTTAAAGGTCATGATTCACACCTCCATAAATGGTAGTGGATGAAAGTCCAGCTAAATACATGGGTAGCAAAAAGAATGGATACGATGGTTTTTCATCCGGAATATAGTCTGTGTTAAGTCTCTCCACAGAATGAATGCAGAGATATAGTAGCAGTGTATTAAAGTCCCAAGAGCGGGCATGCTGTCCCTTTTTATACCCTTTCGAAATTTATTTTTTGCTTTGTTTCATATTGTCACGTTTACTGGACGTTATCTAAAATTTGTAAAGTTTTAAGGATTTTATTATTATTATAATCTATAAATTACTGAAAAGTTTGATTTGACTAATATGTGATTTTTGCTTGTGTGGTGACCTGAAAGATTTATCCCTTCATTATAATGAAGGTTAACCTTGGTAACCCAGTGCATTTATTTGTACTTTATGTCCTAAATACTGTTGGTAGGATATACACAACAGAACAAGAGCCTAGATACAGGACAGAGGTAATTATACAGAAAAATGGTTACATTCCTACATTAACATTCTTAGCTAACTAGACAACCACATTTTAAAGTTATTGGGTTGGCCAAAAAGTTCGTTTATTATTTTTTTCTGTAAGGTGGCTTTAGTAGCACTTAGTTATCTTTAACTTCACTCAGAACAATTTTGTTAGATTGTATTATGACAGCTGTCATATCAGCATTAAAAAAACTTCTCAAAATTGGTGAGTTTTTGTGCATCTGTTTAAATGCTAAAGATGGAAGAAAATATGCAACATTTTTGGCATAGTATGCTTTATTATTTCAAGGGAGGTAAAAACACAACTGGAACTCAAAAAATTTGTGCGGTGTATGGAGAAGGTGCTGTGACTGATCTAACATGTCAAAAGTGGTTTGCAGAGTTTTGTGCTGGAGATCTCTCGCTGGACGATGCTCCATGGTCAGGTAGGCCATTTGAAGTTGGTAGTGATCAAAATGAGACATTAGCTGAGAACAATCAATGTTAAACCACACATGAAATAGCCAACATGCTCAAAATATCCAAATCAATAAAGTTATTGGTGAAAATGAAAAATGTGTCTCTTATTTTACGGAAAAAACTAAACAGTCTTTTTGGCCAACCCCGTACATTGTGTTACAAAGTATTTGTTCTAAATGTGACTTGTTCTTTGTTCGTTCAATAAATATCTACTGTGTTCCTACTATGTGTCAGGCTCTGTACTAGCTTAAGACGATTGTTAGAAGCTGAAGTTCAAACCTAGGTACTCAAAACGCAGTTTGTGTATAGTAAAGAAGTCCACCATCTTCGGAACACAGGATTAAACACCTTACTTCAGGAAGGCCTCAAATTCCAGACTTGGTTTTTAAAACAATTTTGTTCCTCTACCTCCTTCCCCTATGACATTTCAGATCCTAGAGACACTGGTCTCTAGGACAGGTAGCTACTTTGTTGTGTTTTTTGTTCATTGTACAACTGGCAACATTACCAAGGTAATGTGCTCAACTCTTGATTAGCATACCTCTTGTGGATATTTGGCCTGAGATTTATCCAGGTTATCAATGAGTCTCTAATATAAGCTATAAACCCCACACACTTTGTAGCGAGTGTTCTATAAATAAAAGTGAAGAGGCAACTGTAGCAGCCCATGAGGTAGGCAAGGGACCCTTCCAAGATATTTTTCCTGCCCACTTAAGTGTTCATAAAGTCATCTCACTTTCAGCTCAGGAATGGGAGTGAAGACGGAGAGCACATCCCGAGTCTACCTTTCAGATCACTCACTCCTCCTGAAGACAGTGCTGGCAAAGCAAGATGGTAGAGAACCACTGAGACCAAAAAGGTATTTATATTTCTTTTAACTGAACTATAATTGATGTATAACATTACATTAGTTTCAGGTGTACAACATAATGATTTGTATATTTTTGTATATATTGTGTAATGATCACAATAAATCAGCTACCATCTGTCACTATACATGGTTAAAATTTTTTTTTCTTGTGAAGGGAACTTTTATGCCATATAGTACTGTTAGCAATAGTCAACATTGTGTACATCACATCTTATTTTATAATTGAAAGTTTGACCCCTACCGCCCATTTCACTAAGCCCCCCCGAAGCCCTCCAGCAACCACCAATCAGTTCTGTTTCTGAGCTCAGTTTTTCCTTCATTTAAGATTCCACATGTGAGATCATATGGTATTTGTCTTTCTCTGACTTATTTCACTTAGTATAATGCCCTTAAGATCCATCTTGTTAGCACAAATGGCAAAATTTCCTTTTTTAGTCTTAAGTAATAGTCCATTGTATACATATACACCACATTTTTTATTCATTCATCTGCTGATGGACACTTGTTTCCATATCCTGACTATGGTGAATACTGGGGTGGGGGTGGGGGTGCAGGTATCTTTTTTCCCCCATTAGTGTTTTCATTTACTTCTGAGAAATACTTAGGATGGAATTGCTAGGTAGTTCTATTTTTAATATTTTGAGGAACTTTGCACTGTTTTCTATGTGGCTGCACCAATTTACATTCCCACTAACAGTGCACAAAGGCTCCCTTTTCTCCACATCCTTAATACATATTTCTTGTCTTTTTGATAACAGCTATTCTAATGGTTATGAGGCGATATCTCATTGTGGTTTTGATTTGCATTTCCCAGGTGGTTAATGATGTCGAGCACCTTTTCATGTACCTTTGGTCATCTGTATGTCTTCTTTGGAAAAATGTCCACTTCCTCTGCTCATTTTTTAATTGGATTTTTTTTTTTTTTTTTGCTTGCTATTGGGTTGTATGTGTTCTCTATATATTTTGTATATTAACCCCTTATCAGATACCTGATTTGCAAAAATTTTCTCCCCTTCCATAGATTGCGTTTTCATTTTGTTGGTTTTCTTTGTTGTGCAGTTTTTTAAATATAGTTCCACTTGTTGATTTTTGCTGTTGATGTCAAATCCAAAAAATCATTGCCGAGACTACTGTCAAGGAGCTTATTTACCCACCTATGTTTTCTTTTAGTTTTTTGGTTCCAGGTATTACTAATTTTTGTGTATGGTATAAGATCTGGTGGTCCAGTGTCCTTTTGCATGTGGCTGTCCAGTTTGCCCAACACTTACTGAGGACGCTGTCCTTCCCCATTGTATATTCTTGCCTCACTTGCCATAAATTGACTATATATGTATGGGCTTTCTATTCTGTTCCACTTATCTGTGTCTGATTTTATGCCCAAACCAACTGTTTTTATTACTGTAGTTTTGTAATGTATTTTGAAATCATGTTGTGCGATGCTTCCAGCTTTGTTCTGCAGAGGGCAAAGTTTTAAAGGCAGTTTGAATTTAATATTATAAGACAAAAAGACACTGGTCACATCAGTCAGATTAGCTGGGTAATGGTTCAAATGACTTGAAATGCTAGACGAAACGCTTTCAGCATGTCTAGATTTGGGATAGATTGCTCTTTAAGCTGTAGGCTAAGCCCCAATTTTGGATTTCTCCTGTAGTTTATACCATTTCTCTTAATGACACCTCCTGTCAGCCTGGTCTGTCTTGCTCTCCCATTATACTTCCTCCTAACCTTTTTTCACTGTGATGCCTCTTCCCATGACAGATAAATTTCCCCTATACCATCTGCCTCTTTACCAAAGGCTCTATTCCTCTGCCTTACCTCAACACTAATTCTTCCTTTCCCTAGGAGGCAGTTAATTCCCCAGTGTCCCATGATACAGTAATGCATATACACAACTAGACATACATAGTTAAAAAATCAATATACTTAAGAGACTTAAAAACAAAACTATTACCTTTCCCCCCTTGCTTTCTAGAGGCATGCTCAAATCTTGTCTGTACTTTTGCTACTTACTTCCATATTTCTAAATGATATGGTAATGTTACTCTTCATTTAGTTTTAGACATAGTCTAGTTTCCTTTTTATGGTAGGTAAATATTTAGCTCTTACACCAACCACCTCATTCTATTAACACCACCCTCCCCGCACGCCCTCCCCGAACTGTCCCCCACACTAGTACACAGTTCTAAATAACTTTAAAGTGTGTGCATTATGATGATCCTTTCCTGGGTTTCTGTTGGCAGAGTGGTTTCCCATACAATGTATTCCTCCCTCACAGGTACTTGGATTGCAACATTCTCCACTTGTGGAGTTTGTTACCACTTTTAGAAAAATCTTTGGGTGTCTTTAAAGTTTCCTCTTCTATTCTTTGACCTTTGGTTAGCAATCTCCTATCCCTTCCCTGGTAAATTCCTTCACTTGTTGGTTATTCCTAGTTCTTAACTTGGTAAAGAGACAACAGAACTAGTAACTTGAGTATTCCTAAAACATTTATTCGCATTAAAAAAAAATAAAAACAGCATTAATGCTTGTTTTAACAAATTCAAATGGTATTAGAGTATCTTAAGCAAAAAGTGAAAGTTTATGTAATCTACCACTCAGAGTTGCACCTACTACTATTGGTTTGGGGACTATTCTTCCATACCTTTTCTATGTTGTAATGATTTTACTGCATTATACTATATATGATACCCACTGATACCATAGTTTTTTAAATAGCATACTTCATAGTTTAGTATTTGCTCATTTTACTCAAGAATATATTGTGAGTATTCTATCTAAATATATTTTATCATTTTTTTCTTCATGTTTAGAACTTACGCTCTAGCTCTTGTATATCTAGCTTTGTCTCATAAATTTGCCACCCTTTCCATTCACCTGCATTCACTGATTTATCACGATATGGCTGGCACTGGTGGCCGCACATCTTCTCATCATGCTCTGAACTTGGCTGCCAATCTGCCAAGTCTTTTCCCCAGGAAGCTCCACCTGTCTGCTAGAGGCCCAGTGTTGTCAGCTGTCATTCCAAGAGGATAGCACTTAGAACTACAGCATTAGATTTAGCTGCCTACTTTTTTCTCTAGGACAGTCTGATCCCACCCCATCATGCCTCTAGCCTCCCTGGGCTTTGATCATCACCTTGTTACTCTCTCTATGCCCCAATGGGAGCCTCTCATCTCCCTTCCACTCCTTTCCTGGTGTCCTCTGCCACTCTGTGGCTTTGATCAGCAAAAGTCCCCATATCCTCAACTACTCTGAAGCTTCCCTCCAGCTTTTGGCCTTCAACAAAGCCTTCTTTATGGAAGACCACCTCAAGTGGGTTTTCTTTTTTCTCGTTACCCCACACAAGAAATAGGGTAGGTGTACTCTTGTTCACTTCCAGTCCACTGTACCTCCTCCCCACCTGCAATCACTAGTGCTCTTTTGAGGCACACACCACCTGGCCTCACACCCTCTGCCTCCCCTCATGCTGTCCTCTACCAGCCGCTAGAAGCCACAGGCTTCAGTTTTCGTCTTCTGGACGCCATATGTGAAAAAGCTACACACACGTGAACCTATTTTCAAGTTTTACTCCTAAGTCCCACCTCTGAAGACAAGTTTACACTTCTACCCCTTTTTGATATTGAGAGTTTTTTGATCCTCAAGCACTTTACCTTTTTTTTTTCTTTTTGGACCCAAAATAGGCTTCAGGAGCTGGCTATTCAATTGAGGCTTGCTGATTAGTATAGATAGGACTAATGAAGAACATGTGCCTTTAGTCCCCTTTTTGAAGGTTTTAGATCAAAAACACAAAAAGCAGTAAACTTTAAGGAAACAATTTTTATTCAAAAGGTTTCTTCATAAAAAGTATTGGAATGAACATGTAGATAAGACATTTAGAAATGATTCTTCTGCTTTAGATAGTTTACTGGCTCAATTCTAAGTCTGCCCTGGTCAAGTCCTCCAGAAACGTCACTGATGCAGAAGTCTGGCCTCATGGGAAGGGATTTTTACCGTACTGAAAGGAAGCCAGATGAAGCCTAGATTTGAAGCGCTCAGCTTCCAGTTCCCGGAAGAAAGCATCATCATCATTCTGTGTGATCATGTACTGCAGTTGCTGAATTTCCTTCTCCATCTTAGACCTCAGCTCCCTCTTCACCTTATACAATGTCTAAAAGAGAATTCATGTCATCCTGCTATTCACAACATACATCCAAGCCCTCATCTTTTATTCCCTCTCCATCTTCCAGCTCATCAAGTTCCTGCAATAATTTTAATAATTTAGCAGCAGCTCCTACAGAGGGCTGAATAGGTAAAGTTAAAATAGGATAAATGTTTGGACCATAGATGGACCTTCTTACTAGTATTGTCTCCATTCTCCTTAAGGTGTAATATAATTGCTTCCTATTTCTTAAAAATGTAAATAAATGATTTCCATCTTGTTAATCATTACCTGAGCCTGGGATTTCTCTCTGGCTTTGAGTTCTTGATGTTCCTGTGATATGGCTTCTGCCAGCAATGAAAACTGCAGGGAAGAAAAAACCCAAATCTTTTATTTGTAGTCTAAATAGAGCAGTTCTTATACCTAATGTTCAGAAACTTAAAATCTTTAATAGAAATAGGGCAATATAGATTCTGTACTTTGGTCAAGGACTAGTTTATCTTAAATTTCAATCTTGAAAAATGGGGTTTAACTTGTAACAAGTTCTGAATTAATATATGGAGTTTATTGTTCAACATACTAAGCGAACTTTTGACAGGGAGGTCAGTATTAAACACATTAGAATGTAAATAGCAGTGACCCCACCTGGTCTTTATAGTAGTTCTCCATTGAGTCCAGTTCATTCTGGTGCTGTCTCTTTTGTTCATCTCGCTTTTCTTTGGCATAGTTTCTTAGGTCTCGTAATCTTTGCTTCTGAATTTGTAGACCTTCTTCAAACAGTTTCTTAAATATCTGTCAGTTATTGAGTCAGAAGAATTATGCCGAACTTTTATGAAGGAATATAATCTAAACTGATCTAAAATCTATATACCTAACTAGATGTGTATATTCATTGTATTCAACGAAGGTTTTTTGAAAGTAACAAATTTATTGAGATAAAACTCACATACCATAAAGTTCACCCTTTAAAGATGTATATAATTCAGTAGGTTTTAGTATATTCAAAGTTGTGCAACCATCATCACTAATTTCAGAACATTTTCGTCACTTCAAATACAAACCCCACCCCCACCAGCAGCCACTCCCCATTCTGCCCTCCCCAGTCAACCGCTAGTCTACTTTCTAGATTTGCCTGCTTTGGACATTTCATATAAATGGAATTATATACTACATGACCTCTTGTATCTGATTTCTTTCACTTAGCATGTCTTCAAGGTTCATTTGTATCATAGGATGTTTCAATAGTTCATTCCTTTTTATTGCCAAAGATTACTCTATTGTATGGATGTATCATATTTTGTTTATCCACTCATCAGCTGATGGCATTTGGGTTGTTCCCTCTTTTCAGCTATTATAAATAATCCTTCCGCAAACATTTGTGTGTAAGTTATTTATGTGGATACCTATCTAGGAAACTGCTGAGTCATGGTTCTATGTTTACCCTTTTGAGGAAGCCTCAGACTGTGTTCCAAAGTAGTTGCGCCATTTTACGACCCCATCAGCACTGCATGAGGGTTCTAACTTCTCCACATTCATGCCAACATTTGTGGTTTTTATTTCAGCCATCTTAGTGGGTGTGAGTGGTGTCTCATTGTGGTTTTGATTTGTAGTTCCCTAATCACGAACGGTGTTTCAGCATCTTTTCCTATAGCTCAGACATTCTTTAGCTTTCAGCAAAAATATCTAAAAGCAGCCGTGTAAACAGGGCAGGAGCTCCAGAGCAGAAACAAATGCTGCATCTACCCTTGTGCGTAACTGAGGGTGATGTGGTTATCATCTGACAGGCCACAGGAAAGCAAACTGTTCAAAGGATTTGGATATGCCCACTTGTCCTCCATTGATTAGTAAGAATTCTTGATTAAAGAACTGGTTCTTAAAGCCTTGTATTCATTAGCCATATATTCATATTACCTTAGTCAAGCTACTTAACCTCTCAAAGCCTTAGTGTAGTATCCTCTAGAAATGAGAATTATAGTATGACCCACTGCAGAGTATTCACCCCAGTTAACTATACTTACCTTAATGTTTTACTCTAGGGATGAAATTGCCAGTTTAGAATCCCAAAATATTAAGCATTTCAGCTTGATCAGGATGAGACAGTGTGAATCCTTTGTGGAAACACCTCAGAGCCCATCTGTCCTGTTATTTTACTGATTTTAGGTGGAAACCTAGGTCAGCCCCTCACACCTTAAGTTCCTGTCTGTGATAACATGCTCCTGAACCCCTAAAGCAGTTGTATGGGACAAGTCCCTATGTGCAGGGGGTCACAGGGAATTAAAATGAGGGCAGTGTAGGCTGTGAATAGATGGGGAGGTGCTATGGGGGTAATAACATGAGGAATAGCCAAGTCTGGACTCATAGCCAGCATTTTAGGACTGGTATTTGAATTTTAGATTCGAATTGGGACAAAAGTTATAAACAAAGAAGATGGTTCCTAAAAGGTAAGACAAAATTCAGCTTCTTAACAGCGTTAGCTAGAAAAGCCATACTTACCATTTCTTCTCGAGTCCTCATTCTCATCATTTTTGCACGCAGCTGAACTCTGTAATCATCGTAATATTTTCGGGCACGAACAATCTGCTGCCGATTTTCTTTTATTTTTGACTGGGTCAACTTCTGCCTATGAATGCGGTCCTTGAAGTCTTGCTGAAAAAAGTAAAGGGAAAAAGAGGAAGAACGGCTCCAACATTCTCATCTGCCCCACTCCCCATCACAATGTCTTAAAGTAGTAAGCCAGGTATGGAGGACCAGTGGCCTACTGCCTGGGCACAGAGTGTGAAAGACTGTCAGTCCCCAGTAGTCCTCCAGACTTTGGTAGGTTTGTCACCTCAGTCCTAAGAGCCAGCCCAGTGGGCCCCAATATTTCAGAGAGGAGCAATGACATGGTGGAACTGAGGATTTCATCATCTAAGCCACACCCAAATGCCAGTGCAGACGGAGTAGAAAAATGACATTTTGATTTAGAAGCAAAATTTGATTTACCAAGAGTATTTACTAGTAGGTTAAAACTAAGGAAACCAGACAATATCTTCTTACAAAGTAGTGAGGATGAAGTAAGGCATTTTCATAAACCCTTCAACTAGGTGTCATGTACTGGTTTCCTCCCCCACATACCAAGGTACTACATGCAGTTCCTCAGATGGATTCCCCTTCTTTGGAACTGTTCGGGATACTAGTTCACACTGCTTACCTCTACTTTCAATCAAGCATTTTAAAATATCTTCCTCTGGCATATTGTCTTAGACCTCTGTTCTTTCCCCTCATTATACTCAACAGAGTATAATGTGCTATGTACAATTCTTTATCCAAACTGTAATGGAGACTGGTAAAATATGTCAGCTCTCTCTATTTGGGACCTGAGAAAAATGGGAGAAGACTAAGGCACTAGTTACAACCATGTGGTACCTCAAAGCAGTTACGTAGACACAGACCTGGATTAAAATCTCAATCTTGCTCCTTACTGATTTAAGCGGGACCCAGGGCAAGTTAACATCTCAAAGCCTCAGGTTTTTCATTTCATAGAAAATGTTTCCATCATGTTACAACACAGACTAAATCAAACTGTGTATTGTAAAGCACCTTGCACCTTCCCTGCTCATTGGTTTTGGTTCAAGCTGTAGATGCTCCTACATGAAAGTGTTTGAGGGAGCAGTCTATGGGCTATTGCCCAGCTGGTAAAAATAAAAGTAATTAACGTAAGTTATAAAATAAAAATTATACCAAACTTGCTCTTGACATACCAGTCTCTTGTTATGTTCATATTCTTTCTTGACAAGTGCAGTAAGCAGATCATGCCTTCTTAAGGCTTCTTCTATCTTTAAGGGGGGCAACAGAGAAGAAAGTTAATAATGTTATTCCCTAAATTCTCAAGGATAAGCTCTTTCCCTTTCTGGTTTATATTCCTATGCTTAAAGTTGACAGCCAACTTACTTCATCCTGGAGTTTCTTCTTTGATCGATTTTCCCTATACGCATCTTTTTTGAGCTGTTCAATCTGTGCAATTTGCTGTTTCCACATTTTGCTTAGTGTTTGGCCAGATACATAGAGAAATGGAAACTGCTCGAGCATCAGGGGCAGGAGACTGTGTTCATTTACTTTCACTGCAAGGTTAAAAAAGAAAAGATGTTTTTAATCTGAGAGACTTGCTGAAAGCTTTTAATAAGAACTCTTCATCCCACCTTCCTGATAGATCAAAGCTTATCTAAGTGATGCGGTTCTGATCCTGAAAAGAAAAATTCTAAAAGTATGTTATTACTTTTGCATTCCTTCTTTGATCAGAGTAAGCCAACTACTAGTATGGATGAAAATAAGCTCAACAGTTCTGATTAATGACGAGCTGGTCTTGTGAAGTCCACCCTAACTGCTCAGTTGACTCGGTGCCTTGGGTGGATGCTCTGTGTGTGGCCAGACTCTTCAGCCCTACTGGGAGGCAGAGTCTTTGTCTGATGAGATGTAGTTAGAAGGCCAGCAGTCTTTGAAAATGCACCCTGGCATTTCACATGACCTCATTTTCCTTGTAACAGGATTCTAATACTCACTGACACCAACTGTCAATATAACAGGAGCTGGACAGGCCATCTGCTTGCTTTGGCGCATCCCTCTGGTTCTACCAACTTCCCAGAAACAAAGAAAAAGGCAGCCAGTGAGAGTGAGTGAGTAAAGCTAAAGCTGAAGCAGCAGGTAGAGGCCCTAGCATTCCTTTGGTGCCAAGGTACAGGCCTTCCTAAGATGATATTGAAGAGTTTTAAATAAATGCCTTACTTAAGAGTCTTATCTCTTTACAGAGATCCAGCGTATGGCAGTGATAAAAAAGGGAAGTTTCTCCAACTAACTGGTGGATGTTAGTTTTCAGTGCTGTGTCCTTGGAATGTAGCACACACTTTCAAAGAGTGCCAGTTTTCCATAAAGTACAATTTTGTGGTTCTTACTTGGAACTACTTTATTTGGCTTTGGCAAGCCACCTCTTGGACTTGGAATTGTGGTGCTTCTGGAGTAAATCTTCCAGGGTTGACTACGTTTTGGAGTTCCTTTATGACCAGCTTCTCTGTATATTTTTTCCTTAGAAGCAGATATAAAACAGAATAGAAATGAGAGAAGTCTAGTAACTCTTATACATCATCTTAAATATTCCATATTGACAAAAATAGCTAACTAATTCCCAGCCAAACCACCTTACTTTAGATTTCTAAAATCTAGTTAGTATTTATCTACTCTAAGTAAAAAGAATCTTTTGGCTTCTGGCATCCTTTGTAATTTGAAAAGGCATTGACCTTTTTTTTTTTTAAATTTCATAGTCACTGTAGCCCAACATCCTAAATACAAATACAAATGTTTTGATGTACTTGTTTCTTTTTAAATCTACATGGAAAAAGTTGTCAAAGTTCTCAAATAATGTTTAGCTGTAACCATATAGTACTTTATGTCCTGTTTTGTTAATGAACATTTTAGCATAGGCCTTTCCCCATGCTTTTATTTTCTGTAACCATTCTTTTGAAAAGCAATGGAAAGTTACACTTTGGGTTTCTTCCAACCAGGTATGTAACAACTGAGATTTCATGTATTCTCTTAACTCCCCATAATTTGTCAGCCTGGACTATCTTTAAACCCTCTGGGAACTGCTAAGCAACAGAACCCCTTAAAAACTGAGGGAAGTTTTGGGCAGGTAGGAAAAAATGCTAGTGTTCTTTGGTACCATGCTACATTTTATCAACTTGGGTTACCCCTATGGATAAGAGAAAAACCACACATCATGAAATGAAATCCTTTCTTTTTCTAAGGAGCTAATAATTAAGGCCCTGCTGATTCTTTTTTCCTTTTAAAAAGTTCATCTCTTTGTACTTTCCACTGATCTGATCAAATGGCATTACATTAGAGACTTTTACCCACTGTTTCCTCCTCGTCATTTATTCCTGGAGGTCCAGTGTTCTCTTGAATTTTATTTCTTCTTAGTTCCCTTTCAAATGCCTCAGTTATTGCCTACAGAGGAAAAGGCCATATGATATTTAGTTATAAAAAATATATACAAATCAAAATGAAGGAAAAAATTCACCTAAAATCCTGCCACTGTATTCACTTTTTAGAAAAATTCCTTTCACACTCTATCACAAATTTACATTATTTCATAGATGTGCACTTGGGATATACAATGAAATTCTATATAATGTGTTTTTTTGTTCTCAAAGTTCTTGTAATTATTTTGATACTCCCTTGAGAAGTTACACGCTATTGTAAGACATGCTATAGCAAAGAACTTAAGTGTTCTAAATTTATATTACACTTCAAAATCCCTATTCCATAGCAGTCTTTGTAACCTCATCATCCTCTCATTCCTGTCTTGGGCAGTTTCATCCTATCTGTAACTTAAATGGCCTGTCACATTTAATCTACCTCAAATTCTATTCATCTCTGAAAATATCATCCTTTACTGATCTACTCTTTCTTAATTCCCTTCAGTACTGGACTATATCTGACATGGTTAGTCTTCTCAAAATTCTCTGAGTACAAGTTTTATGCTCCCTCTCTGGGGACATAAAAGCTATGTCACATTTTCTCAGCCCAAGAATATGAAATGCATTTTAGCCTTTAATCAACAGCATGTTCACTGTAGCATTTGGCTGAAGGTAAATGGTATACTGCCTGCTGCCCAATGGTAGTCAAGAGATGGAATGTACCTTTGCTTGGAATCGGCGGGTATCTGTTTCTTTTGGCTTTCGCTGCCTTTTTCTCTCCACATGGAACTGTTTATTTTTGTTAACTGGAGATGGAGAGAGTGAATGAGATCTGTAGGGTGGTTTTCTATGCACGGCAAGTCCTACAACACAGAAGAGACAAATACCGTTAGTTCCTGACAACCAGAAGTGTTAAACTGGAAATCAATAGTTAATTTTCACCAGATGCAAAGAGAATGACTGTGAATATGCGAAGTGTACTCTAAGTGTACTCTCTCCTATGACTAATTTGTATTTGTATTGTTTAGTCACACGAAGTCAAGAGACAAATGCACATAAATGTGCACTCTCTCGAAGTACTTAGGTTCTATATTCAACTTGGGGTTGAAAACGGGGCAAAATGTGGAATGCCGGGTATACATCCTGATTATTTCCTCTTAGCCTTCTAGCCTTTCTAATTCCACAGTGCCTAAGAGATCTAACAAGTCCCTTCTCTTCACAAACCCTTTTATGTTCCACTGTTTATAGCGGTGCTTGGGTACCTAATAGTTGTGAAGAGGGGGACTCCATGCCTTTTTGGAAAAGTGGAATAATTCAATGTATCTCTTAAGGTCAAGGAAATTAGTTTGATAGCTTTCTAAATAAATTTCCCCAGAGAATTTTTATTTCCCTGAGCTTTTATTTTTTTGTTTCACTGTATTTTAATTCAAATCTTAATTCACTTCAAATTCTAAGATATTAAGAAAAACTGAATTACACAATCTATTTAAAATGATGTTTTGGGGACATTTTACTATAGCCATAATGTGTTCTCCTTTAGAAACGGAACATCTAATTAAAATGACATTTTAATTTACAGTGTTTTCAAAACTGGATACCATATATAAGTGGATAATAAGAGAGTATGTAGGTTACTGGGTTAGGTAGGGTTCTAAAGTTACCTGAGCCAACCATAAAGGACACGAAATGAAATAAGAAAAAATATTCTTGAAGTAAAACAAACAAACAAAAAAAACCTGAAATAGTTCAGAAAGTTTTAGATGAGAAATACTATTTCTAGAGAAACAAGGATGGACAAAGTAGATAAAAGGGAATGGAAAACATGCAGAATTCTAGTTGGTGGAAGACAAGACAATTACTTGAATAAATAGTAGGAGGTATCTGTAAAAATGTGCAGACCGCAGACTCATGCATTGCTAACGTGAGTATAAGTATAAACTGGTGCAATCACTATGGGGGGAATTTGGCAATGGTGCAAAAGTATAAACTCCGTGATCCAGTAATTCTAATAGATGTAGATCCTAGAGAAACTTCTTACCAGTTATTCACTGCAGAACTGTTTGTAGTTATGGAAACAATCTACATGTCCTACATTAGGGGAAATGGTGAGAAATATATACACAAACACAAATAAGGTAAGCTGTATGGCTTTAGTTACATAACAGTTAAAAATGAATGAAATGGATTTCTAAGAATCAACATAGAGTTTCAAAACAATGTTAAAAAGAAAAAAGCAAGTTGCCAAATAACATATACAGTATCGATATGTAAATTTTTGAAAAACATAAAGGCATATTTAGACAGGTAACACATAGACTGTTGAAGTATAAAAACAGGGATAAAAGGGTTCCTGGCTCCCTTCCCTGACTGCAGCGGAGCTGTGAAGCAGCAGTGGAGACATGTCTATAGCCTCTTGGCTACAGCACAGTGGCACCAGCAGCCGTAGGGAACCAGGCAGCAGCATGGCATGGTCGCAAACCCAGCTTACCCTCATATGCCAGATCCCTCCACCATGATTGTGATGCCTGGAGACCCAGGTGACTCAGAAACAGCAGGGACATGCAGCACCCCAGTCACTCAGGTGGAGACTCCTACAACCACAGCGACACCCCAACCCCAGCCAATGTCAACCCCAGAGACACAAAAGCAGCACAGGTAAGAGAGAACACAAACTTGTATTATAGCACCATCTACTGGAAAACAAGAGACCTAATTGTCAACCTCCTGAACTGTTAAAATCAAGACTATACCTAAATAAGAAAGGTCCTCACTACTTCAGATATGCCAGCAGAGGAACAACCCATCAAACACTATGAACAATCAAGGTAACAGGTGACAGTTCTCCAGAAACCAAATTCAAAGTGATGGAACATTGTCATCTATTTTATTATTTTTTTTATCAGTTCAATTCAGAGAAGTGGGGAGGGCGGGGGAGAAACATTGACTGGTTGCCTCCCATATGTGCCACAACTGGGGATTGAACCTGCCACCTAGGCATGTGACCTGATGGAATCAAACTGGATGAGCCGACCAAGCCACAGCCACAGGACACTGCTGTATAAATGATAAGACAAGTGCCCTGACCTGGTAGATCAGTTGGTTAGAGCACCATCTGTATATGCCAAAGTTGCAGGTTTGATCTATGGTCAGGGCGTGTTCAAGAAGCAACCAATGAATGTATATAAATTAGTGGAACAACAAACTGAGGTTTGTCCCCCCTACCCTCCTGCTGCTTCTTTCTCTCTCTCTAAAAAATCAGTAGAAATTTTTAAAAAATTATTTTCTGGCCGGTATGGCTCAGCTGGTTGAGCATTATTCTGCAAATCAAAAAGGTCACTGGTTCATTTCTGGTCAGGGCACATGCCTGGGTTGCAGGTTCAGTCCCCTGGGGCATGTATGGAAGGCAGCCAGTTGATGTTTCTCCCCCTTCTTTCCTCCCTTCTCCTCTAAGTTAAAAATAAAAAAATAAAATATAAAAAAAAGGTAAGACAATTTAAGGCAGTGGGCATGCTGAGGACCAGAAACAACAGTGCTCAGGGGTTGGCTTGTGTTCACTACTTTCAGACATGTAGTAATGTTCATGCTTTGAATGTAAAGTGTGAGTGTCTTTGGTTATCCTTCACTGAAGTGTGGTCATGAAAACAACTGCTGCTCCACAGGGACGGATTGTTCAATGCAAACTCTTACACACTGGAGAAGGCATTAGAGAAGTGGGGTTAAAGAATGGGTCGAAGGGAAGAGAAGCTGCTGAGGCCACAAAATAACTGAAGACTTCTGAGTAGGAGTCCAAGAGTCTGTTCAGTCAGTTCTACAATCATTCAGCCAGTGTATTCTAGGTACTTTTCATGTACAATGGCCATCCACCAGTGAGACAGACCATGCTGACGTAGGACTTTAGTCTCAATTGGGTTTCATCATTTAGTGACTCTTAAGACCTTGGATAAGTTTTGTCCTTGAGCCCCATCTTACTGTAAAATAGGGATAATATCTTCTTGACTTGCGCATTGTTACAGTTAAAAGTGAGGTCTTGCCACTCCACAAAGATAATCTGTGCTAAACCCTGCTGTTGTCAAGGTTGAATGTTTGCCCTCAGGCTGGAGGACCTCCCACGAGCACCCCTGTTTAGTTCCTTATCAGGGCAGGCAACCCAGAAGGCCAGCAGCTAAGGCCCTTGGTAGCTTTTTCCCATCTTCTGAAAGCCGAAGCTCAGGGGGCTTTTCTGAGCAGCAGGGATGGGCAGAGCCTGCACCTCTCCTCTACTTTTGGGTTGGTGCCAAGTTTGCAGCCAGGTGTGAGCACGTGTGCACCAGTGCTGGGCACCCTGTGCCTCGTGATGTGACTGTCTCCATCTTCCAGGGCTGGCAGCCTTGCCTTGCACCAGTGCAGGGCTTGGGAAGCCTTCGGCCCAACCTCTGGCTCCTCCCTTGGGCCTCTTGGCCTCCCGACTTTGGGTTGTGGCAGCCACAGTGGCATGGCCTGGGTGGTCTGAGGACACCAATTTTTAAATTTAATTCTAGAAATCACAGGCATTCCTTAAAGTTTGATAAAGGCTAATATAAGACAATAAAAGGAGAAAACATTTAAAGTAAAAATAGTAAGTGATAAGAGAATTAAAAAGAATAGCAGTCATGAAAAAAGTTGACAAAGGCAGTTCAATGAGCTCAGGAATAAAGTTAATGAGCAGGAATACTCAACCAAAGAGACTGAAAACCAAACATTCAATAAATGAGATGAAGAATGCATTAGAAAGAGAAATTAAGAAAACAATACTATTTGCAATTATATCAAATAGAATAAAACACACAGGAATAAACTTAACGAAGGAGGTGCAAGACCTGTACACTGAAAATAAGACAAAAGGAACTGAAGATAAAGAAATAGATATCTCACTGTCATGGACTGGAAGAACTAACATTGTCAATGTCCGTATCACCTAAAGCAATCTACAGATTCAATGCAATCCCTATCAAAATCCCAATGGTATTTTTTGCAGGAATAGAACAAAAAAATCCTCAGATTTGTATGGAACCACAACAGACCTCAAATAGCCAAAGTAATGCTGAGAAAAAAAGAACTAAGCTGGAGGTATCACATTCCCAGATTTCTAACTACACTTCAAAGCCATAACAATCAAAACAGTGTGATACTGACAGAAAACAAGACACAGGATTGAGAGCCCAAAATCCACACATAAATGGGCAACTAATTTAGGACAGAGGAGCCAAGAATATATAATACAGTGGAGAGAGGAAAATCTCTCCAATAAATGGTGTTGGGAAAACTGGACAGCCACATGCAAGAGAATGAAACTGGTCCATTACTTGAATGTAAGACCCGAAACAATAAAATACATAGGCACTAAATTTCTGACATTAGTCTCAGTGATGTTTCTGTGAATTTGATTCCAAAAGCAAGAAAAACAAAAAAATAAACTGGGAATGCATCAAACTAAAAAGCCTCTACACAGCAAAATAAACCATTAACAAAACAAAAAGGCAACCAACAGAATGGGAAAAGATATTTGCAAATGATACTTCTCTATAGGGTTATATCCAAAAGATACAAAGAATTCATGTAACTCCACAGAGAAATAAACAATTCAACTGAAAAATGGGCAGAGGATCTGAACAGTTTTCTAAGGAAGACTATTTAAAAAGATGTTCAACATCACTAATTATTTGGGAAATGCAAACCAAACCTCACACCTATTAAAATAGCTACTGTCAAAAGGATTTGAAATAACAAGCACTGGAGAGGACAGGGAGAAAAGGGAACCCTTGTACACTGTTGGTTGGAATGTAAATAGAAAACACTGAGGGTTCTTAAAAGAAATTAAAAATAGAACTACCACATGACCCAGCAATTCTACTTCCAGGTAAACATCTAGGAGGAAAATGAAATCACTACCTCTAAAAGATATCTGCACTTGCATGTTCATAGTAGCATTACTTACAACAGTCAAGGCATGGAAACAACCTAAACGTCCACTGGCAGAAATGGATTAAAAAACGTGAAATACACAGGCACATGCACGCATGTGCAAATACAGACAATGGAATATTATTCAGCCATAAAAAAGAAGGAAATTCTGCCATTTGTGATAACATGGATGGGCAATGCGGGCATTATGCTGAATGAGATACGTCAGACAGAAAGATAAATGCTGTATGATCTCATTCATATATGGAACCTAAACAAACTCATGGATACAGAGAACAGATTGGTGGGTGCCAGAGGTGGGGATTGGGAGTTGTGTGAAGCGTGTGAAGGTGGACAAAAGGTACAAACTTCCATTTATAAGTTCTGGGGATATAATGCACATTATGGTGACTATAATTAAAAATATTGTTTTGCATATTGGAAAGCTGCTAAGAGATAAGATCTTGAAAGTTACATGTTAACTAACCGTGGTAATCATTTTGCTGTATATATGCTGTACACCTCAAATGAATAAAATTATGTCAATTATATCTCAATAAAACTGGAAAGAAAAAAAAAAAAGAAAGAAAAAAAGGTGCAAATTGTGAGAGTAGTTTTTTAAAGAAGGAAAAGGAATGTATGTCTACAGCCATACCACCCTGAATGCACCCGATCTCATCTGATCTTGGAAGCTAAGCAGGTCAGGCCTGGTCAGCACTTGGGAAAAGAATGGACTGTGGGAAGGACATGTAGGATCTTTCAATTTGTCCTTCAACACAAAGGTGTAAAGCAAATATTATTAACATCTGCTGCTTCTCTAAATGGTGAAGATACAGGTATTTGATATTATTTTTGATCATTTTTATATTTCTGAAATATTTAAAATGAGAAAGTCAGTCATTACAAACACATGAAGTGCCTACCTCGCTTGTCCTCATCCTGGCCAATCTGGGATAGGTAGGTACCTGGCCTTCGCTTCTTTGGCCCATACTCCATGATGCTGTCACTGTGCTGAGAGAGTGTCTCATTTCCACTCTCCACCTCTTCATTTCCAGTATCTTCTTTGTGGTCCGTTTTTTCTTTAATTCGACCACCCAGAGCACTTTTTAACATCTATCAAGAAAATTCAACGTCTTTTGATTTCAGCAGAATGCAAGTTGGAAGTAGTAGACAGAAATAACATTTAGCAAGCTTCCCATGATAATTAGGTACTAATAACAAGTTAATGCTTACCGCATGTTCAGTTTCTGAAGGGAGTGTATCAGTGCTATGGACTATTCAGTTTCAATAAACTTTTAGAGTAAGTCACATAAGGATTTAATACATTTATTCAGTGATATCCCCAAACTGTATTGTATTTTGTGAGAATCAGAGATCCATCTAATTTTATAACAAATCTGTCTTTAGAGACAAAGGGAAAACTATACAGATGTATCAAAAGATAAATGGTTTAATGCAATCTCCTATGTTAAATGATTAGTTTTCATCAGAATTAAATAAAAATTTGGATAAATCTGTACCAAATTTGGTAATAACATGAAAGGTGAGGATTCTCATTGTATATCCTACCTGTCTGACTTATGGACCATTTTCACAGCAACTAAAACACAAATAATTTTCCAGTTTCTAGCTTACTTTCACTTTTAATTATAGGATCACTTAAATGCCCACCAACTATGGCAATCATAATATAAAAACAAGACTTGCCGAATCTAGTTCAGAGAGTCGTTGAGAGAGTTTCTCTGATACTGCATGTAATTCTTGTTCTGTTAATCTATTTCTTGGCCTCTGGGAGAAAGGTGAATCCCAGGATGAGATTGCAGCTCTGTTTTCATATCTGTAATAAAAGTGACCATGTGACATATAGGTAGCTAAGTGTACATTACTTAGTTTAAAATAACTAATATGTGCTTTAACAAGTATTTCATATTGGTTTTCACAGCTTAGTTTGGAGAAGATATCCTAACTCTTCAAAATCCCTTTGCCAAACAAGACTATAAACATTGGAGCCTGCAGTAATGTTACCTTTTTCCTTTGGGAAGCTTCCTTGTCCTAGGGCCTTGGACTTGAGCTGGAAACATTTCCTGTTTGCTATCTTTAGGCAACTTGGAAATTAAGACAACTCTATTATCTGGTTCCTATTAAAAAAAAATAGTTGATTTTAAAAACTACAAAAACGGCACATAAAAATAATGTTTTAGGTGTGGGGGAAGGGAAGAGGGAAAAGCATTTCTGTTGCACAAAGCTAGGTCCTTTTATTCTTTTTTTTTTTTTTTAAATAAAGAGTATTTGTCAAAATATTGTACTGATCCCTAATACCAAAGAATGGAGTAATGTCTATAAACTTATACTCAGAGAAAAAGTGTGGCTTAGGATGCCATTCAAATATAAAGGCAGGTGAGGTGTTTGCAAATAAGAAAATTCAGGGATTATGGCTAAACCTGGACAATGAAAAAATAATCAAATCACAATTGGAAAGTATTAAAGTTACTATCTTTTATATCAAGAAGTCAATATAAACTGTCCAAAACTGAACCAGTTAAAGACAAAAAATGAATATATTTTTTCTTGAAATATGAATATAAACTACGAACATTTTTCTCTTGAAATATGAATATAAACTACGAACATTTTTAACAATTTATTTCTTAAACTTAGAGGGAATCTTATGGAAAATATTTCTTGTGGTGAAGAAACATTTGATGTTTAACAAATGTCTTTAGTTTCACTTCAGTATCTTTTTAAATACTGCTAATATTTTGTAAAACTTAAAAAAAATTTAAAACACTCTTTTATTGAAGTTTAAGTGTCCTGCTCAAGAATTACTTCAAAATGAGCATTCCCACGTAGTTGCCATTCAGGTTAAGAAACAGAGCACTAGCAGCAACTCATAAGCCCTTTCACCATCTCCCCACGCCTCTCCCAATGTAGCCATTGTCCCGTGGTTCCTTTTCTCCCCTTTTTTTTAGTCCACTCTCCTATCTGAAGAGATGCATAGAATATTTAGAATGATGATCACCTAATGCTAATGAAGCTCATTTTGTCTCTGTAGTTTTCTGCATTGTTTGATGTTTTAAAAATGAGAACATATCATTATTTATAAATTCACTCTTTGCATATAACTGCGTGTTCTCATTTCTAGGAAGGCAGGGACAAGGTAACTGCATAAAAGGATTTTTTTTTTTAAAGAACAAAAAGAATGGAAGCAAATAGGATCAGGGATTGTAGGTGCCCAGACTGGATCAAAACGCAACCCAGGTTATGTGTCCTGACTGGGAATTGAACCTGCAACTTTTTGGCTATGGGATGATGCTCCAACCAACTGAGCCACAGAAGCCAGGGCAATATACTTTTAAACACTTTAAATTATTTAATTAGGGACATACAATATGGGTTTTAAAGCTAGAATGCCTCAGTTCATATCCTGACTCTACAATTACTATAGGACCTAGAAAAGATACTAAACCTCTCTATCAGCTTCCTTGTGAGCAATACCTATTGCAGAAAACAGTACCTACTCCAGAGCTGTGTTCTGAAGAGTAAATTATTCAGAACCTGTAAAGAACCCAGAACTGTGCCTAGTACAAAGTAAACACAGTGTATGTTGGCTCTTACCATTTCCTTTTTCATACATTCATCCTGCCGCTGTATTCCTGAAGTATGAACATGTAGGTGTATGCAGAAGTAAATTTTAAGAAGTACAGTGCTCTGATTAGTGTAATATCCTTGACTACTATTCTAGAAGAGACTTCTTTAAATATATACACATCTAACAAATTGAAAGCAAGCTTTTCTACTTACCACAGAAAATGCCGTGCCCTCTCCAGAAGAATTCATGGCAGGGGAACAGTGACTTGAACGCAAGTATTCTTTTCCTATGGGGCAGGGTGCTCGAGGTTCTGAAGGGTGGTAGGGTGGATGTAAAGGAATAGCTGATCGGATAGGCTCCCCTAGCTTCCTAGCATTTGGAATCATATCCGCAGCAGGAATTTCTGCTAGTTGGACAAATTTAAGTGGACATTAAGATGAAATTCTAAGAAATCAATCATCTTATGTATACACATACCTATATAAACATGTTCACATTACTACTGAGAAATATATTTTAACTTGATTTTTTAAAAAAGCACACACAAAAAAATCAACTCAAGGACTCATCCTCAGTAAGCAAGTAGGGATCTAATTAAATTAGGAAGAATGTCATTTTAATATTATAAAAGTTTTCTGACAAATTATTTAAAAGTAATGAAAAATTACTAAAAACTGTAAATGGCTTGAAGAACAGCTAGATAAATTATGAGTCATCCACATGTTATAAAGGTAGCCATTAACAGTTTTATGTAATACTAACGACATGAAAATCCCAGAGATAAGAATATTTTTCAGAAAAAACCACAATAAAAAATAAACTTAAAAAACCAGTATTTTTCAAGTTACTATATTTTGTCATTCACTGATAATTTGAAGACCACCAGCTGATAAACTAATATAGAGTCTGTGAGAGGAGATGATTGAGGTAATGCAAAAACATGTAACCAAAATCATCCTAAAAAAGAAATCAGAGCTCATAATAGCAAACATTTACAAAATAAGACCATGTAAAACCAAAAAGAATTGCATAAAGCGTAAAGCAAAAGTGAAAGAGCTAGTAGCGACAGCAGTTGTCTCAGGAACTAATTATTGTCTCCAACTCATAGCAATAGTCCAAGAACTAATAACATTAAATACTCACTGTGTTCAACAAAGGATGTCCTACTCTTGGATAAAACACTGGACGAAGGAAGGCCCAACACTCCTTCGTGTGATTGGGAGCATGGTACAGTTGCTTTTTCAGACTGCATTTCATTAGGACATTGAGTACCTAGAAAAGAAAATATTAAAGATAAATTTTTTTCTATTGCTGAATATCATACTAACCAAGAATTCTGTACCCAGAGGATAAAAATCTCAGGAATGACAATTAGAACAATGTTGGTGTGATAGCTCAACATAACAATTACTTTTAATGACTACCAGATGGCAAGATGTAGTTCTGTAGGCTCAGAATCATTTATACAACTTTGAAAGATAAGTTTAACACCATGTTTCATTAGTTTGCTTTAAAAAAATATGCCAGGCTTGTTGAAATGCTGACTGTTGTAAGGTTATAGCTCTGGGTTAGGGGCCACTTGGTGGGTACCATAATCAAAGATTTATAGGTGAAAACAAATTAAAGTATTATTGAAATTGAGGGAATATCCACTTTGCTCCTTTAGAAATCTACAATACACAGACTATTTAAAAATTTTTATTTATTGATTTGGAGAGAGAGAAACATCAATTTGTTGTTCCACTGATTCATGCATTCATTGGCTTATTCTTGTATGTGCCCTGACCAGGGATGAAGCCTGCAACCTTGGCATATCAGGAGGATGCTCTAACCAACTGAGCTAGCCGGGTTAAACACAGACTTTGTGTAAATGAAATGGATTCAAGACTTCCTCTCCTGACTTTTTATCTCTTTTTCAATTTAATGAAAGACTTCACAATAAACTTATTCTTTACTTTGAAGGCATGAGAATGTACCCTGAAAACTCACATCAAAATGATCAACTGACATAATCACTAAATAGAGAAACATTTCACCTTGTAGAGATCTCAAAATCCATTCAATTTATTCCAAGACAGAGTATTTTTAAATTTTTGACACTCATCTTATGTCTTTTAAAATCAGCAAACATCCCTGGCCGCTGTGGCTCAGTTGGAATGGTGTCCTGTAACCAAAAGGTTGAGGGTTCAATCCCCCTTGCAGGTGCCAATCAATGCTGCTCTCACATCGATGTGTCTCTCTCCCTTCTTATTTCTCTAAGATTAATGAAAAAAGTCCTTGGATAGGGATGGACAAAACAAATCAGCAACATCTGTTTGTGCTCTCCTCCACAATCCAATGCAATTATGGCCATTTCATTTTAAAATGTTTTTAATATGCAAAATCTCCCTCCATACATTCATATTTCGCATGAATACCATCTCCCTAAAATCTAGTGTTCAAAATTCATAACTTGGGTCATAATTTCTCTATTCCCTGATAATGAATTTGTAAGTTTGACCCCAGGTCCTTCATTTTTACCTAGGTCCATTTTTTTTCTTCAGTTTCTTTTTTTCTTCTGTGGCTAAAACTCTTATTATTTTCCTATGCAGATTTTCAATAGAATTTAATCAAAGATCATTAGAAGATAGTTGATATTACAATAACATTAAATGTCAATTACAGTAATCAATCCAGCACTGTTGAAAGTTCTTTTGGTTTTAATTTAAACATTTTTGCAATTACAGTTGACATTCACTATTACTTGAGTTTCAAGTGTATAGCATAGTGGTTTGACATTTATATAACTTACAAAATGATCCCCCAATAAATCTAATACCCACCGGACACTATACCTAATTATTACAATATTATTGACTATACTCCTTATGCTGTACTTTACATCTCAGACTATTTTATAACTAACAATTTGTACATCTTAGTGCCTTCACCTTTTTCACCCATTCCCCCAGTGCCTCCTTCCATGTGGCAACCATCAGTTTGTTCTCTGTATCTTATGAGCCTGGTTTTTTTGTTCATTAATTTTGTTCTTTAGATTCCATATATAAATCATGGTTATTTGTCTTTCTCTGACTTTTATCACTTTGCTTAATATCTTCCAGGTGCATCCATGATGTTGCAAATGGTAAGATTTCATTTTTTTTAAAGCCAAATAATATTCCAGAGAGAGAGAGAGAGAGAGAGAATCTTTATCCATTTGTCTATCTGTGGACATTAGGTTGTTTCCTTATCTTGGTTATTGCAGAGAATGCTGCAGTGAACATAGGGGTGCATGTATCCTTATGAATTAATGTTTGGGATTTCTTCAGATAAATACCCAGAAGTAGAATTGCAGGCTCTATGGCAGTTCTATTTTTAATTTTTTGAGGAACCTCCATACTGTTTTCCAAAGTGGACTCACCAATTTGTAATCCCACCAACAGCACATGAGGGTTCTTTTCTCCACAAACTTACTTTTTGTTTGTTGATTTATTGACAATAGCCTTCTGACAGGTGTGAGGCAGTATCTCATTGCAGTTTTAATTTGCATTTTTCTGATGATTAATGATGAGTCTTTTCATGTCTACTGACCATTTGTATGTCCTCTGCCCATTTGTGTGTGTGTGTGTGTGTTTAGTTCTATGACTGTATATTTTGGATATTAAACCCTTTTCAGACCTTTCATTGGTGAATATATTACTCCATTCAGTAGGAGGTCTTTTTGCTTACCTTGACTGAGGAGACATATCCAAAAAAATATTATTAAGAGCAATGTCAGAGTTACTGCTTATATTTTCTTCTAGGAGTTTTATTTCAGGTCTTACATTTAAGTCTTTAATCCATTTTGAGTTTATTCTTGTATATGGGGTAAGCAAGTGGTCTAGTTTCATTTTTTGCATGTGTCTCCAGATTTCCCCAACATGATTTACTGAAGAAACTCTCTTTATCTTATTGTATATTCTTGCCTCTTTTGTCATAGATTAATTGATCATATAGGCATGGGTTTATTTCTGGGCTCTTTATTGTTCCATTGATCTATGTGTCTGTTTTTATGCCTGTACTATACTATTTTGATTACTATAGCATTGTAGAATAGCTTGTCACTAGGTAATGTGATTACCTCCAACATTGTCTTTGTGAATATTGCTGTGGCTATTTGGGGTCTTCAGGGGTTCCTTATAGGATTTTAGGATTACTTGTTTTAATTCTGTGAAAAATGCCATTGGTATTTTGATAGGGATTGCACTGACTCTATAGATTGCTTTGGGTAGTATAGACATTTTAACGTTAATTCTTCTTATCCATGAGTATAGTATATCCTTCCACTTATTTGTATCTTTTTCAATGTCTTATAATTTTCTGAGTACAGGTCTTTTATGTTTTGATTGAATTTATTCCTAGGTTATTTCTTTTTTTTTTATGTAATAGTGAGATTTTTCTTAATTTCTCTTTCTCATAGTTCATTCCTATTATATAAAAATGTAACCAATTTCTGAATATTAATTTTGTATCCTGATACTTTCCTGAATTCATGACCAGGTCTAATTGTTTTTTCAGAAGAATATTTAGTGTTCTCTAGATATATTATCATATCTCTGCATATGATGACAGTTTTACTTCTTCCTTTCCTGCCTGGCTGCTTTTTATTTCTTTTTCTTGTCTGACTGCTGTGGCTAAGATTTCCAATACAGTGTTCCTAATTATTAGGAAAACACTTTGAGCTCTTTACCACTGAGCATTATGTTAGCTGTGGTTTTGTCATATATGAACTTTATAATGTTGAAGTATGTTCCCTCCATTCCCACTTTGCTGAGAGTTTTACACCTAAGTAGATTTCGTCAAATGCTTTTTCTGTATCTATTAATACAAGCATGATTTTTATCTTTCATTTTGTTTACATGGCATATTATATTGATTGATTTATGGAATAACAGGAGTAAATACCATTTGATCATGGTGCATGGTGCATCTTTTTAGTGTATTGCTGAATTCAGTTTGCTATTTTGTTAAGGATTTTTGCATCTATGTTCATCAGTGATACTGGCCTCTAAATTTTTTTTTTTTTCGTAATGTCTTCTTATGGTTTTGTAATCAGGGTAATAGTGGCCTTGTAAAATGAGCTTGGGGGCCTTCCCTCCTTTTCATATTTTTGAAATAGTTTGAGGACAGTTGTTAATTCTTGGAATGTTTGGTAAAATTCACCAGTGAAGCTGTCTGGTCCAGGACTTTTGTTTGTTGGGAGTTTTTTTGATTACTGATTTGATTTTGTTAGTAATTAGTACGTTCAGATTTTCTGTTTTTTGATTCAGTCTTGGAAGACTGTATGCTTCTAAAAATGTATCCATTTCCTCCAGGTTGTCCAATTTGTTGGCATATAACCAGTTGTCTGTATTTTCTTACAGTCCTTTTTATTTCTGTGGTGTAACCTGTCACTTCTCTTGCATTTCTGATTTTATTTATTTGGGTCCTCTCTTTTTCTTGATGAATCTGATTGATAGTTTACCAATGGGTTATCAATTTTCTTATCAAAGAACCAACTTCGCTTTCATGGTATTGTTTTTAGACTCTTTTCAAAAAATTTCCATCCTGATCTTTATTATTTCCTTCCTTCTACTCACCTTGGGTTTTCTTTGTTCTTCTTTTTCTAGTTCCTTTAGGTGTGAGGACTGATTGTTTAAGATTTTTCTTGTTTCTTGATGTAGAATTGTAATGCTATGAATTTCCCTCTTAGGACTGCTTTGGCTGTGTCTCATTAATTTTCTTTCTTTTTTTTTTTTTTTTGAGCAGGGTCCTGTTTTCATGTCTCAAGATATCTTTTGGTTTCTTCCTTGATATTATTATTAATGAATTCATTGTTTAGTAGCATGTTATTTAGCCTCCATGTGTTTGTGTGTCTTCTTGTAATTGATGTCTAGTTTTATACCATCATGATCAGAGAAGATGCCTGATAGGATCTGAATTTTCTTAAGCTGAGATCTGTGCCTTAACATGTGGTTTATCCTGGGAAATGTTCCCTGTGTACTTGAAAAGAATTTATATTGTTGTTTTTGGGTGAAATGTTCTAAAAGTATCAATTAAATGCAGTGTTCTAATGTGTCATTTAAGGCCAGTTTCCTTGTTGATTTTTTTGTCTGGATGATGTATTCATTGATGTCAATGTGGTGTTAAAGTACCCTACTACTACCGTCAATCTCTCCCTTTATGTCTGTCAATATTTGCTTTATATATTTAGATGCTCCTATGTTGGGTATGTAAATGTTTATAAGAGTTATATTCCCTTGTTGGACTGATACCTTTATTATTATAAAATGCTCTTCCTTGGTGAAGGAGTGTGATGTAGTTACTGTCCTTGGAACTCACAGTTAACATAAATAAAGTTAAAATGCAAAGCGAGAATGGTGTTACCAAAATAAGGTGAGAGATACACTTAGGGTTACTGAGGGTTACGGAGCCTCAGAGCCTCAGATCCTGAGGCAGGTAGGGGAGGGACTCGCTTTGCAGGGTGAGTTTGTCAGGAATAGAAAGCAAGAGCATCCCAGCAGAAGAAATAATATAATGTTAGAGAAGAGCTTGGCAACCAAGTGGGCAGGACTGCGAGTATGTTGATTGGAGGAGGGCACGGAGAAAGGCTCAAAATGCGCCTAAAAGATACTAAGGTTTACTGTGTATAAGTAGTAGATTATTGGAAATGTGGACTGAAGCCTGGGAGAAAAATAGACACTGATGTACAGACCTGTTGGCTGAAACCATGAGAAATGTGAGTCACCCAGTTCAGGAAACTATACTTAAGGAGTACTCTGAGTGTGATGAGACTGTTAAGCTGCATCTATAATTTTCTTTCCATGGCATCAAATCCCCCACATTATAGGACAAACCTGCATTCACCTAGGCCCATGTGCTTACGATTCCCACTTCACTGATTTCACATAATTTTTCATATTTAGTAGGTAATGGTGGTATTCTGGAATTTCAGTTCTGAAGTCCAGGTAGGGGTCTCTCTATTCTTAACTTTAAACACTCCTAAGTATAACTATTTGCATTTTCATAGTTGTATGCTCAATAACAATAACTGATACTTAAAGTTTAATTACTCACCGTTACTTCTTAGAGAAAAGGTGTGTGCTGTGTCTCCAAGTCTAATTATTTCACTGGTAGATTCTGCTTCATCTTCATCCCAAGAGGGGCCCAAAGCCTCAGATGACAAGGAACACCTGAAAGAGTTCCCTTACTTACTAAGAGGCCAGCATGACCACAGAGTGCCCTTCCCATGAGAACTCCAAGAGCTGCTTCAAGCAGCCTACCTGTGAGTATTCACACTGCTCATTGCTATGCATAGAAGAGAAAAACACTCCCATCTACCACTTAATCACTTCTTGCTGCTACTGAGAATCAGATATTTAAGAGAAAATAATATTATAGTACTCAACATCTAGTTAGCAGAAGTACAGTCAAACCTGTAACAATATATTTTGTCTATGAGAGTAGTACAAATCATAAAACTCCGATATTGGTCAATGATATCAGTACATGAGGGTGCAGTAACCCAGCACTTCCATCCTGCTGGTGGGTATATAAATAGTCACAGCCTTTTTGGAAAGCAATTTAACAACTTTTAACAGCCTTAAAACATTCATACTCTTTGACTCTGAATGCAACTTAAAGATATTGGGAGGGAAGGGGAAGAAAGAACAAACAAAGGTACACTCACATTAAAAATATATAAAAACACAGGAACAACCACCTCCCCTTTAGAGAAGTGGTTTGGTAAATTATGATGCACCAATAAAAATGGTATGTTATCACAGTGATTAAAAATTATAATAAAGAGTTTAACAACTTGGAAGAAGACTTAATGTGCTAATTTTAAAATGCAGGAAACAAAAATAACCAAATATTTAAAAACCACCATAAAAGACTAAAGTACAACAAAATGTTAAAGCAGTTACTTAGTTCTGAATGGTAAGATTTCTTTTTTTTTCTTTTTTATTTCTCTACTTCCAAGTTTTTTGTAAGAAATGTAAACTACTTTGAAATGAAAGGAAAAATTAAAAAATAAGTAGGTGGCTAATGCTGAGAATTAAGTACTGTATATAGCTCAAAGTTCTTAAATCTCCCTCAGGGAGTTTTAAAAATTAGTAAAATTTTCACATTAACTTTGTTTTCTTTTGCTGCCATTTTGGCGTATTTTATGCAATTTTAATTCTTAGGAGAAGGAAAAGGTATAACTTCTTTTGATTAAAGTCATAGACATTGAGTGCTACCTTCCAAAAGAAACTCTTTTCCATGATGATTTGGATTCTTTAGTACTTTCTGACTCTTCCAAAGGTTCTGCATGGGATTCTTTAAAATCCTGTCCAGTTTCACCTGTTTAGGAGAGATAAAAATAATGCCAAAAAACAAACAAAAATAACCCAAGTTAATATACTACGATTTCTATACAGGGGGTGGGTAGAGGTAAGGACAGTAAAGCACCCTGAACTCCTCCTGGTAAACTGGACTCTTGGGAAAGTGGAATTAGAAATAAACAATTCATTACCTATAATGACAATGTATTACTTGGGTAACAAAGAAACAATACAAGTGATGCTTTAAAAGCAGGGTCTATAGTTGTATTAGCAATGTTTTATTATTTAATATTGCTAAAATAAACAATCTAACAGGTGGTAGATTGATTATTTTTTAAAATAATTTATTATTTATTTTAAGAGAGAGCTAACGGAGGAAGAGAGGGAGAGAAACATCAATGTGCAAGAGAAAACTGCTCGGTTGCCTTTCACATGCCTCCAGCCAGGGACTTGGTTGCAACCTGTGCATGTGCCATGACTGGGAAACAGACAACCTTTTGGTTCGCAGGCCAATGCTCAACACTCTGAGCCACACCAGCCAGGGCTATTTATTACTCTTTATACCTTGCTATCTGTAAGGGATGTTTGAGGCAAGATGACTATGGTGTGGGTTCAGAAAAACATTATTGTGTCAGCCTATTTCAAGCTCTAAGAGTCAGGCCACAGCAAGTCTTGGGTAACATTTTCCTTAGTGCTACCAACATTTTTTCTAGCATACCTGATGCCATCAACATACCTGATGAATACGCTCTCCCCAGAGGCACTAACTCACCAGGGGAGTGATTTCAGGAATTATGCCAAGCAACATTTGAACAACATTAGAATGCTGTGTGCATTTACTGTAACTCACCAGGGGGGTGATTTCAGGAGTTATGCCAAGCAACATTTTAAAAACATTAGGTGGCAATCATTGTGCATTTACTCTGAGCTAGGCTTGGTGCCAAACTATTTATGCATATCTACTTATTTAACCTTCTTTACAACTATGAAAGATTTTCTGATGAGAAAACTGAGGCTTAGAGAGCTTCAGTCATACAATGAAGGGCACTTAGCACTGAACCCATGGTCTGCCTTCAAATCACTTTCTCTTCAGTGGTAAGTGAGATGCTAGCTCAGGTACCAGGAAGAAGCTGCTCTGCATACCTGACATGACTAATGGTAAGAAAGATTTACTCCCATTATTAATTGGTGTTCTGAAGAATCTGATCAGCTCTAGGTAATACTGCCATATAAACTTGGGCCTGCAAAGGTAACAACCAGACTTTAGAAAACACTGTCCAACTAAGGCACTACTACATAGGGAGGCCCCCTCTGAGCAACTCTCTCCTAGCAGCACTAAGCTCTCCACATACTAGTGATCTCCCCTGGGAAGATCCCTCCCTCAGCATTTAACTACTACCATCCTCACTTCATATCCTCAGCTAGGTGACTACCATCCCTCCTCAACCTGCAATGAAGCACTACATTGTAAAAACTGCTGCTATCATTGTAATTTTCCAAATTAGTCAATCTCTTAGAGGTAGTTTTCTACCTCTTAATCTTGCACCTAAAATGACTAAAGAGTGACAGAGCATCAAAATACCAACTGTTAGCCTTGAATTCACTCTTCCCCAATTCTCCTGTAATTGTTTTACTGTATGCATTCATGGCTATTGCCCTCACTTGAGGGTAGGTTTCTCTGAGAGCAGTAAATGTGCCATGCAGCTTTCAATCTTCCCAGAGTAGTTAGGCAGGGATTTAACATACATGAAACACTCAAAAACACACCTCTCAATATTTCATTCCAGGGCTTACCTATATATGCTTTTAAACTTTTTAAGGAACAAAGATAAAGGTAGAAAACTAACCTCTAACTGAAGAGCTTAAGATTAACTTGGAACATTAAAATCACAGCACAGATTTCACCAACAATGTGAGGTATAGGAATTATGAGCCTATCCAATATTTTTTGGTCTTCATTTATATTAGAATTTATGTTAATTGCTATTACCACTGGAAAATTCTTTTGAGTAACTTTACAATAATAAACCCATTCTTAAGTGAGTCATATATTATTCCAACCGTGACATACAGCATTGTTTACCTAACCAATTCCAAATTGTTATGACATACAGGGTTTTGGTTTTTCTTGCAATTATAAATAATGTTTCAATAAAGACCTTTAAGCACCTAACATTCTTTTGTATAATTCCCTAGGATAAACCCCTAGAAATGGGATTTACTGAGCCGAAGGTTATAAGTAGCTCTTATATACTGCTAATCTAGTTTGAATAACCATAACCCTTTTGGAAAATAATATGACAATATTGATCTTTTTAATTATCATTTAAAAACATAAAACAAAAACTCACAATAATCTGTTATAATTTAGGGAAAGAGGTTACTTGAAGAGTAAAATAAAGAATATTTAGGCTATCACACACCAAAGTGCAGGTTGAAGACAGAAATACACAAATCCTTCTGACACCTCAGCAACATCCATATTTATAACAAAAATGGCAGTTCTGACATAGAAAATTTTGCAGGAATTTCATGCAATAATCAGCAACGTAAGCCAGGATTTAGCTTTCTATTACATTTTATTAAAGTAATTTATAAATAACATCCAAGTTGACAAAGGATATGATGACAGTCTAGGATAGAGTTTTCAACCACTTGGAACAATAAGATTTGAAATGTATTTTACAATTAAATTTATCAGGTATACTGTATTAGTGATTCTAATTCCTATGAAGAAAAACAGGCACAAATATAAAAGGTAAAAAGGGACACAAAAATAAACCAAACCAAATTTCTATTCTTGAACTTACTTTTCTCATGAGATGTTTCACTGATGTGTTCTGTAAGGTACTCCAACAGCCCATCAAATATTTCTAGGAGATTCTTAATAGATTCTTTATCTCCTCCCACTATATTTTCTCCTGGACACAGAACACAGAGCTATTAAAAAATTTAACCAAGAAATCAAAAGCCTCATATTTTTGAAATGAATATACCACTGTGAAAATATTGTTAAAATACAAGGATTATAAACTAACCCAGGAGAAACAATGTAATACAGTTAACTCTGAGAAACACAGGTTTGAACTGTATGGATCCACATATGCAGACTTTTTTCAATCAATATACAGTCAGGCTCTGTATCCCTGAGTTTTGTATCCAAGAATTCAACCAACTGTGGTTCAAAAACAGTACTTTCTATCCTTGGCTAAGAATCCACGTATGTGGAAGGTCAACTTTTATTATACATGAATTTTTGACTGCGTTAGAGCCAGCACTCCTAACTCTTGTGTTGTTCAAGGGTCAACTGTACTCACATCGATTTCCTGATGCCTAATTATATCCAAAGAAACAAAGGGGGTAGTCTTGAATATGTTGTTTGATAATTAATTGGCATATTTTTTCCTTTATCAAGGAGCAAAATAAATGGACTTAAGAAAATGTCCTCGAGCAGGGTCGGGCCTGGTTAGTACTTGGATGGGAGAAAATGTCCTCTGATTAGATTTATACCAACGTATAAAACAGCTAAGCAGACTTTTATTTGGCTAGTCAAAAAAAAAAAAAAAAAAAAAAAAAAAGGCAGGAAAGACACTGTTTCAAATTATAGAATCCTACTTTGGTGGTTTGTTACGACGATAATAGCAGTAAAGAAATATAAAAAGAAAACAATCAAACTTGTTGGAATACTTTCATCAGGATTTCCTAATTTTTTCAAATTTGTTTATTCCTATTTGTATAGATCATACCATTTTTTTTTATTAAAAACTGTCCACAGCTCCCAACATATGAAACCCTTTTTAATCTCACATTATCCCCAACCTCTCCAGCTTCATCTCCCCCACATCCACTTTATGCCCAGAAGTTAATCTTTAAACAGTACCTAACCTAGCACATCACCTGGTCCATAACAGACTTTTAATAAATGTTAAACTGAAATATTGACAAGTATGATTTTGTAAAAGCATGGAAACTTGACATGTTAAATGTCCCATAAAATAGACTCCAATCAACACTGGGTATAAACAAACTTAATTCTTGAGAAACTCAAGGAAGAAGCAGAGTAAAATCTTTATACTTAATAGAATCTAGGTGTTTATAACTTCAGTCATGATGCAAAACAAACTTAAACTGGAAACTTAATGTTTTGCACTGCTACTAGTCAAACAATGTTTGACAGATTTTTTGTGTTTAAACTAAACACAAATCTTGTTTTTAAGCTTTATGTCTTTCTGGCTTAACAAAATACATTAGTATACCCCAAGGGCACACTTAGGACTTCACTTTCCAGGATGAGGAGCATACTCTGCCAACCCAGCAACTAAGAATGCCTGCCAGAATGCAGGGCTTCATGGTGTAGGAGAAGCTGATTTAAAGAAAATACAAGGAGTAAAACCCTGCTTTGCAGTCTACTGGACAAGGTAAGCGGTTTTGCGACTTTTCATGGGGTATGTGTGAGTTATCAGGAGAAGCTCTACAAAAAGTTCTATATGCAGACATCGTCTTTCTGTAATATATATAAAAAGCACAAATACCAGAAATTGCCCTACTCCAGTGGTAAAGCAATTCTCAGTTGCAAAAATATAGGGGAACCCTAGGATTATTCCTCAAAATGAATAATCTCCAAATTATCTCATCACATTTACTTATCTAGGACCATACGCAAAAACTTAAGACAATTTGTGCAAAAATCTGTCCTTGTCAATATCATATTAAGAGAAGTAAATGACCTAACCTGATTAACATTACTTTCTTTAACTATCGTCAAAGAACAGATCAACAGTATAAAACTTCTCTTAGTGATTTAAGAATAGTTTCAAGTCTCCAAGATTCCTTCTGTTCATTAGCTGGAAATAATTTATTCTATTTTAGAAAAGGTTTAAAAATAACTTATAGTTTTGCTTATATTGAATAGGTAATATATTCACATGATTCAAAATTCAGAAAGTACAAAAGGTATACAATGAAAAATCATGAAAAGTCTCATTCCTCTCTTGTCCTGCAGCCCTTAAGTTCTTCTTATTGAAGGCAAACAGTATTATGGGTTTCTTGTCTAAGCTTCTAGGACTCTCTAGATTAAATCAATTTGCATGAAATCAATATCATATATTCTTTCTTTGTATTTACAAACGGTAGCATACTCTGCATGCTACCATTGTAACTACACATTTTCTTCATAAAATATATACTGGAGACTGTTTCACTAACATGGAGCACTGTACATAAAGAGCATCAACGACCTTTTACAGCTGCAGAGTAGTTCCTTCTATGCAGCTACCATAATTTATTTAACCTATTGCCCATTTAAGTTTCTAATTTTTAGCTACTAGAAACAGGCAGCATATGAGCTTTAAAATAACAAAATAACAACGAAAAAAAAATCACACTTCAAACTATCAGCTGAGACTCTGACCCAGATTTATTATAAACTCAATGTTTGACTCTCCTGGACAAGCTCTCGAGGGTGGCTGGCTGCCTTTACTATAGCCAGTCAACTGTCTTGGCTCAATCTTACCATTTGGTCTATTTCATATGCTTGCTCACTTGGCTAAAAATGTCTAGGTCTCTGTCTAGTAAATTATGTTAGTAAAATACAAAATTATCTGGTGGTTAAGTGTATACCAACCTGTTATGTGAGACAAGCTGACCTGCAGGTAATCCAAGGCCAGAGAATCAATTACTGCTTGTACATTGTGAGCTTCATCCTCTTGACTCCTGGGATTAGCGATGAGGTCTGAAAAAAAAAAAAAAGAGCTACATAATTATGCATCTATGAGGGTCCAAGTTTTCATCTATCTGTCTCTGACCAGGCTTCTGAGTAAGTCAACCGCTACAAAAGTAAGCTCTGCCCAAAGGGAACAGGTTTTTAAAAGTACAAATAAAGTTAATAGAGCCTGAATTCCACACAGCAGAATCTTTATTGGTTGCATATTTATTGACTGAATATAGTTGAATAAATATATCAACATCCTCTACATCAAGCGCCATGCTAAAGGAAGACAAAGAGGTCCCTAAATTCAAGGAGGTGAGGTAAGACCTGAACCAATAATTGTGGGCTGCTTTCCATGAGAGGAAAAAACTCACAACAGGTGTGAAGAGAGAGTTATTGAATGTCCAGGGATAAAGTACAAACACCAATTCCTATCTATAATATTGGTTAAGTAAGAAGACCTGACAAGTTTCTAAGTTCCACTTAATTTTAGAACCTTTGAAGGTACATTTTCATAAAGGTGTGATTTTCACAAGGCATTTAGCATTATTAGATTAAACAATGACGACTAAGACTAGTCAAACTGATTTGACCAAGGTGGTTATTATGGCTTGGTCTTATAAGGTATTAAGGAAATGAATGCAATAATTTAAAATAAAATGTAGGCAAAGAGAAAACTCAAGATTTTATAAAAACCACAGGCTCTAACTAAAGGCACTAGTAATTTCTGGCTTAAGGTATAAACACTGTTACTCCCACTTTTTAGTACCCTTACCTGGTACCTTTTCTCCCAAAATGGATTGATATAGCGCAATAAAGACATTAGCATCGCAATCTTCTAGTTCATGTATCCTCAGGTGTATGTGACATTTCAGGAGAAGGTTATTGGCAACGGTTACCCACTCTGTTGGGAAAGAAGGGGGAAAAGTTCAACCTTAAATATTAAATAGCACTGGAAAAAATCATATATACATTAGAAAAAAACCCCTCACAAAACAGACATTGAACTCTGTAGAAGATAAGGAATTTGATAATGACAGAATTTCATAGACCCTCCTAGGCATCACTTTTGAAAAGATCTACTTAATTTCTTGTAATGTCTTCCAGACTGTTAAAATTTCAGTGCAGTCAAAAGTGTGATGCAAATCCAATTTTCTCTGTTGCAACCTAAAATCTTAAGTTATTTGTTCTTTTTTACAAGCCATATTTAGGTGTTGTTATTTAGAACATATTTATAACTAAAAAGGAATATTACGTCCCAAATGACATGGCTTGTTAATGATATTCTGAGGCTACTAGAAACTAATTAATGGATGTTGCTTCAAATTCCCAGTAGCATTAGTCATGTTTTTACCCAAATATCTTATGCAAGTCAGGACTTCTCTGGTGCCCAAATAAGTAGTGATTAACTTAGGCTGTTACAGATTTGGAATATTAATGATACCAACGCTAATGCATTTTGTAGTTAAAAAAAATATTTGGTTATATTCAAGAAAATATGGAAAATACACACAAAAGCCCCTATATTCAGGATTAGCAAATACCCAATAAAGGTTCTTCCGTACGCTTCCCCACCAACCCCATTTTTGGAATTAGACTAGTTATTTCAAGGGTTTTTCGACCAAAGATAATTTAGAAATCTTGAAACATATGTCCCCTGAAGTGATTGATGATTAAAGGGGAAGTACTTTTATCCTGAGTTCGATTACCTTCAATATGTTCTAGACATGTGTGTGATTGTATGTTGAAGTCACATTCTCTTCCTTTTCCAAGAAACAATGCGTATGTGCGTCTTTTCAATGCACATTATGTCCTTCTCCCCCGTGCTCATTTCTCACAAGTGACCCAACAACGACAACTGGTTTGAACGCTGTCCTGGACAAAAGGATGTAAGCGTCCTAGACAACCAAATCAATTCGCTTTTCAAAATTGGTGCTAGACAAAGCCCATTTCTCTAGAGGGCACTGAAGAGAAAAATTCGCAAGCAGTACTTTGGCAGGAGCATCAAGAGATCTTGAGAGAGTCATTCCTCAAAAGTTTAAATGCATGTACAACCTCAGTCCCCACGATGCAAGAACAGAGAGCACCCTGACAGCGGCTAGATTCTCCAGAGAACTACCAACCCGAGGAACAAACTTCCCGACCGCCCTTTATGCAGCCAAGATGCGTGCATCCTACCTAGCCACAGGGTCCTCTCTCCCCTATTCCAAAATCGCACTCGATGGTCTCCAATCGGAGAGAGAACTGGGCTACGAGACGCTATCAAGAGAACCCGCCCACTACGACGGGGTGTCTGTCACAAGCCAGACCTAGTTGCGCCTGGCCGGAGGTCTTAAAAAAGGCAGGGGGATTCGGGCACTTGGAAGGCTTCAATCCACACACACCGGGACTCCAGACCGACACTCACCAGCCTCCGGGCCGGCCATGTGGCGGAGGCAGGTCGCCGCCAGACTCCGAGCTGGGCGCGCAAGTGACGGTGTCCTGGAAGGGCCGCTCGGCGCGGACGCCACAGCAGATAGGAGGGGGGAACTAAAGGAAAGTGCAGGAAAGGAGGGGTGAAGGAGGGAGGAACGTTAAAACGGCTTCTCTCTGCTGATTGGCCATCAGACTTCCTTTCGCAGCTCGAGCCGAGGTGGCGGTTTGGAGGCTTTAGATACTAGTCTCCTCGGGCAAGATCGTGCTAAGGCAGTCTCAGGTGTGTGGATTTGACAGTGAGGGTCACCGAACAGCCCCCGTTGGCCTCCCCGTTGCATTAGGAGGGCACTTCCGGCGAGATTTTGGTTTTGTATTCCTCCGCAGATGCCAACTGAGAAAGTAGTGCGGCCCGCTCACCCAGTGGGCGGGGCAGCCACGCGACAAGTCAGGCTCCGCCTTCTTGTCTCCTTAGGTTCTGGGCGTGAAGGCTCTTTGTAAGACGTAAACAACTCGAAGTGGGCAGAGTGGGTTCCCCTATCTTGGCAATTTTGTCTCCCAGGCTGGACCTGAAAAAAGGGGTAGCTTCCTCGAGGTGTGGAAAGACGAGAAAAAGGTGAAGTCAAGAGAGTGCAGGCAGATGCATCATGGTGGTGGGTGGGCCAAAAGGGGCAAAAAACGGGCGAACCTGGGGGAGGGGCGGGAAAATGGCGGATTCCGGAACGTCGGCTGGCGTTGCGGCCTCTGCGCAGGGGCGGGGTGATTAGGTCATAGAGCAGCTCCCAGCATTCTCTACGGCGGAGGAGGCGGTCCAGACTATAAAACCGGCAGCCGGGCCGCGGCCGGCACCTCATTCATTTCCACCGGTCTCTCGGGTAGCAGCTCGCCGTCTTGTCGTCGCCGTCACTCCGCCGCTGCCACCCCCGCAAGGCTTCACTGTCGCCGAAGCCACCTCCAGCGACTCGTCGCACTCGATTCTCTCCACTTCTTTCCCCGCCAACCGCAATCATTGACGCCATGTCGGGCTATTCGAGTGACCGAGACCGCGGCCGGGATCGAGGGTGAGTGTGGGAACGGACCTGTCAGGTCTGGCGGGTGGGGGATGGGAAGCCTATGAGGTAATGAGGGGTGAGTCGCGGTGGGAATCTGGTTTTTCAGCCTATTTTTGGGTCTCCTTAGTCGAAGGTTTGTGCTATTTTGATATTTGCGCAAAACGGACAGATTTTTCTGTAAACGGTCCTCAACTTCATATTTTGTTTAGGAGAGGGTTGCGGGACCTCGGCGACTTAGCAACCGTAGGCGAAATTTGGAGGGATGCAGTGGAAGGGGAGGAAAACACGACTCTTCGAGGCAGGCGAGGTCGCCGCTGTTAGGAGCTACTTTTCGAGAGGTGTTTTATGGGCCCCGGTAATTCTGTGGGAGCCAAGAGGGCCGTCTCCAATACCATTGATGAGGTTGGGGTAGGAGGGTGGCTGGCGCCGCAGGAATCGGCCATGCGGCTGAGCCGCGGGTACAAAATGCCGCTCTCGGACATGGCGGCGCCTTTGTTACCCCGCCCGGCGGAGGAGCTCAAAATGGCAGCGTCGAGAAAATGTGGCGCAGAGAGAAATGCGAGACAAAGGGGGAAGCGCCGCCCCAGCAGGAACGCCGCCCGGCCGACTCCGCCCGGGCCGGGACTCCTCCCCCGGTAGTTGCCGGCTCCTCCTCCTCCTCTTCCTTGCTTTATATAATTTTGCTACCGTGATCTGGCACCCTTCCGCGGGATCCCCCTACTTGATTGGTTTGCTTAAGTCCTAGGACCGCTGCTGTGCTTGTTCTGTTCTCATGGCCTGTGCTGCCCCTTATCCATTAAAACTAACGCGCCTTGGCTTGAAAATAGCTGGTAAATAACGTCGCTGTTAGGCTTCTCTCTTCTCATATTGTCCGTCTCCCAGATATTTAATTCCGAAGCTCGTGGGAAAGGCTGGTATCCGCAAGCAGTTGTCTTTGCTTGTAATGTGAGCTTTTGGCCCTTGGACAGCCAGTTTCCGACCTGATAAATCCTGGGTATTAACTTGATTGGCTTCAAGATGTGTACTTGGGACAATGGGAAATGAAACCTTGGGTGCTAATTGCTGGTTGGAGAATGATCACTAAGGACAGTACTAAACCTTAATGCCTGTAAAGTCTCTTTACCGATCTTTAGGGTGTACCAAAGGGTAAGTTAGTGTGTATATAAACGTCTATGTAAACCTTTGAAAATACAACTTTTTGTTTTAATTTTAGGTTTGGTGCACCTCGATTTGGAGGAAGTAGAGCAGGGCCTCTATCAGGAAAGAAGTTTGGAAACCCTGGGGAGAAACTAGTTAAAAAGAAGTGGAATCTTGATGAGCTGCCCAAATTTGAGAAGAATTTTTATCAAGAACACCCTGATTTGGCCAGGCGCACAGCTGTGAGTAATAAACGTGTGGCTTCATGAAGCTTAATAACGACTTATAGTAAATCAAAATCTGACCAGAAAATGTTTTGCAAAGACTAAGCTGTGGGAAATTTATGCTTTCTGACTTATTGGGGAAGAGGTGTTCCTTTTAGAAACAGGTGGCTTTGAAATTTTTTTTTACTTTGGATGGTTGAGCATAACAGACTATAGGTATTCTTTTGTGCCATGTAGGATTTTCATATGTGGGTCCAGATTTAAATTGACAACGTTAAAGTACCTAATCAACTATAAGTTCAGGGGCTTTTTTGTTGCATATTTAGGTTAAGGGAGGTTATTATAAGACTTAACTAGATTATTTGTTTTGTAGCAAGAGGTAGAGACATACAGAAGAAGCAAGGAAATTACAGTTAGAGGTCACAACTGCCCAAAGCCAGTTCTGAATTTCTACGAAGCAAACTTCCCTGGTAAGTGCTAATTTTGTGTTCTCTTTTTAAAAAAAAATTTTTTTTGCTTTTGCTTGTGGCATTGATAATTTTTCTAAATTGCTAATTACAGCAAACATCATGGATGTGATTGCAAGACAGAACTTCACTGAACCCACTGCTATTCAAGCTCAGGGATGGCCAGTTGCTCTAAGCGGATTAGATATGGTTGGAGTAGCACAGACTGGATCTGGGAAAACATTGTCTGTAAGTTGGAAGAACTTTGGAGTTACTTAGCCCTATCTTTTATTTCTTCTATTGTAACATAACTTCTATTATTTGTTACCCCTTAAATAGTATTTGCTGCCTGCCATTGTCCACATCAATCATCAGCCATTCCTAGAGAGAGGTGATGGGCCTATTGTAAGTACATATATATATATATATTTTTTTTTTTTCAACTTTTGGCCAGAAGTTTAACATAAAGACTTACAGAATGTATAACAAAAGACAGTTTGTGGTGGTTTTATATAGAAAGATTATCTCCGGTTTAGCTGGGGCTTGTCATGTGCTGGTGTAACAATAAATTATTTGAAAACTAGAACCCCCAGGATTCTGCTAAAAGCTCTTCCAATTTTTATTCCTCTTAGTGCTTGGTGCTGGCACCGACTCGGGAACTGGCCCAGCAGGTGCAGCAAGTAGCTGCTGAGTATTGCAGAGCGTGTCGATTGAAGTCTACTTGCATCTATGGTGGTGCTCCCAAGGGACCACAGATACGTGATTTGGAGAGAGGTTTGTAATAAAAAGGGTTCTTTTTGTCATTGGTACTAAAAAGTTTTAGGAGTTGTAATTACATTTATGTGTTGATTTTAAGGTGTGGAAATTTGTATTGCAACACCTGGAAGACTGATTGACTTTTTGGAGTGTGGGAAAACAAATCTGAGAAGAACTACTTATCTTGTCCTTGATGAAGCAGACAGAATGCTTGATATGGGCTTCGAACCCCAAATAAGGAAGATTGTGGATCAGATAAGAGTAAGTGCCCTTTAATATGTTTCTTCAAACTTAGCTTTTAAATCATTCTTAGAATACAATAAGGTGTGTGTTTTTTGGTTTTTTTAATCCAAAATTCTTTAGCCTGACAGGCAAACCCTAATGTGGAGTGCAACTTGGCCAAAAGAAGTAAGACAGCTTGCTGAAGATTTCCTGAAAGACTATATTCATATAAACATTGGTGCACTGGAACTGAGTGCAAACCACAACATTCTTCAGATTGTGGATGTGTGTCATGATGTAGAAAAGGATGAAAAGTAAGTTAACAATTGCTATGTAAATTGAGTCTGTTTTCATAGACTGTTTTAAAAGACTTTTAGTTGGGTTAAGTCTGAGTATGTTAAGTTAAAATGAGCCTGTTTTTCTGAAAATCCTTGATTGCTTCATTCAGTTAATTGGCTGTACAGCATTCCTATTGGAAAAGGAATGCAGGTGTTCTTTGGTTTCTTTAAGGGTTAAAGGTAGAATTGCTTGATAAGTGACTATTATTAAACAGGTGTTCCTTTTTGGTTTGTAGTCATGTACATTGACCATACAAGTGGTCACACCATGGATTTTTTTTTAAATGTACAATTTGTTTTTTCTTTCAAGACTTATTCGTCTGATGGAAGAGATTATGAGTGAGAAGGAGAATAAAACCATTGTCTTCGTTGAAACCAAAAGAAGATGTGATGAACTTACTAGAAAAATGAGGAGAGACGGGTATGTGGGCTTCCTTCATTGGAGCAGATGTTATTAGAGCTGAGTTTAGGAGAAAGGCAAACTTAGGTCAGGAGTGATGAATTTGAGTTTTGTGGTAATGTAGGCAGAACTGTATAACTTTATTTGAGGTGATACTGGAGGGATCTGTGGCCAAAAAATGGTTTAAGTGCTAAACTAAAATGTATCACTGTTAAATGTCAGTCTACTAATAAAATTTTTTTCTGATTTAGGTGGCCTGCCATGGGTATCCATGGTGATAAGAGTCAACAGGAACGTGACTGGGTTCTAAATGGTAAGTATTTCAAATGAAGATTTGTATCTTCCCCCCAAAGAATTTTGTTTAGATTAGTGATCATATGCATATTTGGTTTTGCAGAATTCAAACATGGAAAAGCTCCTATTCTGATTGCTACAGATGTGGCCTCCAGAGGGCTAGGTTAGTACAAACTCGAATTCGTGGCTTGGTTTTCCAGAAGATCTCCATATGATTTTTAAAGAAAGTTTATTGCTTTCTTTAACCTCTGCATTTTTCTAAGTTTTTTTTTTCATATAAAGGTGCAGTCTTTGTGGCAAGGCCTAGGCATGACAATCGGAGGACTCGAGGGGGATGGAGGACTAGTGATCGGCTGGCTGCATCCAGTCGATTAGAGAGGTGAAAAGCTGAAAGTGTGCCAGTAATCTTCAAAAGGCAGAACATACCACCTCTGCCGCATAAACTGTTCTCTCCGGGGGGAAATGGAAGTTATCCTCACAGTTCACTGCCGTGGTATTTGTTCTGTCCCATGCTTTGCATGACTGCCATGGAACAGCATTGTTTCCGACTGTTTGCTGTGATCTGTGAGTCTTTGAGTTTCAGTGAGTTTGCTGAAATGTCGAAGAAATACTTCCAAAACTTCAATGTTCAGTGAAATTTTTGTTCAAGTTTGAAATGGAGAGAGCAGCTTTAAAAGGTACTAAGCCTTTTACAAATTGGTGAGTACTGGCACATGAGCTCTAGAGCAGGCGCAACTTCCCACACTTAGTCAGTGGGAAAAGAAAGCGATGCTTTGAAAGTTCCTCCCTCACCTACACAGTAGTCGTCATGTCGAGACCTGCCAGAGAGAGACACATTCTCAAGTGAATCCTGGCTTCTTGGAAGCGCTTGCCTAGACGAGACACAGTGCATAAAAACAACTTTTGGGGGACAGGTATGTTTTTCTTGCAGCTGCAGTTGTAAGGTCTTGGCAAGACAAGCAGTGTGGCCAGAATTTTGAACTTCTGATGAGTGTGTAATGCAAAGGACCATGTACCTTTTTGTTTAAAGGTCCTCAAAATGAGCACATGAAGAGGTTGCTGTGAACCTTTAAGTGGCCCTACTGCACAGAAGCATTCAGATGTCACTTGATGATCTGTAAGGGGACTTGCTGATTTGGGAATGTTAGGAAATACACATCCTTTTGACAGGTTCTATCATTGGGTGGGTAATAATAAGACACAGGTGACGTGTGCTTTTTTTTATTTTTATTTTTTTAAACCTCAATGGTATTCCTACAGGGAATGGATAACCATTTTAACTGTATTTTTTGCAGCCCGTACCTTCTTGGGAATACAATTGTCTAACTTTTTATTTTTGGTCTGGCTGTTGTGGTGTGCAAAACTCCGTACATTGCTATTTTGCCACACTGCAACACCTTACAGATGTGGAAGATGTGAAATTTGTCATCAATTATGACTACCCTAACTCCTCAGAGGATTATATTCATCGAATTGGAAGAACTGCTCGCAGTACCAAAACAGGCACAGCATACACTTTCTTTACACCTAATAACATAAAGCAAGTGAGCGACCTTATCTCTGTGCTTCGTGAAGCTAATCAAGCAATTAACCCCAAGTTGCTTCAGTTGGTTGAAGACAGAGGTTCAGGTAAGACCAGTCTTAAAATAAGAAAGGTTGGTGGTTTTATGTCGCATAACTGTATACAAACCCACTTAAATGGGATTTGGCAGGTGAGTAAAACCTACAATGTGACAATAAGTTAAAGAAATACTCTTATTTCTAGTGAATAAGAGCTACCTAATTCCTTCTGTGTTAGAAGTTATTTGTGCTACAGAAATAATCAGTTTGCAATCATTTTCTTTCTTGACAGGTCGTTCCAGGGGTAGAGGAGGCATGAAGGATGACCGTCGGGACAGATACTCTGCGGGCAAAAGGGGTGGATTTAATACCTTTAGAGACAGGGAAAATTATGACAGAGGTTACTCTAGTCTTCTTAAGAGAGATTTTGGGGCAAAAACCCAGAATGGTGTTTACAGTGCTACCAATTACACCAATGGGAGCTTTGGAAGTAATTTTGTGTCTGCTGGTATACAGACCAGTTTTAGGACTGGTAATCCAACAGGGACTTACCAGAATGGTTATGATAGCACTCAGCAATATGGAAGTAATGTTCCAAATATGCACAATGGTATGAACCAACAGGCATATGCATATCCTGCTACTGCAGCTGCGCCTATGATTGGTTATCCAATGCCAACAGGATATTCTCAGTAAGACTTTAGAAGTATATGTAAATGTCTTTTTCATAATTGCTCTTTATATTGTGTGTTATCAGACAAGATAGTTATTTAAGAAACATGGGAAATGCAGAAATGACTGCAGTGCAGCAGTGATTATGGTGCACTTTTTCGCTATTTAAGTTGGATATTTCTCTACATTCCTGAAACAATTTTTAGGTTTTTTTTGTACTAGAAAATGCAGGCAGTGTTTTCACAAAAGTAAATGTACAGTGATTTGAAATACAATGAATGAAGGCAATGCATGGCCTTCCAATAAAAAATATTTGAAGACTGAATTAAGTGGAAATTGTACTTTATTTTACATATCTAATGTCATGTAAAACTTTGCCTAGGTGGCCCCCCCTTTTTTTTTTAATCAAAAACTGCTTTCCATTATGTAGTTGTGGGAAGTGGGAAGATCAGAAGTCCTTTCTTAACAGTGATCTTACTCATATTGCAAGAATTAAAATGAGATTAATGGAGGTAAATTTAAAATTCTGTGCTAAATGACATTCTTTTAGTACCTCCCAACATAAAAGTGAATCATGTAATAATAGCCTATTGGCAGAATGGTGAACTGAGATGTTAAATGTAGATAGGAAATCAACTAGTATTTTTTCAGTATGTAGTGTTGTGAGGCACTATGTAATGAAAGATACTTATTTTTTAATCTGATTAGTGTGAGAACTCAATGACCGTACTTGCAAAATTTGTCATTTAAAAGCTCCAAATCACTTGCCTTTTCAAAGATTATATTCATGATTTTGGCTCTATTGTGAATTACTGGAATATTGAGCAAAATATAAGACCTCATACCTTTTAAGGTTGGCCGGAGCTGTTTTAATTTTTCAGTGTTCTTAGTGTATGTTACAGATTCTAGTGTCCACATGCGTCCAGGACTCTTTAATTGTCACACTGGGAGTCGTTGAATGTCTTTCCAATAATCCAGGGAGCTCTGGAGTACTTCAAGCTAAGGTGTAATCATATTTGAACACACAAAATCCGCATCAGTTAATGGTTAATCAAGAGAAAGCAACATAAAGCACAGTGACTATATAATAGTTTTGTTAGGATCAACATGGGTTTATTGTTGGAAAGGTCCAAATAGCTTTAGATTTAACTTGAGCTCACCAACAGCCTTTCTAATAAATAATGGTTAGAAGTAGGTCTGTATGTCTTCCAAGAAAGGGACGTTCTTTTTGTCAGGGGGGAGGTCTTTATGAGACATTTAAATTCTGATTAAACAGGCTTTAACTGGTTTTAATGCCTTAACCTCTAAAATATAAAATAGAATTCTGTAGGGGGAAGGGACCAGTATTTTTAAAACTAATTGAAAACTGATCAACCTCTAGTAACAGTTTTAAATAGCATGGTCAAATTGGTTATGACTTAGAAGCTTTCAGGATAGGTTGGAGTATTTATTACATACTTTACTGTTAATGTCTAATGTGGGCCTTTAAATTTGTAAACACTTAGATGATTGTGGGGGCTGTGGGAAACATTTATCTTTGAAGTGAGTTTTAAAAGACTCCACTTTTTAGCATGTGTTGTGTCCAACCTGTGGTTGTCTTAACTAATAAATGTAATTTTTTTTTCTCCCCATTCTCTCTCATTTATTTGTGTATAGACCTCTTTGGTGCGTTTTTTTAGTGTGGGAAACGCACATTAATAGAGCCCAGCTTTGCAGTTAATTTAATTGCTTTCCAGCACTAGTTGCAGTTTTCTAGTTTGTCTTTTTATAAACTTGCACACTTGCTAGCATGGAATTATTTTCTGAGGGTCCCCTACACTTAAGTAATGAAAAACACTAACTGCTCCTGTATTGCTAAGCTTTATAAACTGCCCCTTCCTGGTGGTCTAGGGGAATCTAGTAGCATGTTCCTTTCACCTGGGTTAATCTTTCAAGGTTTCCCTAACCACTTTGGGGCAGCTGGAAGGCAGGAATTAAAGGTTTTGGGGTCAGTCGTCTTCACTTGGGTTGGACCACTTTTCCACTACCTGGGCAATCCTCTTAAGGCCTGTAAATTAACGTGGAGATTGTAAATTCAGACCTGCTAGGCAGGCAATCCTTGAATCTCCGTCTTAAACAGAGATTGCGAGGTTTTGCTTGTTTCGATGAAATCCTGGTAACCACCTTTGGTAGAGCAGCCTATTAGCGCTTCTCAGTGTACTTCTACGTTAACATGCAGGGCTTTAAAACGTTGCCGGGCCCTTCAGCGGGTGGTTTCTGTAAGGTTCCCAGGTGGTGCAGGTGCTACTAGTCACGTCAGCCCTTTGAGAATCACTTTAATGAGGAAAGAGGCCGTGCCTCTGAGGGTTACACGGCCCCACCCACGCCTGGAAGAGAATTGCTCGGGAAGAGGGGAGAAGGACGGGGTAGGCGGGCTGGAGGTGCACTCAGTAGAGTTGCAACGAAGTGCTGGGTCTTTCAACCGTCACAAAAGACTAAAAATAGGAACCAAAATAATCTAACAGGATTGAGACGGTGATTTGGGGGGAAGGGAAAGTAAAACTGATGCAACAGTGGCTACTGCTTGATAGTGCAAAGTAAATGGGAGTGACCTTTATCGATGCTAATGAGGACAGATAAAAGCAGCAATGGCTGGAAGACCGGGCTTGGCTTAGTTGGAATGGGGGACAAGGCCTGTGTCCGCCCGGGCGAACCGCCGCAGCCGGAACTCAGTGACGCGCTTCCGTAGGCGGGGTCAGCTGCACGCAAGCTAACTTTCGACGCGGCTGCGCAGTTGGTTCCCGGGTGTTTAGGGTTGGGTCGGTTTATTGGGATCGTCAGATAACTGGAGACTGTGGTCTTTAATTCCCGAGGGCGATGCGCTCCAGAGCAGCCATCAGGGCCTGCCAGAAAGTCTGCAGGTGCCTGTTGTCTGATTTTGGGGGTCGAGTAGATGGGAGCCAGCCTGAACGGTTGACGGAAGGGAGTAGCTCCCTCGGAGGACCCATGAGGTCGCACACTGAGCTACCCAGGGGGAGCGAACCAAGAGAAGCTCAAGAGCCTGGAGAGGGGAGCGAAGCGCTGGTAGAGATCTGTCAAAGAAGGCATTTCCTCAGTGGTACCAAGCAGCAGATTAGCCGAGATTCTCTCCTGAGCGGGTGCCACTCCGGATTTGGCCCTTTGGGCTTAGAATTGCGGAAGAACCTGGCGGCAGAATGGTGGTCCTCGATGGTGGTGTTCAGGGAGCAGGTCTTTCCGGTAGATGCTCTCCACGTTGAATCAGGCCCTTCGCTACCCGGGGGCAGTGCCTTCAGGTTAGTTTCTGCAGAAACCCTACGCGAAATCTTGCAAGACAAAGAACTGAGTAAGGAACAGCTAGTAGCATTTCTTGAGAACTTATTAAAAACTTCTGGGAAACTACGGGAGAACCTTCTTCACGGTATGCTTCATGATTTCATGCTTCAAAATAGGTGTCGGGGGTGAAAAGGCAATTTCGCTCGATTCCGCGAATTGCAGCTGGCCCTTTATTCACGTGGAAAGGAAGTTACGTGGTTCTCACCTTTTTGCAGTAGTTGGGCATATTGACAGTGCTTCTACGCTGGAAAAAACTGGCCTATGCAGTCGATACTGTTCCTTAAAGAATCTGACCGAAGGACGTGGTAACTCTCTCCATTTCACGGGGCAACCGTGCATTTAAATCATTTGTTCATCGTTACTAAAGTGTTCATAGACGCTTACACAGCCACTCTTCAGTTTTACGCACAAAGATCGTTTTTCTAGAGCAAAAAGAAAAAATGCCTTTCCCCAGTTTTTGTTACTGAAAGCTGAAAGTCTGTTGTTTCGAGAGCCCTATAGTTAATTTTTGAGTTCGAAAAAAATAGGACTAATCAAGCTTTTTAAGTGATTCTTGAGTGAGTACACAGAAATTTGTAGGGGACCGTTTGCCTTTAAAGTCAAATAAAGCATTGCAGAGATTCTGGGGGTGGGGGGACTCATCTTTGCAAAATGCTATCCTTGCCATTTTTCATTAAGTGGTACTGTAACCAATGTCCATAGTTCTCTAAAAATTAGTACCTATATTTTAAACTGTTAGAGATTTCCTTAAGAAAATTAAACTGTTAAGTAAATGTGGTAATTTTGATTTCTGTGGTTTATTCTGTAGTAGCTTTACTTCGGGGGAGTTAAAGCACTGCTCATTATCATGCCCCAAAGCAATCTTTTCTTCCTTATTAGAAAAAGAAGCTTAGCTCTCTTAGATATCCATTCATCAGAGCATCTATGGTGTGCTAGAGTTTTTCTTGCCCTTAGGGAAGCTTAAATCCATCTATTTGCTTAGTTACCCAGTTTGCCATTTACTTCTATTCCCTATGTTCTTGCTTTCTTTATTCCATGTCTGAACTATTGTAGCAGCCTCTGCTTACGATTAGTTTTTAAAAATTCTCAGCCAGCATGTCTCCAGATATTTTTACCTATCCTACCTATCTTCTGTCCTTCTGTGACTAAATAATTAACATATAGGTTAATTATTTTCACTCATATCTTGCCATCAACTTTCTTGAACACAATCACATTATAAAGTCTATGTCTAATAATTTAGATGTATCTGTTTTCAGTATCTTGTTTTTCTCTGGGTTTTTGGTCATTTAGACTTTCTCCTGATATTCTAGGTAATGCGCATATAAATTGTAGAGATAAATCAAGGCTTTGAGTGGTGTTTTCTTCCTTCTGGAAGGATTGACTTTTGCTTTTGGCGGGCAGCTAGAGTGGGAGCAAATCTTCTTAATACAGTCCAGGATTAAGTTCATTGGAGCCTGGGCTTCAGTATTTTCACTCACTTTTACTCCGAGAGTGTAGTATACCCAGTGAAAGGCTGAGGTGTTTACCAGGGCCCCTTCTTGATGAGCTCGAAACTATAATTTTTGTACTTCCCAATTGCATAAGATGTCAGGAAGCTCTGCTCAGCTCTTGCTACTTGAGAATTGGAAAGGTAGCACTAAATGTTGGATTTGTGCTCTTCCTTTTTCTCCAAATTTTGGACCGTCAAGTCCTTACTGCCTTGGTAGTTCTCCTATATCTTTGAACAGATTTTTTAAAAGTTTCTTGACCAGCCTTTTTTTGTTGTTGTTGTTATCAACAAGCTAATCTACTATTATCAGGAGTGGAAATCTCAAGTAACTTTTGAACACAGTGATGTCATTTAGTGGGATACAATCTTTTATATAAGTAGCATAGAGAACTGCAAAGAAATCTTGAACTTAGGTTTATTCTCAGTAGGAATGTTGGAAATGTAATTCTGAAGCTATGCGTATTATAGGATAAAGCAAATAGATGGATAGACTAATGTTATTAGAAGCCAAGATGTTCTCTGTAATATAAAAAGAGAACACAAATATAAAAGAAGACAAGAATAAACTTC